ACTTTTACAGTTTGAGAACTACGCAGTGGTCTGACCATATATGTATTAGGGGCCGTTGATCTCAAATATTGGGATAGATGAGAACAAACAACATATGGCGACATCGAGATCGGGGATGGACAAACATAAAACAAAATATTTATTTATTTACTCGACACACAGTTGTTAAAACATTATAACATCTTATCTAAAACTTGAAACAAAATATAGTTGAATGTTATATTTAAAGGTGTTACAACATAACAGGCTTTTACACTATCTTAGAAATAATTATAATTAAGACTGTCCTTTTGGCAATTTTGTACCTAAGCATCGTTATTTATCACAGAATATGTGAAAGTTACCAGTTCGATATTTAGGGAAATGATACTTCTGACTTTTATCTTGAATTGCCTTTGAAAATACATTAAATGAGTACTAACTGAAAAATGTCTATAATCTGACTATATATACGAGTATATAACTTTACGATCGACATCTATCATTAACTAAATTTATATTTCCATTATGGAAATAAATATCTTTAAACCGAAACCGAAACACGATTGGTCAAAATTTTCTCGATAATATATCTTTTTGAAAAATACATGTGCACTCATATTGCTATTTATCTCCGAAACAGCTCAATATTTTTGTAGGGTTTTTGTTTTGTTAGGAAGCCTAGAATTATTTCTTCAGTTACCGAATTCATTTTTAACTCTCACTGGTCGTGTCGAGCAGTCGTCCCACCGGAGTATGAGAGTGATAGGAATAGAGAGTGCATTTGTGTCTGCGCGTACACTTGAGCACTATAATATCTCCTGCGCAGTTGATTAGTCCCAATGAGATTGGCCACCGTGGCCGGAGTCGGCTAGGAGAACATCATCAAAATGAAAGTTTGTATGAAATTCTGTAATTGATGCATGGAAAGTGGTATTTACCTTTGAAATGAAAAATAAAACAATACTAATATCTTTTTATTTCGAAATTCATCCCCTAAAAGGGTAAAAGAGGGTTATGCTGTTTATATGGAAAAAAAATTGTTTATGATCAAAATTACTTGAGACTTCATATTAATGCTCTTAAATACAATTAAATAAACATGTATTTTAGATTTTTTTTAAATTCTGTCCCAAAGTGGTTAAAACTGGGCGGTGAAGTTGGAGTTATTGAATGTATTTAAACAGAGTAACATAAGTAATTTTTTCCGTAAGCGCACACTTACTGTGTGGATATAAAGTAGAGAACGGAGATTACTCCAAACCCAAAGGAAAATTATGTATAACTTCTCGGTTGGCCACAGCAGTGACAAATATAATTGACATGAGCGCGAGAGAGAGAACCTAGCTAGAGAGTGTCCTGCTATCCATATACTCCAGAAGGTTCGCACAACTGTATAGGAAAAAGTTATTTCTAAACAAAAATATTATTATACTTCGTCGTGACCGTGAATCATAGCTTGAATACTTAAGACACCTTACTCATTGTTATGATTTGATCAAGGAAACTTAATGTTATATAGTTATAAAAGAAGGGGAATGTTGTTTGAGTGTAACCACAGAAATTACCCAACTAATTGAGGAAGTAAAATTGAAAAATGATGCGTTGCAGTTATACAATTGTAAAGATAGAAATTTTCTTAATTTACAAAGTAACACTGTATATACCAGTGTATGTAGATTTTTTCATAAGAAGTGTATTAACCAACTGTATTGTGCTGCTGAAGCAAGTATTCTTATTTAGAAAGTATTCGTTACTTAATTTATTCTTTAATAAATCTATTTATAAACAAAATGCATAACAATTTTGGTATAAATAAACTACTATTATAAATGTATGCATGCACGTATGCATGTTATTCCTTCATGGATGTTTGGTATAAGCATAGACCTTCAAAAGGCCTATGACATAAAGCTACAATAGGCTACTTTTAGGCAACTACAGAGTACACACGCACCCGAGTTAAGCGAGGGAAGCGTTAGTATGACATTATTTGCGGATTAATCATTCCATTTCACAGTCATACTGTTTCAAAATTTAACTTGATTTAATAAGCATGAAGTAGGCTCATTGAAATGGAATGTTGTCTTTAATATATGTATTAACTATAACAATTTAGTAAGTATAGAAAGCCCAAGAATATTATTTATTGATATTGTGAAAAATAAAGTCAAAATAAATAAAAATACTCTTCTTACAATGTAACTTACACCACCAGGCAGTTTTTGTATTTTTTCTGAGAAATGAGATATTTTCCCGCGGTAAAAAATATCCTATATGTTGAACCGGATAAACAGCTATCATCATACTAAATTTCATCAAAATCTGTCCAGTGGTTTTCTCGTGATGCGGTAACAGACAGACAGACAGACAAACATTCTAAAAACTATAGAATCGGACTCTGTATCGATAATAATGTCTATTTCAATTAGATTTTCCAAAAAATATTTAATGTACAGATTCGACTTACAATTTTATTATATGTACCTATAGATTAAAGTACGCTTTGCTTCATAACTCTCAGCCATAATAATGCAGTAAAAGTATTCGGTGTCATCAACTATAGTTTAATTTTTACATACTGTGCTTTATATAATATATTTTTTTTATCGTGGAAGTACGCAGATATTAAATACTAAGAACAAGGTCATCAATAAAGTCACAAACTATTGAATTTTATTGATTGGTAAAAAAAGATATAAAAGTAAATAATGATATAAAGTTTAAAGATATACTTTTGTAAATATTATTTTGTTAGTTATTAATAGCTTCAAGCTAAAAGAGCGAGCTGTAAATTTATTCCAGTATCTAATCGTCGCACTCGCTGTACATATGATTGTTTAGCATAGAAAGCTCAAGCTGTAGCTTTGGCTCGGATCCATCAATTAAAATTTTAATAATAGTAATGATAATAATAATTTCCTAATTTTGGCCACGACGGATAATGTCATGATATATTTATAATTTTTTATCAAATTTTTGATTAAAGATAAAATATTGTAAGGTACTTTAGTGCCATTTTTCAATTTTTTTGAATTCATTTTGTTAATTGTGGGTAGGCTGTCTGTAACAACTATATAACACCTTAGAGACATCTAACACCTCAGTCTCTCCCGTGACCATAATTGCTGTAAAGCATTCGGAACGACGGGAACTAAAAATCAAAATAATAACGCAAAAAAATCCGAAAAGATAGTTTTATTTAAAATGCCAAATATTCGCGTAAATCTAAGAAAGTACAATAGTAGGATTCAAAAATGATATTCAAATTACAAACAACAACATCTAGACAAATTAAGATAAATGAGACCAAAACGTTAAGTACTTTTATTTTCTAATCCTATCCTTTATTATATATTTTTATGTAGTTTATGTATATTTGTAGTTGTCAAAATATTAATTTATTATGTATTAAGATGTTTTAAGTATTTAAAAGTAAAAAACATTCTTAAATATGTAAATTAAGCTGTATAATCTTTAGTGAAAGTTCTATACACGTTATATGTTCTATCTCTACAAAAGTACCTATAGTGAAAAAGAGCTGTACGATAATAAAGAGGATAAAAATAAATAATTAGTTTTCCATAATATAAGTTAATATAAGATGTCAAATTACTTTTAACGAAGATTATTATAAATCAAGACACGCGGTAGCGTGTCCAGCCAAATTCAAGGCAAAGGAACTGTGTGTAATATTACACGAACCATTTGGAGATACTTTTGACCCCCTCATAACTCAAAAACTATTTAACATAAACATGTCAAGTTTGGATCATATATTGAGACTTGCGATATTGTGCATACTAAGAGAAAAAATCGAAAAAAAGTAATTATTTTAAATTTGAAAAAAAAAATTAGCACATTGCGCCTTCCAAAACATAATAGCTTAACACCTAGTGCCTTTTGAAATATAATAGCAATAGCAATTATAGTAATAGCAAAATATATTTCTTTCTCAGAAGAAAAGGTTCCATGATGATTAAACCGCCACTGGGCCAAATTATGTAAAATTTTTATGGGACCAAATGCCGCATACAACTAAAGAAGAATCACGTAAATCGGATCATAAATCTCAGCGTAATCGGTGTACATACATAAAAAATACCAATCGAATTGAGAACCTCCTTTTTGAAGTCGGCTAAAAATGGGAGCCAAGTTCAATATTAAGAATAAGCGTGGTTTTCATCTTCATTGACAACAGAATTGAGATCTAAATGGGTGCCAAGTTCTGTAGATAATCCTGATTTTTTTTTCATAAGAACATACAACATTCTAAAATAAATTTAAAAGTTAAAACACAATTTCTTGTTTTTTTTCTGCTACAAAAGTGTTTGCTATTTAAAAATAGAACTTCTTATATTTGAATAGTCGAATTATTTAACACAGATAACTTAGAATAAATTTAAGTTCAAGATTTGAGTTGGCTAATTTTTACATACAAGCTATCTTATATTCGGTTAATTACTTATATCTTCTTTATGCTATACGCAAGTTACTGTTTTTATATTGTAAGGTCAACGTGTCTCACTCTTCTAAAAACTTGCTTTACTGGTAAAAACTTTTAAAAAGTTTTAAATAATTAAAAAATGTACAACTTTGATAATAGATAAAACTCCATTAAAGTGAACGGTTCGGAAGATAATCGCTAAAAATCGACGAAGGTAGCAAAATTTGAGCGTTTCTCGAGATATATAAATTTTAGAAAAAGAAGTTTTAAATAAAAAAAATTAGGAAATTTAATTTAAAAGAGAAAACAAATCATAGTTTTTTACGTAGAATAAACAGTTCTGGAGATATTGAATAAAACGTTTTTCTTGCGACAGTGGCGCCAACGCCTCTCGGACGACGGCTCAAACTTGGTTTTAAGCTTAGAAAATGCACCTTTATCGAATGGTAATATAGCGGAAATAGCTTTATTTTATATAGATTTCGCCGTTTTTTTCCTATATTGACTGAACTATTTAGAGCTCTCGCGCACTTGGCAGCCAGGCTGCGGCAGCCAGTCGAACATATGACGGCGTATGGGAGCCCGTCCACTAAGCATCAGAACGCGCCTGATTGCGAGTGTAAGCGACAGTATGTCAGCCGTCAGCCTCCGCGCACTTGGCTGTAGCAGCCAGATGTAAGTAAGTTTTAAATAATATGAAAAATAAACCTCTTTTTACCTGACTGCGCCAGAAGAAGGGTTATGTTTTTGAGTGTATGTAATATGTATGTATGTTTCTTTAGCACGCTCTAGAGCCTAAACGGTTTGATGGATTAAAATCCATGAAGCTAAAGCTTGAGAGGTGGCGTTAAATTCGTCTTAATTGTGAGAGTGACACTTTGTATATCAAACTTATAAAAATTAAAATGGTCGACATTTGGCACCATAATGTCTCCAAAAAATTTTTTATATTAAAAACTACCGAGGGGTATCAAAATAAAGGTGTTTATAAAAAGCTTACAAAAATATATACAACTTAATAATTAGATCCTCCACGTCCATATTGCTTGACGGAATGATCCCAACTGGCCGTCGCCATGGCTGCTATAACTGCTGCCGCAGCCAGGCTGCCTAGTGCGCGGGATCTCTTATAGTAAGGTTATATATACAACTATTTTTCTCACATATTGCGCACCACTTTTGGCGAAAATGAACAGGGTATACATCTACATACACGAACCGATGGGAGGATGCTTAACATCTCACTGCTGATATCCAAAAACTTTTTAACAAAAAAATAAAAACCGACTTCAAACAAAAGCACTAAAAAGTAAAAAATAACTTGCTTTGTATGGGCTGGCACCGATTTCGAAAATATTTGATTAGGTATGTATTTAATAGGTAGGCTTTAATTACTTAGGCTAAGCACACCGACTTCGAAAATATTTGATTAGGTATGTATAGTAAATGAAAACTACCAATCAGTTATTTTTTACTTTTTAGTGCTTTTGTTTGAAGTCGGTTTTTATTTTTTTGTTAAAAAGTTTTTATTTTTCCCTTTTTAGTGTAGACAGTAGTAGCAATGTAAGGATTCTAACGTGTTAGGCTTGTCAAATCAAACAAAATAAGCCCAAACTCAAAGTATCTACTATTAGCCGTTGAAGAGTTCCACCTATCCACCTTCTGGCCTTGCCATCAGATCAGGTCAACAACACCGAACCACTGTACTATCAACGGAAATAGAAATACTTGCAAAGTTTCAAGTCAATATGACAATTAGAAGTAGGTTAAATTCATCATTAGTTGTTTTTCCACCCTTAGGGGTGGTATTTAATATTTTTTGAAATTTAAATGGGACCAATCTGGAAGTATACCCTTTCAAACAAAACAAAAATTATCCAAATCGGTTAATAAATGACGGAGTTCTGATGTAACAAACATAAAAAAAAAACATACAGTCGAATTGAGATCCTCCTCCTTGAAGTCGGTTGAAAAGAAGCCGCGAGGATCTTTTCATGGACCGCCTTTTCTATACCGATAACGTGAATTTCGTTGCTAATTCCGAAATAGTAGTAGTATAAGGTGAATCAATTCTCACAGGCCTGTTCCCTGTTCGCAATGTCCATAAACGCAAAGAAGACAGTTGTGCTAGCACAAGGCACTTCTAAGGCCCCAGCAATTTCTCTCAATGGTACGCTGCTAGAAGTAGGTGACAGATTTTGTTACCAAGGGTCAACCGTAACGAACAACCTGTCACTGGAAGCAAAGATTGACATTCGCATCGGTAAAGCAGCGACCATGTTCGGGAAGCCTAGTACTAGAGTATGACAAAACAAATATCTAACTACCAAGAACAAAAATGTTAGTCTTTCAAGCTTCGTTTTTGGAACCTTCAATATATATATATATATAATTGGTCCATATATTATGTCCGCTAAAGTAAAGTCGAGCTCAGTTTTATTGTAAATTTAATTTAATCTATTTCTCTTGATATTCTATTTCTTTACATGATTTTAACAGGCAATCTTTTTAATTTTAACTCATCATATTTAGTATCTAACGTCCATCCTCCACTTGCATGCTTCTCAGAAGATCATCGCTGCAACTATGTGTACTATACTAACATTTCAGTACCACATTTTCGATATCTTGAAACTTAAATTAATACTTTCTTAAATGTACTTGAACATTTGATAAATTCTGTTATGATTTTTTTTAAAACCTACCGACATTTTTAATAGTTTACACCAATGACGGTCACGGGAGAAACTAATGTTTTTGACTTTGTCTCAAAAGTATATTAATCTATTGTATAGCAAAGAAAAATGGCATTGAAGTACTTATATTATAATTAAAAGAAAAACCAGAAAAAAATGTTCTATTTAAAAAATCTTACATTAAGCTTAAGTAAAATTACGCTCACACAGATAATCCATATTACATAAAATAATTAATATATTAACTCCACTGTATTCAATCAGTAATTTCAAATTTGTTGATTAGTTTCTTTTACTCGTTATAATTTGGTTTCATCTAATTACAAGCTAAATATAATAGATAATATTAATGTCGGTATAAAATTTTCTTTTAGGGATAGATAGGTACCTACTTATTATTTTAATTCTATTTATTTAATTTTAGTATCAAGTAACTTCTTTCCTTGAAGTATGTTACAATTTTATAAAATTAACATTTCGATTTACATCCGCATTATTTCACATCTACGTAAGGTCTAGTTACTTGTATGTAGAAGGAATATATATAGGAACTTGAATTAATGAAATGCACTTGTTAAATCAGTTGCAACTCGTTACTATATTCAGATTGTAACATCTAATTTTTTTTAAACATTAATAATAGAAAAACACTACAAATGTAAATTACGCTATCAACGATATTGTTATTTTTTTTATTTTTACTAACTACTTAATAAACGAGAAAAATTATAGCAAAAGCTTGAATTTTATAAAGTAAACTAACGACTCACCCTCGCTCCGCTCGGGTTCGATCTTATTTACGTCTTCACGTTTAGTATAGATTTCTCATAGGTGAGATATTTTCTCGCAGTAAAAATTATCCTATATGTAGACCCGGATAAACAGCTATCACCATATCAAATTTCATCAAAATCTGTCCAGTGGTTTCTCGTGATGCGGACACAGACAGACAGACACACAAAAATTCTAAAAACATTAGATTCGGCGTCTGTATCGATAATAATGACGATTTCAATAAGATATTCCCAAAAATATTACATGCACAGATTCGACTCAGAATTTTATTATATGTATAGATGATAAAAAAATATTGAATAATTATAAAAGGTGATCTTTGCCGTACTCGTACTAAGTCGTTTAATTTGCTTTAGAAATATAAAGATTATACAAATTAGTACTAAGATTATGTTTATTAAACAAAATTATGGTTATTTAGCATGTTTCTGTCAAATAGTGCTGGAATAGCGGTATCAGTAGTAGTAACAGTAGTAGTAGTAAAGGATGCACCTGGAGATGCAGGTGATTCACAGCTGATGAGTGCAAAGGGTGTTGGCAGAAGTGTAAGAGTTGTGGGCGAGAGGGGCGGGCGGGGCGCAGATTGAGGCCACTATTTATACGCACCGCGGCCGCGCAGCGACCTGTTGTGATCCCGTCATGGCGCTCTACGCCCGTGTCGCTCCTCTGGTCGCGTGTCTCTTATTTGCCTGCGGTGAGTCCTAACATTTATCTTACGTCTCCAGATTCCGTCTATTTCGCGACGTCATAAGTGACGCGATATTGCAAGTAAATAATAAATGGATGAGTCTAGTGCACAAAGTGAACAGTGAAGTTGCACGATATGACCGTCGCAAGATAGACTGTATCTCTGTAAAGTTTCCGAATGAATGCAGTCTGAACGTGATCTCCTTGCATCAAATGACTTAAGAATGTAATCAGCGTACTGCAAACCTTTCAAGGACACCTTTAAAAGACACAACTATCGAACGCATATAAAACTACCTGCCTAGTACAGAAATAAGTGCTTTGACGGTAACGTAATTTATTACAATAGGAATTTTGAAATATTTTAAGCTTAATAAGTTTTAATGTACCCGAATCGGCTATAACTTATATTATGGTAAAAACGAATGAAAAATGTGGGTAGTCAAATGTCGAAAGTGAATCAATTTTCGTTGTTCTAATATAAAGTAAATACCTAATTTACAAAAGCACTTAAGTGTTTGGTAAAGTAAATATTTAACACTTACTGCGACTGCGCATTGTGGTTGCAAAGAACTTTCACATTCAGTCCATGTTGCGTTGCGGCTGCGCTGCTGACGTCACTCCCGCGTCAAGTCGTAATCGTGCAAGGCGTTCAACTGCTTTCATGAGAATACTAGAAAATGCATCTATGTATACTCATCAAATAAATTTATATAACACCTCCAGGTAAATTTCTAAGAAATTATTTAAAATTCTAAGAAATCTAATGTTCACTGGCACGCCGGCGTGCCCGCGGTCTTGGAGGGATTAATATTGTTAATGGGCTCCATTTTTAAGCCATCGCTAGATCATTTAAGGTGAATAGAAAGTAAACTAAAACCAATAACTACAAAATTTGTATAAAAAAAGCTAAAATCTTGCACTTTTTACTGTTAAAACCTGACATATAGAATATTATCTTCTTATATAGAACATGTTATTTATAAGAGAGGGTATTTATACATTTATAATTTAGCCTTAATATTTTTTATTGCAATAAGCTTAATATCTTGAATTATTACAATTCGATTTAAGGTCACGGTCGCCAGCTTGACAGGTATACTTTTTATATATTTTGAATTTTAAGCTTTTTTCAATCAGTAAATTAGAATATTATTAATATATTCTTACCTCCAGGTAAATTTCTAAGAAATTAATTAAATGTTTAAGAAATCTATTGTTAACTGTAACGTCGGCGTGTCCGCGGTCGTTGAGGGATTAATGCTATAATACATATATTGATCTGTCTTTTTCGATCTGATCCAATAGATTATATAAAATTACAAAACTCATTTTATAACTAGTTGCGTAGCTAAGGTTAAATATTTGGCATACTTTGAATCGCGAGATTTACATTTATAAGGCTTGTACATTATAATTATAAAACACGACGACCTAACAAATTTATTAAAATGTTTTATGGAATGCATAAACAACAATTTGTGTTCCTTATTACAGTATCTATCAATGTCAAATTACTTTTTGCTATGTACATCATAAGAAAAACTACTTGGGCATCTAAGTCTAATCTATTTGTCTAATATTTGTTATATTATCATCAGTCAATCATTTATATTTTTATTGCTTTTTAGCATAGTTTAATTTCCTATCAGAACCAACGGTACTCAATTATGATTGGATGAACTTTACGTTAAGAGAGTTGAAGTCGAAAGGTTGAATCGGTCATGTTTTATTCCGTGTAACTCATCAATTACGTGATGCTATGTAGAGATACCTACATATTTCATGTCAATCAAATAGAGATTCGGCGTGAGTTCATTGCGCTAAGTCATGGTGGTTATTTACCATCCTTGTTTAATGTTTGCGATTATTAAATTGATGTTCAATTTCAATTTATCACATCCATATCTTGTTTTTCCGTATTAGCTTATTATCATTTAATTATATCTAAGGAAAATAGCCCCAAAAAAAGGCAATTATAATTTCATAAATACTTATATATTTTGCTGATGTTAGTTAAACATTGCTAAATAAAAACAACAATTAGACCGAATCTTATGTTGACTTGATTACACTTAAAGGTGCCTATTTTCTTCATCGACTTTTTTGTATAATGCAACATTAACTAATTGATACTATCTACAATAAATTTGGAATTCATTTGAAATTGTATATTATAATAGGTTGGTGATTATCTTTAAAACTTAAAAGTAATGTTACGTTAAATACTTAACTGAAATAGCAAATAATGAATTTAAAATTGCAAAAAGAATTTGGCAATGTGCTCTATTATATTTACGCACTGGTGCAATGAACAAATAATAATAGATGTATCGTGAGAACTGTAAATACAAACAATACATTTATAGTAGATTTTTCACATATCGTGTGAAGGTATTGCGCTCGCTTCTAGCAGCTCAATATTCGATGTCATGTGTCTTCAAAAATTGGTACTACAACGATTCGTATGGTCTTCCTTTTTTTATAGTAAATATTACAATACTTATTAGGAATGTTATGCATCCTATATTTAAGTTATAGGTGATTTATAGCACCTTAAATGGCCAGGTGTAGGTTCTTCTAAAAAGTTTTATTTTGTTGTTTTTAATATTCCTTAAACATGACGATACAATGTTTACGTTAAAGTTTTCGCTGATCGTTGTAACTTTAGGTCAGTAGACAGATTGCAACAAGTTGCGCACAAAATAACAGTTAAAGTACTTAAACAATATTTTTTATTTATCTTACCTTAAAATTAAAAAAAAAACCTAAATTGGCGTTGATTATAATAATACTAACGATAACTTTAAATTGTTGATACAACTTAAAACGTGGCATATTGACCACTCTATTCCGTTAGAAATATACCGCTTTATACAGATTTTTATAAAAGGGAATCAATACAAGGAAAGCCTAAAATTAACATTCCATATTTATGAGCGATCGGTATGCATGCAGCGCACTAGGCTGACGCCCGCAATGTCGCCCGCGCTGCATAACTGCGCACTTTAAACCAACCTAGACACTGGTATTTTTATATATGTGTATATACAATTGATGAATATGAAATATTGAAATAATTTGTAACCGATAAACTGATTAAACATTAGGTTAATTGCAAAACATTATAAAACACGATCTAAATTTAAAGCTTCAAGTAAAAAAGACATCAACGCGCTACCTGTTTTGAATATTAATATTAACTGACTTATAGGCAATTTACGACTTGCTAAAAATTAAAGCTTCAAGTGAAAAAGACATCAACGCGCTACCTGTTTTGAATATCAATAATCTTAGCTGACTTATAGGCAATTTACGAATTGCTAAAAAAATATTTAATACATGTATCTTAAATATTTCTGTTGTATACTTTGAGGATAAATATGTCGAGAGATCAGGTCCATGTAATCGCTACCGAAACACGTGGCAGATCCGGGTCAAAGAGGACAAGTTCTCATTTATCGTTCCGGTGGTGACAACTATTTTTTATTGCGTCATGTTTTATTCATATACCGCTATCGAAAACTGAATAAGTAACAGTAATGAAGTTATAGTTTGTTTTCTCGTGACTTACACAATGTATTTCTATTTTACGTTTAGCTTGTATTGTATTAATTAATACTTATTAATGTTGTTGGTAAGTATAATGTCGAAGTGTTTTTAGTACATCTTCGATATTTTCCTTTGTACCATAAATTAAATTTCAGTCTTCAAATGTAGATAAATTTTATTTTAATAAAACAATTTGAGGTACTAAATCTTTTAGTATAGCACACCTTCAATCGTGTATTAAAATGGCGGTCGGCATTGACAACAGGGTTGGAGTATTTCCTGTTTACATTCACAAAGTAGTTATATATATTATTATTTTTCTTCAATTTAAAGTGCACTATTATTAATATAATTAAAAAATACATAGTACAGTTTCTAGATCATTTTGGAAATAAAGTTATGGTAGCAGCTTGTTAAGGTAAGCTAAAGCTGGAAGTATAGTCCCTCCACGGACACGCCGACGTCTCACTTAACAATAGATGTGATAGTATATTTAAATGTTTTGCAATGTGGAGTAGCAAATAAAGAAAACAATAAAGTATCATTATCTCGGTCGAAATATACTTCGCGTCAACGACAGCTCCTCTCAAGCGCAGTGTTAGATAATATTGCAAGAGCCTAGTTTCCTTATATTACGATCTCGTTTCTCTTCTAACTTATATACTCACACACGCACAGTGTGTCAGAAATACATATCTTATCTATTCCAAATTGAAAAAATGTCGAGAAACGTTACCTAATCGTATGTCATTTTTTGTAATTGTTAGCTATGATGTTAAAAATTATTACAGTTATAATTTACTGTTATTGAAATAATAGTTAATGATAAATAATCAGTTTTAATTTCATGATTATATCAACATATATGTTATCGTTTCATACATTGTGCAAAGATATATGTATATATATATATATATACATACATATTTAGCGTTTACATTTATATATGTTAGGTAACTTGTTATTTCCTGATTAGCTAGGCTACCTATGAGCTAGCGGTCAAGTACATCAACTATTCCGTGACCTTTTTAAAAACATAATAATTTCGACAGAAGTCTCGCATAAAAGCATCAAATACCATGCATAATGTAGCCGTTTGATATATTCAGAAGAACTTAGAAAGAGTCGTCCTTGTCGTTGCTTAAGCGCTGACATTTCGAACCAGTCAAATGTCACGTGCGCTCACTTTACCTTTGACATTTATGTACATTGTACATCTTCAAGTGATATTTTACTTGTTACTATAAAAAATCCGTAAACTATTTACAAATGATTTTAGTTGCTCAAAATCCTTTACATTATAAATGTATATTATATATTACTTAACATTTTAAACTATAACAACCACTCACAAGTTATACCGGTATTAGATCAAACAACAAATTATTCTTACACAATCAATTTCTTGTTCAAAGCAAATAATTAAGAACCGTTGTAATTTTTATATAATTAGCGTTTATATTTTATAGCGTTGGCCGATGGACACCGTTGGCGACGACAAGCGGATGACTCCAAGAAAGAGGAAAGCCTGGAACAAGAGCTATGCAAGGACAAGGACGCGGGCGAATGGTTCCGGCTGGTATCCGGCGACGGCGACAACTGTCGCGACGTCATCCAGTGCACCGCCTCGGTGAGTGCAAGAGGCGATTACTACTTTTACATACATACATACATACATACATACATACATACAACCATATATATCTATTAATTATCAATGCCATTTGCAAAGATTTTCTTAGACTACTTATTAAATATTTTTATATGCATAACATAAAACTACCTTTTAGAACAAGTTCGATATTAATCCTGTATAAATATTTATAGATATATAGTTATGACCTTGTTGATATATATTTAGATGTATTTGTTGTCTCTAACCATGTTTTACGATTATCTAAATTAATTGCTTTTCCGGTAAATAACTTCCCGTTATTTTATAATAGGGTATACAAGCTATCCGTTGTCCAGCCGGTCTATTCTTCGATATTGAGAAGCAAACTTGCGACTGGAAGGAGGCAGTTAAAAACTGCAAATTGAAGAATAAGGAACGTAAAGTAAAGCCTCTGCTGTACACTGACGAACCTCTCTGCCAAGATGGCTTCTTGGCATGCGGTGACTCCACTTGTATTGAACGTGGTCTTTTCTGTAACGGTGAAAAAGATTGTGCTGATGGATCAGACGAAAACTCATGTGGTAAGGTTTTCTATTGAATTGTAACAAGTTTATATTAAGTAAACTCAATAAAATACTATGCTTTACATTTTTATGCGTAAAGGACCTATTTTTAAATTAAAATATATTGCTGAACTTGAACAGATAGAAAGAAAAAACTAGCCCATACGGCGTGACGAACGACTTGCCTTAAATGCCAATCACTTGGCCTAAAAAACATCTCAATGCTATGTCGCAACGCACCTTAACCAAATGGGGTGTTTGTTTTATTTACGTTTTACTGAATATGTTAACTTAATTTTTTATTACGTAACATTCGCTATTTTTTAAATAAAAATCTAGTGAAACACATTGCTGCATGTATCTAAATGGAAAGTATTTATGAAACAGTTCCGTAATCGCTTACGCGGCTAAGTTGGTAATAGGCATATAAAGGTATCTTGCCCAGATTCATTGGCTTGATATGGCTTATTTAATGTACATTTTATTATTGACTGAAATAAGAAGGTAATTTTAATATTCTGTGATATATTTTCGTTATATATCATGAGTGCAGTCAAGCAAAATAAGCAAGTTTTGTAATCAGTTTAATTTAAGTTGCACATTTCAATATGCATTAACTTCGTTAATTACATAATTTGCATGTTACGCTAATTTATGTTGTGTGAGTTTATTACTTTTAATCACGATTACCAGGTCTCACATCAAAAAGTGAAATCAAAATAGATGATGTTAATGTCGAATGTGCCGACTGAGCGAAAGTACCCTTACTGGTTTCGAAAACACGTCCATAATAGCTTCAGATCTAATGTATCATACATATTTAATGTATAATCGAACATATAAAACTGTTTTTCTTTTTATATTAAACCTATTTAGATTAATAACTGCCAATTAAAAAATATATATCTAATAATACGTTTTTTTTTAAACATTTATTTTGTTTTAGATATCGACAATGACCCTAACAGAGCTCCTCCATGCGATACTTCTCAGTGTGTGTTACCCGATTGCTTCTGCTCAGAAGACGGCACCGTAATTCCAGGAGACTTGCCTGCTAGAGATGTACCTCAGATGATCACTATAACTTTTGATGACGCTATCAACAATAACAACATTGAATTGTACAAAGAAATATTCAATGGAAAACGTAAAAATCCAAATGGTTGTGACATCAAGGCCACATTCTTTATTTCACACAAGTACACGAACTACTCAGCCGTGCAAGAAACCCACAGAAAGGGACACGAAATCGCCGTACACTCAATCACGTAAGTACAAACACGATATTTAAAATTGTGTTATGCACTTGTTGGTTTATAACATTATACTTTATATATTTATTTATTTTTATTTATTTAACAGACACAATGACGATGAACGTTTTTGGAGCAACGCCACCGTCGATGACTGGGGTAAGGAAATGGCTGGTATGAGAGTCATCATCGAAAAATTCTCAAACATTACTGACAACAGTGTAGTAGGTGTCCGTGCCCCATATCTCCGCGTTGGAGGCAACAATCAATTTACAATGATGGAAGAACAAGCTTTCCTTTACGACAGTACTATCACTGCCCCTCTCTCTAATCCTCCTTTATGGCCTTATACTATGTACTTCCGCATGCCCCACCGCTGTCACGGTAACTTACAAAGCTGTCCAACAAGAAGTCATGCAGTTTGGGAAATGGTAATGAATGAACTTGATCGCCGTGAAGACCCTAATAACGACGAATCAATACCCGGATGTGCCATGGTGGACTCTTGTTCGAACATTTTAACTGGAGACCAGTTCTACAACTTCCTTAATCATAATTTCGACCGTCACTACGACCAAAATAGAGCTCCGCTAGGACTTTATTTCCATGCAGCTTGGTTAAAAAATAACCCCGAGTTCTTGGAAGCGTTCTTATATTGGATTGATGAAATTCTTCAGACACATAATGACGTATTCTTTGTTACAATGACTCAAGTTATCCAATGGATACAAAATCCTCGCACTATTTCCGAAGCAAAGAACTTTGAGCCATGGAGAGAAAAGTGTGCTGTTGAAGGCACCCAGGCTTGTTGGGTACCCCACTCATGCAAGCTCATATCAAAGGAGGTTCCCGGCGAAACCATCAATTTACAGACATGTGTCAGGTGCCCAGTCAATTACCCCTGGCTCAATGACCCCACGGGCGATGGTCATTATTAAATGAGATCTCGCGCCTCACGTGGTGCAAATTAGTTGATAAATTGCAATCGATTGCAAGGACATTATATTCGGGTTTATATTAAATAAATGCTAAGTTTATTCAGTGTTGACTTATTCGATGAATATGTGTCCGTGTAATTATAAAATGTACTGGGACATAATCCCGTCAGTAGTCTAAGTACCTACCTATATGTAATATAGACTCAGATGATATTTAATAGGTCTGTTTTAATACTTTATGTGATTTTTCTACTGTAAGTCTGTTGGAGAAAATTAAATACAAAATATAAAAATTAATAGTGTTTTTTTTCATCACTTAGGGACCACAATCATAGACCAGGTATCTATCTATATAAACATACATTTATATCAAATAACTTAATATTCCATTGAAACCAATAAGGATGTTATAGGAAATAAAAATGTTTCATTAAAATTACAATGATTTTTCTTGGTAACAATCACTTAATATTACTTTATTACGTTATTACTTTGCAATCTTAGCAATGAATCATCAAACAACAAGACAATATGATTCTTTACATCTTTTACTAGTTATTTTTTAAAAACAAGAATCTCATTATCGTTCAAAATAAATCTGTACCTACATATTTATTCTTAGTATGTGTTTATTCATTGTAATTCAAGTTTCGTCCGCTTAACGTGCCTTAGTGCTTAAAGATTAGCGAAACTGTTCAAAGTTTTACAAATAAATTCTCATAAGTATTTATCACATACGATTTCTATAATCATAAAACAGTCAACGAATTTTCAATGAATATTAATATCTCAAATCGTTAACCTTTAAACATTCAGTAATATTAAGAGTTCATTTAGTTTTAGATATTATCTTCTTGTTAAACATTATTCAAATAAAAATCAGGTCCTACTTTAAAGTGAAAAAATATGGTGATTTTTTTGATTACTTTGTAACATAAAGCAAAAATATATGAACGTATAAGTACACAGCGAAACCTATTTTTAGAATGAGTTATTTAAACAAGATGTAGGTAAGTCACTAAATGTAAAAGTATACACGTGTTATTAAAAGTCAAAGTATTTTCGACTTGATTTCGAGTAATAATACATATAAATTTCGATTCAAATCTTAAGTGGAAGCACCGACTGATCACAATCTTGTTAAAATTATAAATATAAAAATTTACCTAGTCTTATCTTCAGCTTTTTATATGTCGATAGCATTAAAATTTCAATAAAAAGTTTGATTTAAATTAAAATTGATTAATGATTATAAAAGATACACTACACAGCCTTGACAGCATGTTATTTTTTTATTTCTCAACTTCGCCCGCGTGATAAGCCAGAAAACACGGTAAGTTTTTATAAGCCTTTATTTGATAAGTTCAAACTAAAATAACATTAAAGTTGCACTATTATTCTCTGGTATCGCATAACTGTATTAAAAATTAAAAAGTCTCTGTCCTAACCACGACATAATCTATCTGTATGCCAAGTTTCATTCAATTCTGTTCTGGGGTGTATGCGTGATTGACTCACAAATCTCTAAGTATTTGGTATTTGCGACTTACACAATTATCGCACACTATTTTATAGGTCGTGTGACTTGATCTCATCATATTTTTAAAAAATCTTTCAAAGATCTAGACTGAAATTTTAGGAAGACTTCCAAACGTTTTATATTCGTATCTCAAAATAAACCTATTATAAATGATTAGACTTTTTCCTTTATTTATATGGAATATCCGTATATACTGTTCCTCAAATGTAAAAAAAATCGAAAGGTCGGCTTGACCCTAGCCTCTTAAATTAAATTATAAAAATTGTTACTAGTAGTAGGGTACATTGTGCATATTAAAGCTCCTTAAAGAAAGACCTGCACAGAGTACCCACGAATTTCTTGAAACATAATATTCCTTAACTCTTATGATCTTCTGAGTACTTATGATAACGTCACATTATGGTCTGCTCTTACATACCTGGAAACAATAATATCACGAGTACTAGGGCTACACCACAAACCTCAAGGAATGTCCATTATATATGTAGGGGCCCGTCATAAGAGTGTATACGATTTACTCACTACATTCTTTCCTTAAGACTTATGAGCGCCTGGTACTTTTGATGACGTCACATGGAGCACTGTTAGTAAAGAATAAAAAGTATCGTGACGGTCGAACATCGACGTTTTTATCATATATTATACATATAGACTCCAATCGATGAGATATATAAGCACAATTAAATATTTATTTTGAATTATCAAATCACATCTAAAAGTAGGTACATCTTTTTGTTTTTATGTACATTTGACATTAGCAGAACCCGCGGCTTCGCTCGTGCTAAAACTACAAAAAAAAATGTATGTATACTAATATACACATGTAAAAATTTATACTTACTTCTTGGTTTTTCTTAGAGAATTTAAACAAAAGCTTGTTTCTTTAAGTGTTCTAACTTTTTTTCTTAATGTGTTACTTTTTTGTTCGTATTCTTCTCAACAAACCCTTTCATTTGATATCCATGTCATGTGGTGCAAAAACAGTCCATCATCTTTTGGAGTCCGCCATGTTGGATTAACAGTGACGTCACTTCACTTATTGTGTTTCGCTCGCATTTTTGGGTTCAGTAGTTTCTTAACTTAAAACACTTAAAACATATAAACATCAGTTTTACAATAATCATTGTATGAAAGTCTGCCCGATTTGTTGACATTTATGATTACTGCTCCGCTCCCTTAGGCAGTACCATGATCATATATAGCCTATAGCCTTCCTCAATAAACGGGCTATCTAATGCATAAAGAATTTTTCAAGTCAGATTAGTAGTTCCTGAGATTATCATGTTAAAACAAATAAACAAAGAATCACAAATAAACAAACACGAACGAACGAACACACAATGATAAACAAACAAAACTCTGCCTCTTTAGTATATTATCTTTCTTTATTAGTATTGATAGGTAGATTCATTAATTATTACACGGTTTAATGATTATTATTTATATTTAGTATTACTTAAATGCGGGTTTAAGTCATGCAGAACCATAAAAAATATTTCATATCGTGCTTCTACTTTATAAGACGGTTTAATAATCCAAAATTTTATTTTTACTTATAATTATTATTAATTTGGTTACCTACTTCTAAATATGGTATTACTTTATTTTGTTACTTGTACTAGTTACGCCAGGTACGTAGTTTTACTAGTTCTTACATTTTAACGTTTAGTATAGATTTCTCAGAGAGGATATATTTTTCCCCAGTAAAAAGTATCCTATATGTTAACCAGGATAACCAGCTCTCATCATACCAAATTTCATCAAAATCAGTCCAGTGGTTTTTTCGTCATGCGTTCCCTGTTCCCAGACAGACAGACAGAAAAAAATCTAAAAACTATAGATTCCGCCTCTGTATAATAATGACTATTTCAATAAGATTTTCCAAAAAAAATTCATGTACAGATTCGACACAGTTACAATTTTATTGTTTGTATAGATGAACGTTTAATTGTATGTTAATTGATTAGTAACCCCGAAGTGATAACTATCCATGTTACGTAAATTTAAAACCGGTAATCATACTTCCTATTATATGTTTCCTGTAGATACATTGGTTAACATACTATCAAGTTATGGTTTACGAAAAAAATGGTAATAAGAAAATATTTTTTTATAATATTGAGTAATAAATAAGTATACATAGCTATTGTATACACATCAATGTAACGAGGACGCAATCTTAAAGCCAAACAATAGATGAGGGACACCACCAACACGCCGCCTTCCCTGGCCTGACACATCGGCCTCGGTGGGTGGTTCGTTGCACATCATCACCTTCATTACGACCGTCTACATATAGTATCTATATCGTCATCATACCAAACTTTCCGTTCTATTTTGCAATACATGGTGTATGTAAATCGAAGCAAAATAAGCATAAAGAAAATAAATGCTAATGGTAGCGACATCAAAATAAATAGAGAGTTGTTACCATGTACTGTGCACGCAGTTATAATACATAAAGTAAGCTTAGTATGAAAAGAAACGAAATATAGCCTGCGATAGTGAAAGCAGTGAAAGTCATCAGTTAAAGTGCACAGCCGTAGCATTCTTTATTTGTATTCTTCAACTAAAATATCACGTTATGTAATATTGATATACGTATAATCTGAAGAAATTAAAGGATGAACAAAAATTTGATAGAACACCTACTGGTCTATAGATTTTTAACATTTTTATTATTATATTTATATATTTTTTTCTAATTAAAACTGTAATAAATACATAATAATAACTATTAATATCTATTAATATTTATATGGTAACCTTATTTAACAAATAAATTAATTAATATTCATATTGTCTAAACTTTAAACTGTAAAGTTATTAAAGTATAACCAACATAAAGCACAAGGTCAAATTTCGATTACATACATACTCGTACTTATTTGTTCATAAGTATTTTCCTTGTTTATTAAATTGTTAAGCAAAAATCAGATAAAATAATGACTGACTTTTCGTAAGAACTTCTTTAACGTAAACTTTATGTCACAAAGCTAGACTTCCTTTGGTGTATGCAAATTTACATTATTAACATTTTAATTCAAATCCTAAATAATTTAATGTACCTATTCAATCGTTTTTATTGAAATGAAACAAATACTGCACAAAAAAATTACAATACCTACGATATTGGCTCATTAGGTAACAATAAATATTTGGACGACCAATACAATATTGAATAAATACAGTATTTTAAAATTATAAATAGTCTAATGATTTGTCAGTAGCAAATATACTCGTTGGCCTTATTGATATAGAATTGCTTAGAGCTTTATAAACCGCATTTATTCGATGCTAATAGGTATACATAGGAGTGCATGCATTGTCGCAAGTGAAAGGAAATATCTTGAAGGATCCTTGACTCTTGCGCGCCTACTTACCGCCGTGTTGCGCGTCGCCAGTACCATGGCTTTGACGTATTCATTTTCTGCGCATCTCATTTTTTAATTTATCAATTGTATAACTCTACATTTCATCTACATTTTTTTATTGTAACTTTCTACAACAAACTTATCCACATGTAGAAAACAACAGCCAATGTGTCTTTCCGACCTACTTTACTTAACTACTATTACGCTAAAAAAATCGCGCCAACCCTTTGCTCCGCTGCTGTGCCTGCGAAAGCAGGTCTAACTAACCCGAACAAAATATTAATAAATATAAGACAAATTCGGTAATCACAGATATAGTTCATTATCACAAAATACAATACAACTACTTAATGAGCTGTGTACATAACTCTAATATTTACCAGGTGCTTAAATAAAAAAAATTACCATTAAGAAATATTTGTAGACTCACGTTAAGAAGAGCACTATAATAAAATATATAATATTTTATTTATAAATAGATAAAGGCGATCTACATAACGAAAAACATAGGTATTCAATTTAAAGTATAAATAAATAGATTCAATAATATTCATATTAATTAATTCCTAGTAGGTACTAGGTGTGTCCTGATGGCAATGCCTTAATTATTTCCGCTGTTTCGGTTTTACTTCCACATATTTCTTCTACTACCCGTTTCCTTATTTATCTTTACTGTATATATTACATACGTGTACATTGCTAAGGTACTTATTACAGAAACTTACTCCTGCTACTTTTGAATGAATTATTATTAAGGTGATCGAATCATATAATACACTTTTGCGCGATGAGCTATACTTTGTTGCGTAACATTCTGGAGATTTTAAGATTTACCATTTAAACTATCTATTGCTAGTTTCTTAGCAATATGCAGTTATTACGTGCACAAATGACACAGATACTTGACATACATATGCCTCATACACCTTGTACGTTGATATTTTTGTACATACGTACATCATTGTGTTTATTAATTTCTTTTCTTTCCGATGAGGCATTGCTGCTAAAATTTAGTTTGTCTACCTTCATCATTACGTTTTTTCTGTCTCATCAATCATCTACAACAATCGCTTGACCTTTTCTAGTAACTAATTATACATTTTATTATATGCTAGTAGCAATGTTTAATTATATATTTGTTTAAAGTTTAAATTAACATTAGGAATATATTATATTGATTAGTATTTAAACATAAAAATAAAAAGATATAAAACCTGTAAGTGACATTGATTTACCTACACCAAAAAAAAACGAATTAACATCGATAACTAGAATAAAAATAAAATGGTATCAGTCAAAAATACAAATATTATAAGATTACGTTGCATATAAAACGTTTTTGTCGTTTGTTAAATTACCAACTCTAGAGCTTAATTTTGTACCTAACATCAAAAAGTTTCCGTGTCAACTCTTTGACCTCTATACATAGATTTTTTGTATTTTAATGTTATGCAATCTGTGACGAAATCATTAAAATATTTCACACTAAAATTCTATATTTAATTTCGAAAAACAAAGTTTTTATACATAACTTTTATTCTTTTTTATATGTACGTACCTAAGTGAAATAAACATATTATATTTAGAATTAAACGAAAATTTTCTTTTAGTAATCGTAAATAATCATATAAATAATATTATGTTTGAAGAAGTCATTTATAGTATAATCTTTAGCAGGTAAGTATATAAGTACTTCCTTGCACGCACATCCATGTGCAGAGGTCACGATAAAAAGAAAGGTATAGATGTATTCTATCTGACAACCTTTTAGTATTGCAAAACTAAATGCTAATACTGCGAGTAACTCAATAAACAATATCAGAATTAGTAAAGGTGAAGATTTATAAATCTCCTTAGAAAGCTGTAAAGTATCTACAGATACCTATGTCATTGAATTAAACTTAATCTAGTAACTACGAGTTTCTTATATTAGTATATTCACAATACTACCTACATTATACCGTCCGCGTCAGTCAGATTTCTATTTGAAATGTTTGTTTGACATGAATGCAGCAAGCAACTATATGAAACGTGGCTTTCAGAAATATGAATCGTTCAATGTGTTAATTTGTGAACCGCTGCAATTGCCTTTTAGCAATAAATATAAAAATATTTTGTCAGAATATATAATGCTTCCAAATATGCGGATTGTACAATTTATATTCTTTTAATCAATCAGTATTCTCAATCCATCCTTCACCTTTTCACTTTGGTATAGTAATAGAAGCACACATACATATATACATACATTAATTTTATATAACAAATTTTATGTAAAAATAGGCACGTTAATATGTCAAAAGGTCATAAAGATCCGACGTGATGAACTGACCGAACAACAGCGGCGAGGCGACCGCGGTACCACTCAGCGCCCGCTCCCCGCGCCTGGTCGCCGCTGGGCCTCGGTACTTGTATGTTACATAACCTGATACACCCGGATATTACCACAAGGCCACCCATCTTCTAGCAAATATTTATCTGCAGTTAGTTACCTCACAATGGCTAATTGGTATTTTGTCGTTTCCTCAAAAACTATCAAAAATATAAATCAAAACGATCAACTTTTTATTTATTTAAGGAAAATATGGAATAGATGTACATTGTACATAAATAGACCAACGTTTAGTTTAGAAACTTTTATATACAAACTCTATATGGAAACTTCTTAATGAATTTGATGTTCCTTAACGAGATAAGTACTACACCTGATTATAATTAACATTTTATTAAAAAAACCATGTCCAACCGAAAGAAAGAATTACCTATGTAATATAGGGTTTGGTAATTGATATTAAATCTAACTTTTGTCTGCACTTCCGATCGTGTAGTTTACTTATTATTTGTATTAATTTTTCCGCTAATGGTATGATATTAAATAGCCTATAATAACCTTCTTTAATTATTATTAAGCTTTAAAATGTAGAAACATTTTTCCAAATAAGACTGTTAGTTTCAAAGACCAGCCCGTTCAAACAAACAAAATGGCAATCTTTTTATCTCTTATTATTGTAGTATAGATAATTAAGCGCTTGTTATGATAAGTGGTATTATTTTATAGATTAAAAATATGAAGATTTTCTAAGAACGCAAAGTTTTATAGTGAAGTAGTTACATAGATTAAACTAATTAAATAGACTTATTTGATAAGGCGAATAAATACAAATTTCTTTATCTCTAAGCTCCTGCATATTATTACACATATTATGTATATACTTACCTACTCATTGAATAATATGGATAAAATATATTGTCAATATTGTATAAATAAATAATTTAAGACCTAATCTCCTACGACAATGATAAAATTAAAGCCTAACAATAACCTGTCAACTACCGCCGAGCCACTGGTGGTTCGGTTAACAATTAATTTCTTAGAAATTATCCTGGAGGAATCCGTATTCAAAAATCTATAGGTACATGTAAAGAGAAGAGAGAAACACTTGCTAGTAAATAATATACAGACATAATAGTTCTTTAGCGCACAAAAGCTTGTTATTTTTCACGTTTAATATTAGTGTCCTTCCACCGTGTTTTAATTAATATTTTATTATACGAATCAAGAATACAGTTTTAGATCTTCTCTCCACGTTTAAGTGACATTGACATAAATTTCAGAGAACAGGTTCGACGATAATCGAAAGTGATTCTTAATTCACAAGAAACTATATTTCATGGGGCTAAATTACTAAATTATTCTTATGTATACTTATATATTATGTATATATTCCTATCACATGTCATTATTATCGGGAAATTGTCATGATATTTATTTTAATATGTATATACTTTATTTCGCCATTTACAAAATTGGAAAACAGAATTTGTTTTCATTTTAACTTTTTATATGTATATGTTCGTGATGATATCTGTACCTATTTTATCATATGTACATAATATGTAAGCTCTAAGATGCAAGCCTATTGTGTTCTTTAAACGTAAGTAGAACCGCAATTAAATCCTTAGATTAGTGACCACAAACAATCTTGTATTACTGATATTCAAGGTTAATGTTTATTGTATAAAGACTTCTATAGGTTTAGATAAATATATCAATTATTATTTTTTTAAATTATCCATCAGAATTTACAATTATTAATGTTAAAGTTTTATTCTCTGCAAACGTTAATAACTATGTATGTATGTTACTAATTCTTACATATTTTACAGTTCTAGTTAAATTGTATTAATAATAATCTAATATTGCGTAATATATTTTACTGAAATAAAATCGATTTCATATTTTAATGGAACAACTTATACTTTATTGGCTTATTATTTAAAATATTTGCTTGTTTGCCTTGACAAATAGTTTAGCAGGACAACATTGAATCATTTAAACTTTAATCATACATTTCCTTTAAAGCTTCTCAGAATATATTTTAAATTTGCAAACCTGTTAACCACATACTGACTTGTTTAATTGGAATTGATAAAACTTAATTGGATTGGAAATAGAAAAAGCGAGAGAGAAAAGATCAAAAAATGATTAAAAACACTTATACAATTATTTAAAATGTATTAAAATTAACATCCAATATAAAAAATGCATGATTATTCATGTACAGTCGATAGGTAATATATACCATAATATATAGAAATAGGTAGTGACAAATATTAAATGATTTTCTCAAATAAATTATTAAAAGTCACATGAAGAATTAAATATTTTTTTCATAGTACAACTAACAGATGAAATATATATAATGAGAGAACCAAACAGTGTTATCACCATAAAGCTAATATTCATTATATTTTTTGCACATAGTCTCAGAAAGCGACACCGTGTGCTTATTAAAAGCTGTGCGGATGAAGTGATGACTTATATTGACGGGAGGTATAGTGCGTACAGGACGGGTGGAGTTTGTCGGCTGGTGTCGTGTAGTGTACGACCTGCCTGGTTATATAAATAGGTGAAGAGGGGCAGCAGACACCTCTTGCACTTTCTTGTAGAGCGCGACGCACCGGCCAGTCTTTGCCGAGCGCCATGGCTCGACACGCGTACCTGTGTTTAGGGGTATTACTGCTCGCACACTCTGGTGAGTACTCAACACTATTTATTTGATTATTACAATTAAGATTCACAATTCCTTGAACAAATTATTTTTTAAATAATAGAAATCGAATGAAACTTTTTACAAAATAAAGACGTTATTCTAATAATATTTTAATAATCTGCTATTATTCACTAAAATGTAGGTAGTTAATGATTTTAGTATTTTCAAATCTTAATATTAAATATGTACTATGAGGTAGTTTGCTAAATCTACATAGATGTTCGTTAAATAAGAACCATTTATTTTTAATTTATTCGTTCGATTACACATTAAATTACGACATCTACTATTCAAATAATTAATTTGCTTAATATTAAAATATACTTACGTAAAAATATTTTTGAATTCAAACAAGAAGGAACACCGGTTACTTACGTGGCCGGCGTTGACCTCGATTTCTTTTCAACGTTTTGCCTTTCAATGCCGTCATCGGTTTGCTTGCTGACTGCGCAACTTAAAAGGAGCTTATGCTTTACTATTATAATATATATTTATTCCCGACATGCGTGTCTTATTTTCCTTGCGTACATACATTTAAAAGTTACTGAAACATTTAACGCGCACAACAACATTCTACATCGAAATGAAGCGGTTCTACATTCTTTCACTCGCGTGTGGTAATCGTGGTTTACGTTAAGCTTCGTTACTCAATAAGCATGTTAACTTCATTTAATGTTACGCATTTATATAAGTATGCATTTACAAACTGAATATTTCTTTTTTTAAAAGAACAAAACGTTTGAGTAATAATTATGCATCTACCCGCATAGTTTCTAAACTATACTATACATGTACTTTAAAATGCTATGAAAAACAATTTTATCTCGATATTCATGCTTTTTATTCTTATGTATAGTTATAAGCGAATCACGAGTCAAACGTCAAGAAGAGGACAATGGAGACGAAGCGACCCCGGAACAGCTTTGCGATGGTCGCCCAGGTGATGAGTACTTCAGATTAAGCGCCGATAATGATTGCCGCGAGGTCGTCAGGTCAGTTTTTATTTTCAGTAAATCGTTTTCATTATTTAGAAATATGTCTATAACTAAAAAAACTGAATAAACCAATAAATAGCATATGTAAATGTCATAAGGATTCATCCAACCACTCTATATAGTATAAAACTTAGCAAACATTTGAAGGTTATTCACTGATAATAATAAATGCACTCGTTTGGTATTCAAGAACTTGATATTCCAGCCAGTGAATGGAACAGTCGCCATCGTGCCTTGAATATTAGTCATAGGTATATTGCGCCTTCAATCTATAAGACAAAGTAGTCTGTCCACAACAATACGAAGTTATTTTGTAACGGTGCCAGACTAAAGTTTATAAAAAATGTAAAGTAAGTATGTATCTTTAAAACAAAATGATAAAATTTCATCCTTATTATATGTTTTCAGTATAATATTATACTTTCTAAAATATTTAGCATAGAGGTATCAAGATATGCATTACTAAAGTAGATGTTGCATACTACAGATGAGGCGTTCGAAGTTATCGGAAATCGTATCCCATAAACAATTAGTCGGCTTGGACTGTATTCATAACATTTACGTAATATAGAATGCATATAGTTGTGTAATTACAATCGTTGTTTCTATTCCAAACTAGCAGCTATAAAATTGTAGTATGTATACTATAATTTCAAACTCGTTTGTTGTTGTGTGTGCTATGCACATATACAGATATCGAGTAGCAGAAATCAGGTACATACTTAGTACTTACATAGATTTAAGTTAGCAATAACTAACAATTTATTAAAAATATGCCTTTTTCATGAGATAGAAAAATTCCCTTTATCTAAAGCTATATGTTAATCTTATCTATCGGGAAGAAATATGAAGATATTTCTTCAAATCAATACCTAAACATATACATAAGATTATCCTGCTGAAAGCGTGGCTGTGTACAGGTGTGACCAAGGAGGTGAAAACGGGGTTACCAGGCTCGCTACTGTGCGCTGCCCCGGTGGACTGGCTTTTGATATCGAGCGCCAAACCTGTGATTGGAAACCCCATGTTAAGAATTGCGATCAAATAGAAAGTAAGTTCCGTCGCCTGCAGGGAGTGGTCGTGAGAAGGGCTTATTTCCAATATAAATTCGGACACACTTTCATTATCTACTATCGGCTAGCCTTTTCCACGATCGCTTCCTAATTCAATACAGTTATTAAATATGTTATTCTCATCAACACAGGTGCACTAGGTCAGGTCTTAAACAGATCACATGCCCAGCGGGACTGTTTTTCGATCTCGAAAAGCAAACTTGCGACTGGAAGGGTAAAGTGACCAACTGTGACAAACTTGAGAGTAAGTGCGATAAAAAGTTATTCGCGAGTAGCGAGCAATCGAGCTTGGGTGAAGGGGCCGCGTCGCACTGTAGATTTGGTATAAATGCATGAGGCCCCGGACTAAGGAAATAGTCCGTATCAGGACAATCGCACTAGTTACGCATTAACATACTATACACATAGTTATTGCAACTATCACATTCGACCTTTAATGTTTAATTAAATATTAAAAGAACACAGATGTATAAAATATATTTTTTTTTATTAATTACTTTCGACAAATTGAAATACATCTATCATTTAAATAAAAAAAATATGTCAATTCATAAATCAAATCTTTCTTCCGTTTCTTTACATTAATATCACATTTCTTTTTTTAACTACTTACTTTTACCGCTAACAGCTTGACATAACAAATTTTCACTAACCGCTATCTTCTTTACTAACGTGTTTAATTAATAGTCGGTATAAATGGTGCGCAAACTCTCACATATGTGTCATACACCTGTGCTTTTTCAAATTAACACCTGGCACTAGCTTTTTCTTATTTAAAAAAATGTTAATTCAGACGTGGTCACTTTGAAAATAATAAACTTAACAAAACGTTTCATAGAGTACTTATAATGTATATGGCATTAGTATTGTTTTCTAAGTGGCTTCGTCTGAACTTTATTCTATTGAACATATTTCTAAGATATTTATAAAATTTCACGACTGACCATTCTTAATCATTGTGTGGTTTTCAATTTTTTCACCTGAAATATTTATTTCTTTTATATTTTCAATCGACAATTTATGATGTTATGTTACAAAACACTTTATATATTAGAACTTTCTGCTATCCGATCATTTCTTTCACAAATCATTTTCTATCAAATAAAGACAAAAATAATATTTAACTCGACGATGTCTTTGTTTCTAATCAGTACCTAATCAACTATGAGGAACTTTCCACGTAATACAAAACTTTGTGCTAAGAACCTCTTTTCCTTATTAATTAACAACTTATTCTTACGATAACTTGTCATACTCTCATGCCTCGCCAAACTATGTTCATACTTTTCTCTTCCTCAATGACCGATACACTTTTACAAAATTATAAACACAGACGAAGCAAAAATTCTCCGTTGGTCACTTTAAAATTTAGTATTCTTTAGTGTGTATAATACACTCGGCACAAGTATGTATGTTTAATATCACAACACACAACTCTTAGATTATATAGAAAGTGTAATAAGAAGTGAATTTCAGAACCAAGAAAAATTTTACCCATCCTGAAGACAGATGAGCCAATCTGCCCTGAAGGAAAACTAGCTTGTGGAAGCAGAGATTGTATCGAAAAGGAGTTGTTCTGTAATGGAAAACCCGACTGCAAAGATGAATCTGACGAAAATGCCTGTAGTGAGTATTTATCTTGTCTAACTCTAACCTATTCTAGAGATTTGAATTATCCAATAAAACATCAATTTTATAAGCGAGTGGAACTGAGTTCTCAAACGCACGTACATATCTGCGATATTTACAAAAACTTTGTTTTTTATTAGTATCTCTAATTTGTTTGTATTTAGTTAGTTCAATCTTAACAAAAAACAATGTTATAATATAAATGGAGAGCAGGATAAGATTTATTTTTAACTTGCAAGCTCGGAACTTATCTGCGTGAAAATATTCTATAGTAAATAGTAATAATAGCTACCAAGTTTTAATCTTAACATTAAAAGGTTACATTAACCTTTAATGTTTTATACAGAATCCATGACCTTTCTTGCTCTTGGGACTTTTCGTGTTTTTTTTAATAGACTCGCAAAGTATAGCAGCAAAAATGTAAAAAATAGATTATAATATTGTATTAGTTAAGGATAATCGATAATTATTAATAAAATATTTTTGCATCATTGCAGCTGTGGATGTAGATCCTAACCGAGCACCAGATTGTGACACCAATCAATGCACACTTCCCGACTGTTTCTGTTCCGCTGACGGCACTCGTATCCCCAAAGGATTGGAACCTAACCAAGTACCTCAAATGATAACAATTACCTTCAATGGCGCTGTCAACGTAGACAACATAGATTTATATGAGCAAATATTCAATGGTAATCGCCACAATCCCAATGGTTGTCAAATTCGTGGAACATTCTTCGTCTCGCATAAATATACTAACTATGCTGCTGTACAAGAATTGCACCGTAAAGGACACGAAATTTCAGTTTTCTCTCTAACACACAAGGATGATCCGCAATACTGGACCAGTGGAAGTTACGACGATTGGTTGGCAGAAATGGCCGGAGCAAGACTCATCATTGAACGATTTGCAAACATATCCGACGCTTCTATAATTGGTATTCGTGCTCCGTACTTAAGAGTTGGAGGCAACAAACAATTCGAAATGATGGCTGATCAATACTTTGTATATGATGCTTCAATTACTGCACCTTTAAGTCGCGTCCCTATTTGGCCTTACACATTATACTTCCGTATGCCACACAAATGTAACGGTAACGCTCACAACTGCCCATCGAGGAGTCACCCTGTGTGGGAAATGGTAATGAACGAATTAGACAGACGTGATGACCCAACCTTTGACGAATCTTTACCTGGTTGTCATGTTGTTGACTCTTGCTCTAATATCCAAACAGGAGATCAATTCGCTCGCCTTCTGCGTCACAACTTCAACCGTCACTACTCTACAAACCGTGCCCCCTTAGGTCTTCACTTCCACGCTTCATGGTTAAAATCCAAAAAAGAATTCAGAGACGAACTTATCAAATTCATTGAAGAAATGTTAGAAAAGAATGACGTCTACTTTACTTCCCTTATTCAAGTGATTCAGTGGATGCAGAATCCTACAGAATTGTCGCAGCTAAGAGATTTCCAAGAATGGAAACAAGATAAGTGTGACGTGAAAGGCCAACCTTTCTGCTCTCTGCCAAATGCATGCCCACTTACAACTCGTGAGTTACCAGGTGAAACCCTGCGTTTATTCACTTGTATGGAATGCCCTAATAATTACCCTTGGATATTAGATCCTACGGGAGAGGGCTTCAACGTTAGGAAGTGATCTCTTTAAGTAAAATTTTAAAAGACTGTACACATGTAAATACTAAATACTCAATAATATTAATGAATACAATTTATATTGTGACTGTGGCAGAAACAACCGATATCAACTTTTAAGTGATCGTTCAAGTAAATTTTGAGTAAGTTAAAGGTAATAAGACATTTTTGACACTTAACGTTGATACTTGGTTTACACTTTATAAATGTTTTTTACTGCCGCTAGTTGTTTACCAGCAAAGATAGCTAAACTTATGTTTCATTATGTAATTTAAATTGTTACAATCTTATCAACAATAATAATAAAAAAATAAAAATTGGAATATCTTATTTTTATTTCCCTTAAAAATAGATATGAATAAAATATAACTGATAATAAAATCACATTTTTTTTAACATTCTCGATATCGGCTTGGGCTTCATTACCAATATAGTCACCAACAAAGATACCAGCATTTTTTTAAATATGTTTGTTTGCCTGTCTCTATTGATTTCATCATTATTTACGCAAACACGTTATTGTATGAAAAAAAACACACAGCTGTAGGTGATTCCATTTATTCTTGACGGCCATGCTGACATCGTCTAGTCTGGACAATTATTTTTTAGCAAGGGTTGTCAAAAGTAAACAATATTTTTTTAATTAATATGAATAATAATATATTTAAACATTCGTCAGTTTAGTTAAGCAATCCGTTTGTTACGGGAGTATTTCAGTAGCAAATCAGGAAGGCCAAGCAAAATTCGATGTAAGGGCATATAGTTTTTATTATTTTATACAGAGTCTGAGAAACTCCTCAAACAACATCACGAAATGGAATCGCGTATTTGAATTTCGTTAAGGTACATTTACATCTGTTCAACAATTAGTTGAAGCAACGGACCGTCGAAGCAACACTATTCAACAATGTTGTATGGTCGACATTGATCAACGTCTGTTGCAGCAACACATTCGACAGTTCCATTTTACATACGTTCTACAGTTATGTACAGTCATGTCTACCGAACAAGTCGTTGCTGCTGCAGCTTATTTAATTTTGAATGAAACTATTCGGAAAGAAAGGAGAAAAAAACGTAGCTGGAAATAAGCAATGTTTAGAAATGGATGGCAAAACAGTAAATAACAGCGTAGGTTGAAGCATTCGAAGTTGAGCATTACGATGCGCTTTAGTGCTGTAATTAGAAAACATAGTAAGTAGTATTACCCAGGCTATCACAGTTTAGCCGTAACATTTCTACATAGTTTGTGGTTTAGCCTGAGTAATAATTAAAATTACATAATGTTTTTTATTTAATTTTTATATGTAATAATAATTAATTAATACAGAATTAGTGTGGCATCTATTTTTACGTTAATATTATTTAAAAAATTTACAAATTACATTTTATGTAAAAAGGCTGCAAATTTAAATAACTTTAAAATAAAAAAAATCAATCTAAGGACCGATTTTTTTAAAATAATATAGGACAACTTTTTAATAAAGAATCATGAAAATCGTAACATGAGTATGAAAAAATATCTAAATGGAGCATTTTCGCCATTTTTAAAACTCGATAAAAATTACGAAATGACCAAAAAATATGATTTGTAGAAGCAATATTGTTGAATGATCTTCTTTGGATACAAAAGCAACACATTCCAAAAACTCCTAATTTTTTTAGAACATTATTATTATTAATAACTCATAATTTTTTTAGAACATTGCATTAGTTTCCAAAAATTCGAAAATTTCATATTCATTAGCCATCTAGAAATAAACGAGACGTATATATACTCTTAAAAATAAGTCGTCAATACTCCCAGACACTCCGTCGGCCGTATTGCTGCTTTGCAGATGCTTTAAAGGTCCCAAAATAATTACTTAACTTCACGTAAATTCTGATGCTCCATTTTTATATATGTTCGCCAGACAACTATTTTAAAATCTTTTACAAGAAGACAGACCAATCCAAGGGGCCAACCACCCCCTAAACTGAAGTTTCCTACCCACAGAGGCATTAAACATACTAAAGATATAATTTGTGTAATACCTAGTACTTAGATAAAATAAAAATAAAATAAAATCAAGGTTTTTAGCGAAAAAATCCTCCACCATCATGACATCGATACATGATTTGAGTTGCCATCTCGAAAAAATTTGTTCGCCATGGTATTGACCAGGAACATAAGTGATTTTGATATTAAAAAAATTAAATGTGGCACTCGGAGACTGCCGCGGTAAAGCTATTGCATAGCATTTTTTATCAACTTATGCAATTATAATTATTTATTTATTTTATTAATGCAGTATTTTTTTTCCTTGACTTTCTTCATTAATAAATGCACTTTGTTTATTCATATTTAAAACACTTTGTACACAAATTATACGAGTACAGATATTCACTGTTGTACATAGATCATAAATACCTATACACCTATATACTTTCTCACAAACAGCTGATTACGGTAGTTTTCCAATACAACCAATGTACTACCCTACCCCAGCCTGCAAATTTATGATATTTGCAATGAAAAAAATACTAATCGATAGATTTTCAATAGCTCAATTTAACTACGTAGCCCTTTCAAATTGCTCACCTTTAATTATTTAATTAAAAATCAATAAAGTCTTTGAAAAAAAATTAATTTATCTGTATATTCAAACTCCTATATCTTTTGATGTATACAATATTTCAAATTGCTCAAAGTTCTAAAACACTGCTCAAGTTGCATTTGTAATTGCTCAAGTAGAGTTTTTACCAGCTCCACTTTCGATGATTATTAAATAATTAAAAGTATAGTTGTAATAAATGTAACGTAGGTTAAGTGAGCGTGCGCATGCGCACCGCGCATTGTCGGTCGGCCTCGGCGGGCTTGGACAATCGTTCCAATTCAACGTCTTAATTCTGTTTCTCGGTGGATTTCTTTAAATTTATTGAATTTATGAATTGTTCACATTACGTGATTCCACTTCAGATATTATAACATAAAGTACAGATCTGGAATCTACCAATAAATGAAAATTAATACCAACAGATAAATTAAGACAAAATCTTATGTTCAAATGCTTATTCTATTAAGGTAATAGCCATGACAGGGATCATTAGTAAAATGTTATTAACATCAATACAAGACGGAACTTTTTTTATTTTTAAATATACATATAGTTTAATGACATTTTTATTTCAAAGAAACAAACTGCATGAATATAAACTGCCTTTAATATAAAGGAATTTTGAACTCTGATCAGCAATCAATAATTTAATAATACTGCTACGATCCTTTTTAGCTCCTGGAAGCGCCACAAACATTCCATCTCTTGATGCTGAGCTGATCGCCTCTCGGATGTTCCATCTCATTTTCAACAGCTTCGTCTCACTCTTTGACTCCATCTCATTAGAGCCCTTAGTACCGTCCTCTTTTTCCTGATTAATTTAGCGGCGATGTTTCATTTTTCTTAGCGGGGTCCAGTTGTGGTCCGTTTACCGGCATTTATGCTGTTTTCCTCGCCCGAGCGAGACAAGGATTTCTCGTCGTCCTCGTCATCGTTGATTATGCAGAGGAGGTCTGATTCTGAAACTTCTTGGACTTCTACGTGTGTACCTATTAAAATAACAATTGATATTGTACATTGAAAATACTTGTATAGAGTGTGATCTTGAATATCATAAAGAAGATAAAGACATGCGTACCTTTTAAAGGCAATATGGATTCAAAGTTTCAACGAGCTCCTTTTTTTTGCGTTTGCGCGCATGCGCAGCACTCACCTATCTATACGTTAAATTTATTCAAACTATTTATATTTATTTAATAATTAAGGAAAGTGGAGCTGGTGAGAACTCTACTTGAGCAATTACAAATGCAACTTGAGCAGTATTTTAGAACTTTGAGCAATTTAAAATATTGTATATATCAAAAGATATAGAAATTTGAATATACGGATAATTGAATTTTTTTCAAGGACTTTATTGATTTTTAATTTTATAATTAATGGTGAGCAATTTGGAAGGGCTACGTAGTTGAATTGAGCTATTAAAAATCTATCGATTAGTATTTTTTTCATTGCGAATATCATAAATTTGCAGGCTGGGGTAGGGTACCTCAACCAATGCCACCTAAAGGCGGGTTGCTGAACTAAAGAGACAAGCGTGATGTTTCAAAAAGTCATTAAAAGTTCTGGTATTTATCTATAGATGGAAGTATCAAGTATGCCGGTCGGAGTGGGGGGTGTCAGTTTAATTCGTTACGGAATTTCTGGATTCGGTCCCCACGCTCAAGGCCCGCGATAGAAGCTATGCAATACCTAGCTTAAAAATAATTAATTATTTTAAAAATAAAGAAAAATCATGATTTTTATTAAATTATTCCTTTTAATAATGAACTCTAGCCCCATAAACTACCGCTATACAAAACATCATATCATTTTATTACTACAGTCCAAGATCCTATGGCCACTGGCCAGCTCCGCACTAACAAATATAACGACAGCGATAAGACCTTACTCGCCAGTGGCGCCAACTGGTGCCACCAGAAGCGATAGTCCTCATTGATAGTCATGGATGACAAATAAAATTGATAGTTGCGTGATGACACCATGGATGACAAATATTGACACTATTGTCGGCTGTCGCCTGTCATTAAATTTTTGACAACATCAGCAAAAGATTTTTTGATTTTTAAGTCGGCAATAAATTTCTTGTATAATTCATACAACGGATTTAAGAATGCACATGTATATTATTAGTTCTATATTACATTACTTATAAGAATAACGATAATTTAAAAAAGCAAAATATGGCATCACAAATTATGAATAAATTTAAGCAGCTTGATGCTTATGCTAAGACTTTAGAAGATTTCCGAGTGAAAACAGCAACTGGCGCAATAAGTAAGTCTAAGAGGATATAAAATGAACCTATTATATGATTTTAATTACTAAAGTACTCTTGTTTCTTTTTCAGTCACTGTAACTGGCTCAATTATTATGATTCTTTTAATTCTCTCGGAACTACATACTTATATGTCTCCTAATATATCGGAAGAACTGTTTGTTGATACATCAAGAGGGCACAAATTAAGAATCAATTTTGATATTATTGTACCTAGGATATCATGCGACTGTAAGTAATTAAATAAAATTCCTACTTCTAGTTTAGTGCAACATGACTTTTGACTAGTAAGTACAAAGAGATAAGATTATACCATTTTATCCCATTTGAATCTCATGGCTTTTGCTCTGGCTGGGCATATTTTGTTTTAAAATTTGAACTAAAAATATTTAAAGTTTACAAAAATAAATAAATAAAAAAAGCCCTTAAGCATTCTTTTATTTTACTTAATGCCTAATAATATTTATTTTCTTGTATGTAATATTATTTACAGATCTAGTATTAGATGCCATGGATTCATCAGGAGAGCAGCATTTACAAATGGATCACAACATACACAAGAGACGATTAGACTTAAACGGGGTTCCAATTGAAGAACCTAAAAAACAAGAAATAGCTATTTCCTCAACAGTTAGTCCTTATTTGTTTTTGTGACCTCTCTCTTGTTTATCATTCTTTTTGTTAGGTACAAAATTTCCATTCCCATTTAAAACAAAAATTATAATTAGACCTATGTGACTAACATACAAACAAAGCACTTACTGAAAATAAAATATTTTTACATACTATGACAGTAATACTGATGATTGTGAATTTTATTTTTATTGCTTAAAAACAAAAATATAGGTTTGGAATAAACTCGTAGACAATTCCTCTGCATTCTATAAAGGATTAGGAAACATGTTCTATGAATTTTATTTCAAAACTCCATTTGTTTGCTTAAAATTTTCTTATGCTATCTAGTGGATGTTTAATACAAAAAATCCTTTTAGGTAAAACAAAATATTACAGAAGTTGCCAAAATAACATGTGGAAGCTGTTATGGTGCAGCATTTAATGAATCTCAGTAAGGAATTCATCAGTTTAATACTAATATTTATTACAATGATATATTGTGCTTAAGCAATAGATAGAACCTATTTCTTTAAGCACATTATTTATACTGAGAATATAATTTGCAATTGTAGCTTTAAACAATATAATCTACAATATTTATTATAATTTTGAGATATATATTATTTATATTTAACTTAATAAATATATAACACTTTAACTACTATACCTCACATTAATTTTTAATGATATTGTTAATAGTACAAGATTCGCTTTATAGGTGTTGCAACACTTGTGATGATGTAAAAGAAGCTTATAGACTAAGACGATGGGCATTACCTGATTTGGCTACTATAGAACAATGCAAAGATGATGAATCACTAGAAAAAACTAACCTAGCTCTTAAAGAAGGTTGCCAAATTTATGGATATATGGAAGTTAACAGGGTATAATAATTATTATTATAACTAAACTAATAAAGAAGGCTAAATTTTCACTTTCACTTTAAAATAAACCATGGTTGTCTTTATCATAATTAGACTAAACAAAATATACTAATTTCAATTATTATATTAGACTCAAAATATTTCAGGTTAGTGGTAGTTTTCATATAGCCCCAGGAAAAAGTTTTACTATCAATCATGTGCACGTCCATGATGTGCAACCTTTCTCATCATCTGTTTTTAACACAACTCACATAATTAAGCATTTATCTTTTGGAACAGATATTAAAAGTGCTAATACTGCTCCTTTAGATGGTGTCACTGGGTTAGCCAAAGAAGGTAAGTCTTAAACTTATATAATTGCTCGTCACTTTTATCTTGTATGTTACATTTTGTAAGTCCTTTACGCATGTTTGTTAAATACAGATTACTGTGCCAATTTTATGTTGAACTACTGATATGGTTTGTTTTAATGGTTAGTATGGAATAGTAGTTGATCCTTTGCTCTGTGAAAAACAAAAAGAAATCTTATCCCACGGAAACTGTACAGGGATTAAAAGTAACATATGTGATATTTCAGATTATAATCTATCTCTGTGCCAAATTTCATCTGGATCCGTTCAGCTGTTCTGGCGTGATCAAGTAATAAACATCTATCCATTGCATTTATAATATTAATGGGATCAGGAATAGGGAAGACCAGAGGTTAATTTGTAAAATCTATACCAAGCAATATATGGTAGCATAGACAAAGAGCCAAGTTAACAATATATTATTTAGATTTAGTATTCATTGACAGATTAATATAAGATTTGGAAAATTATTCTAGCAGCCTTCTGTGGCAATGGTATATTATTTTACAAATGGACTCAGAAAATGTGCTATTCAAATAGTATGAGGTGGCCATTAAACAATGCAAATATTAAGTACCAATAAAAAACCCATTGGGTAGTAATAATATATTATGACTTTGTTATCTATACATATAAAAAAAATCTAACTGACATTAAATATTTTTTGGACAATCTTATTGACACACACATTATTATCGATACAGAGGCTGAATCTATAGTCTTTATAATTTTGTCTATCTGTCTGTGACTGCATCACGGAAAAACCACTGGAGGGATTCTGATGAAATTTGGTATGATAATACTGGTTTTCTGGGTCAACATATAGAATACTTTTTCTGGCAGGAAAATATCTCATCTCTGAGAAATCTACAATAACCATTAAAACATAACTAGGGTTAAAACTACCCTTGTCATAGTTGGTATATATTTGTTGTGGATTACACTTGTTAGATCATAACATAGGTTTTCTTTAGTAAGTTGAATAAAAATGGCAGTGTTCTTTAAAATCTATATACATACAGTATAATGCTTTAGGAAACAAATCCGTATAACTTGTATATTAACTTGTGTATTAAGACTACTGATAAAATACTGACAAATAACTGATATCATATTAAACTGCCTCGGTGGTGTAGTGGCTAGCATGTACGGCTGCACACGGGAGGTCTTGGGGTTCAAGTCCCGGGTCGGGTCAAGTTTAGTTATTGAGTCTTTCTGTATATTAAGCCCGGCGTTGGGAAGTTGACGGTGTTTCACCCCCATGCCTCGGAAAGCACGTAAAGCCGTCGGTCCTGCGTCTTATCTCTCACTGGTCGTGTCGAGTGGGTGTCCCACCAGAGTATGAGAGTGACATGAATAGAGAGTGCACTTGTGTCTACGCGTACACTTGTGCACTATAATATCTCCTGCGCAGTTGGCTAGTGTCAATGAAATTGGCCACCGTGGCCGGAATCAGTTAGGAGAACATCATCATATTAATCATTTACACACATGTTATAGGGATTTATTTCAATTCTTAACTTTTCTTTACTTACAACAATAAACTTTGAAATTATGAAATGATTGTATTTCAAAAAATTATGTTGCTTCAAATGTTAAAATTATCTTCTATAAAAAATACAACAAAATATGTTGAACTTAAAATGAACTTTATTTAGAAATAAACCAATATAACACTACATGTTAAGGAAAAATATATGTACAATTTATGTTACATGTATCATATCAACAACGAATTCCTGTTCCTATTGCCATGAATGTACCAAAAGTGCCACCTCCTTGAAGCATTACTTTTCCTACAGAATGAACCAATTCACGTCCTCTTGCGCCATATCTAAAAAAATAAATTAAGCGTATTATTAATATAAAGTAAAAGATTGAACAGCTATAGTTAAACACTGAAATTAATAATAACCTTAAAGCTGTAAAACCGCCGAATAAGCCACCACTTGCCATGCCTACACAAAATCCTATCATGAACCCCATTTTCATTTTATCAAAACATGAAGGGCCTTGAGTTTGATAAACACCCCCAGGAACTGGCATTTTCCTTTGTAATAGTACCTAAACAATATGTTTTAAATTTTAATGTTCAACAATAGAACATAAGTCAATGTCAAGCAGGGTTGGATCCAGAGCCTCAAAAAAATATTGTACATAGAGAATAAAATTATACTACCTTGTCCAAAATTATACCACGTTTGACGTTTCATGTTTTTCACGTTTCGTTTTACGGCGTTTTTGTATTGAATTGAAATAAACTTGCATAAGTATTAAAATTGAGATAGAAAAAAAAAATGGAAAAGAATTTTTTAAACAAATCTACTTTCAATATACACTTTGGATGATGAATATAATTTTTCCCCTCAGAATGAGTCGATAAAACATGCTTTGCGGCCATCATTGAAACATTACATTCTATACATCGTGCTTTGAAATTCTCTTAAGGATCACGAGTAAGCCACTAACTAAATTTTGGATCACTCTCCCATTCGACTCTGTATTTTTCTTGTCTATGTTTCCCTTCACTTTTAAATCGCCTCTTTCAACGCGTTTCTTCTTTGGCGTCGAACACTACAGTTTTCTTCGCCCTCACTATCACTCATGATCACAAATTGCGACTACAAAATAGTTTATTCTCTATATTCTCAAAATTGTCAAAGCGTAAGAAACAATAATGTACACACGTCACACACTACAATATTGTACTGGTTTATAATATTGTTTTTCATTGTTCAACTGCCTCGGTGGTGTAGTGGCTAGCATGTACGGCTGCACACCCGGAGGTCCTGGGTTCGAGTCCCGGGTCGTGCCAAGTTTAGTTATTGAGTCTTTCTGTATAGTAAGTCTCAGTAACAGCCCGGCGTTGGGAAGTTGGCGGTGTTTCACCCCCGTGCCTCGGAGAGCTCGTAAAGTTGTCGGTCCTGCTCCTTAGCTCTCACCGGTCGTGTCGAGTAGTCGTCCCACCGGTGTATGAGAGTGATAGGAATAGAGAGTGCACTTGTGTCTGCGCGTACATTTGAGCACTATAATATCTCCTGCGCAGTTGGCTAGTGTCAATGAAATTGGCCGCCGTAGCCGGAATCGGTCAGGAGAACATCATCATATTAATCATTTACACACATGTTATAGGGATTTATTTCAATTCTTAACTTTTCTTTACTTACAACAATAAACTTTGAAATTATGAAATGATTGTATTTCAAAAAATTATGTTGCTTCAAATGTTAAAATTATCTTCTATAAAAATACAACAAAATATGTTGAACTTAAAATGAACTTTATTTAGAAATAAACCAATATAACACTACATGTTAAGGAAAAATATATGTACAATTTATGTTACATGTATCATATCAACAACGAATTCCTGTTCCTATTGCCATGAATGTACCAAAAGTGCCACCTCCTTGAAGCATTACTTTTCCTACAGAATGAACCAATTCACGTCCTCTTGCGCCATATCTAAAAAAATAAATTAAGCGTATTATTAATATAAAGTAAAAGATTGAACAGCTATAGTTAAACACTGAAATTAATAATAACCTTAAAGCTGTAAAACCGCCGAATAAGCCACCACTTGCCATGCCTACACAAAATCCTATCATGAACCCCATTTTCATTTTATCAAAACATGAAGGGCCTTGAGTTTGATAAACACCCCCAGGAACTGGCATTTTCCTTTGTAATAGTACCTAAACAATATGTTTTAAATTTTAATGTTCAACAATAGAACATAAGTCAATGTCAAGAGAGGGATGTCTCATGTCACAAATGACAAATCACAATTCCGCTTTTCATTTTCAACCACAGACTAAAAAATTTTAAGGGAATGCAGCTATCCATACTACAAATTATTATCATTAACCATTTTAGTATTAAATTGTAATGAACAAAGTTTTTAGCAATTATTGAAAAAAATAGTTAGTGTTAGATTAACTTGTAGATGATGTTCTGGTCACATCAACCAATGCATACATCTACTTTAATATTTCACAAAATTACATTTATTACGTATTCTTTGCCTTTTGGATACTCTGGTTTAAAGGTAGTTTGTAGTGTCCGAATAATATTGGAGCATTTATGCTATTTGCATACATTATTATTCTATATAAAAAAATAACATTTTTAAGCAGCTACTGAATTACCACTTCGTAAGACGTCATCTGAATAAAAAGTAGCATTATCTCTTTTTTTAAATATGCAAATAGCATCCAAAATTATTAAATTATGTTGTAAGCTTTTTAGTTTGATCAGTTAGATATTTTTAATTTTATTTAAGAATTTCTTATCCTAATTTAATTTTAAACATATAAGTTTGATTATTTATTTGATCGCCTTTTAAAAACTTGTATTTAGACACCCCACTCGATTGATTCGGATCGCAAGTTTTTTTTAAGACAAATTGACGTCTAAGATCTGCTATTTTAATTTTTAATTTTTTAAGGAATAAGCACTATGACACTAGTGTGTTCATGACGAATGTAACGATGTATGACTCGTCAAAATAAACCGTTTAGTAATTACTTCTACCTCCATAATAAATAGTGATTACGAGGGAACATTGGATGAGACATACATATTGTACATACACACGTACAGGTCAATCACATAAATGCAATGCTTAAAGTTGTTTTTACAATAATTTAACCTCAAAAATTGAAATTTTGAAAATGAAATATCTCGAAAACTACTAGCCTCCGCGGTTTTTCCTTTTAAAGGGGAGTTCCTCTCACTCCTCCCCTCCTCCCCCACCATCTCTCCTCCCTTAAATCGATGTCATAGATTGTACAGTTCAACCAATACTAATACTTTAAATTAAATAGTAACTTAACAAAATCTGTACATGATTTCATGTACAGATTTCTTAATTTTTGAAAGACAATGACTGTAACATATTGTTTAAATATATATACCCCATAACAATAGTTATATTTTTTTTGTCTGTGGGCCTATATCGCAAAAAGCACTAAACCGATTTTAACTAAATTTTGTATAGTGATAATTTATTACTCGAGTCAACATTTAGGATACTCTTTACTACAGGAAAATCTTTCATTCCCATGGGAAAACACAATTACTTCTGTCGTCCTTAGAAATTAACTGGACTAACGTTGGCTAAAGACACAAAAACAATGTACCTACCTACAAGAAAACTGTAGGATTTAAAAGTCTATCATATAATGTACACTCGTAATAACTATTGTATCTATTTAAAACGTACACACACCCCTGAGTACGCTCACGAGCAAAGGGAGCGTAAGTCGCTAGTTCTATAATAAATCTAAATGGATTAGTTTTAATGCACACAAAATAAATAATAAATAAATATGTTGGGACATTAACACACAGCGCCATCTAGTTCCATGATAAGCTGCGAGGCTTGTGTTATGGATACCAGATAGTTGATACACTACACATATATAACTTTGAATACATACTTATTATAAATATAAACATCCATGACTGGAGTACAAACATTCGTCATTACACAAATGAATGCCCCCAGCGGGACTCGAACCCGCGACCGCTGGCACAGCAAGCAGGGTCACTTCAAACTGAGCCAAACGTGTCGTAAATCTTTGATTAGAGTTTATGAGCTAAAATTACAACATGTTACAATTGTGCTAATTTGAAAACTTAATTATTAAAATGCAACTATTTTGCTCATCACTGTATCTGTATTTACATTGTTTCAGGTGCTGTTATGTTTCAGTACTATTTAAAAATAGTTCCTACAATGTACATAAAATTAGACGGTACTGTTTTACACACAAACCAGTTTTCAGTAACAAGACATCAAAAATCTGTGTCAAATGTAAATACAGAATCTGGGATGCCAGGTGCATTTTTCAGTTATGAGTTATCACCTTTAATGGTAAAATATACTGAAAAAGAAAGGTTAGTAAATATAGTTATTTTAATTAAAAACCTTTATTTTATTATTATATTTATTAATTATGAAGATTTTTGGGATGCAACAGTATTGGTAACCAAGCACATTTATTTTTCAAATGAGGAACAGAATGTCGAGAATGGTATACCTTTCAAGCCACATATGGCATATTATAATTTTATTACACAACTACTGTTTTTTTTTATAAAGATAGACAATCTTCTTTTAATTTATAGCCTCAGAAAATAACATCGCATCAATTAATTTATTTGTTATAACTCATGTTAACTATATGTTTTTATTTTAGGTCTATTGGTCATTTTGCTACAAACATCTGTGCAATTGTTGGTGGAGTATTCACTGTAGCTGGTATTTTTGACACTCTATTATATCATTCACTAAATGCCTTCCAAAACAAGGTTATTTTAGGTAAAGCAGGCTAAAGTAAATCATAATGTTTTTAAAAATATGTTAAAGTCATCAACATTGCATTTAGCATAGGTTTTACAAAATTCTAGATCTGTATCTTCAACTAAAGCTTTAATTGGTATATAATTTTCTTTATTACAATCATATTGTGCTCGGCCTAAACTTTTCAGGAATAAATGTCTTTGTTTAACTCTGAAATTTCTACATAATAGCACATTAGGATAATGCAATATTGTAAGATGTGGAACTTTAATTATATTGTGAAGATAGTTGAACCTTTCTAATAATGATTTTTGACCTGTAACAAAATATATAGTATAAGTAAAGTAAAATATTTTTTTATTTTTGTGATACATCAAATTTAATTTTTTAACTTTTAAGTACCAATCCTTTATTCTAGCCTTAAATATACATTATAGGCTAGGCTCTTAAAATACTAAAATATCATTCATATAATATAATTTAACTTCAAAAATTATATTTAATATTACTATTGCTCAAAAGAAAGTTTAGGCATTGAATACTTACTTGTTAACCATATATTTGGTTTATGTAGAATAAGTTGTTTTACTTCATTTGCTTTAAATCCCATTTCTTCTGTTAGTACAAATGTGTTAGTATTTATATAATGAAGTTTGTAAGTTATTATTTTTGGCTGCTTAGTTGCGAGCAGCCTTACTTCATCTCCACATAAATTAAATTTTTGTTGAAAGTATCCCAATCTCCTATCAATCCTAATAGTGCTAAAAGGAAAAAATAGCATTTAATGTATGCATAGTGCATGCAAGGAAATTTATGTATTTGGTAGTATTATTAATAATATTTAAATTTGAACCAAAGTATACAATAATTATTATTACCTAAACATTAACCAGAAAGGATTCTTTTGTATAATATGCAGAATGTCCTGTGATTTGAATTTTTTTGATCTTAAGTAGTTAATCCTAACTTGAAGATCTTCTAAAGATTCACACAAAATCAGAGGATTTTTAGTTATATAATTTCCAATATTTTCTATACCAACATAGTCCTTTAAAAAGAGAATTTGATTCTTTATATCTTTTTCAAAGTCGAGTTTTAATATTTTATGCACTATATGTGGTCTTTTTTCAATTTTGCTCAGATTAACATTTAGATGAAGTAGATTCTGGAGTGTTTCAGATTTGTTAATATAACCTGCTATGTTAAACGACTCGGGAAAATAAGAAGTTATTTCAGAGACATCTTGAGACATTGGTTCCAATGGATTTCTTTTCACATTATTTTCAGTATTAACTAAACTATTACAAAATACAAAACTGTTTTGAATATAGCGAGTAACATTAAAACTTCTGTTAGTAATAAATAATAATTTATAAGATGATAAATTCATAATGTGTTATTTTGTCTTCCACTACATACGTACTATACATTAGATGATTAGATTAACTATTACACAAATGGGAGAGTCAAAAGTTATTGGGTTTTTGCAGTTTGCACTTTTGCGTGAAATTGTTGAGGTTAAAGCTAATGTGTCATTGTCAAGCTATTCCCTGTTTTCCAATTATGCATAATGCCGCACTTTGGCGCACAAGCACGAACAACGCGAAAAAACCGCTCCATAAATTCTGCTTCTAAGTTGATCCGTTATGCGCATCACGCCAACGGCCAAAGCAGTACTTTTCAAAATGCTCGATAGTGCGGAGCATTGCTGTAATTGAAAAAAGTGAAGAAGTTGATTACTATGCTGCATAATGCGTTTTGTGCTGTAATTGAAATTTGAAAAACTACCAAGATGGTTCTCCTCATCCCTACCCTCTATAGACTGGACCTATGTGTAACACACGGTTAAAAAAAACAAAGTCAATGTCAATAATTGTCAAGTGACGCGATGTAAATCGGGCAACATGCAATCGCCAATCATCAATGTGAAATGTGAATACTGAACAGTAGAAAGGCCATAGGTAGTTGATATCGCTGCACTTACATATGTTCTGTTATTATATCAATTAAACGTCTATTGATTCACCTATTATCTACAAGGTATACTTTTTTTTTAAATTTACTAACAACTATATTACATTATTTTTATTTTTCGCAGTTTGATACCATAAAATTTGGTTTCAAATATTATACTTTCCCTACACTTCTATATTTTACCATATGGTAATGTAACAATTAAGTACGTTTTTCAATCAATTAAACTGTATAAGTAATTTCTTACCTTAAAAAAATGAAACAAAAATGAATTTGTTAATAGATTAAATATAACTAACTATGAAAATAAGAGCAAAGATAAGACTTAACCTTTATTTCTATGTATATAACTAAATATGTAGTAACATAACTAAACATGTAGTAATAGGTAATATTATCTATACAGATAAATAAAATTGAAGTGTCTGTCTGTCTGTTTGTAACGGGTAATCTCCGAAACGGCTAAGCCGATTTTGACGGGACTTTCACTGGCAGGTAGTTGATGTTATAGGGAGTATCTTAGGCTACTTGTATTTCAGTAAGAGAATTAGGGTTCCACTCAAAAAAATTAAAATGTACCTAGGGTAACCCAAGCGCAGCAAGAGTGAGTCGCTAGTTTTATATAATATAATGACTAGATGAAGTATAATTAACTTGGTACCTATGTAATTTCAGGTGAATCATCAAAATTCAGACCTATATTTTATTTCTTTTTAAAAATTAAATAAAATTTATTTTTGAGATCCATGTAAAAGAAATTTGATTGACATTTAGAATAGATGTTGTAAATTATGTATGGCCATTTTCTTATTTATTGTTGTTTTATCATAACATATGGATGAAAATTGTATGATTAATGTTGAAATAAATTAATCTTTAATTATATTATATAATAATTATTGTATTATATTATATAATAAAGTAATATAATTTGCCATGAATAGCTCAAAAGTTGTCCCAGGATAATTTTTGCATTTCCAGTAGGTAATGTCTGATATACCATGCTCTTATGTCATCTCACTTGAATACCATAATGTGGAAATTACTTAGATTTATATGTAATGCATTTATGATTATTTTTTCCTATATACCATTACAGATTAAGTATATTTTGTTTATATACCAAATATCAACTCTCCTACTAATTAATACACTTAGTGAAAAGAGACTGAAAAATAGACACATACATGATTTTAAAAGAAATTATTTTTTTATATGGGGAGATCTATGCGTTCACCACAGTAATATTATAAATATGAAAAAAACACTTGTCTGTTTGCACTTTGCATGTTACATTACCAAACTGCTGAATAGGTTTTGATGAAATTTGGTAAATCTAAGGATGGATATAGCCTATAGGCTAACTATTATTCTTGCCACTGCCCTTCTATAATACTGTGGGGTAGATTAGTGTGTAATAAATAGAGTTAATCTGCATTTTTATAGAAAATTGTTTGTGTAATAATGTAATGTTAACACTTATTATTTTACAGGTAATTTGCAATTATGGATACACAAATGACTGGGAGTGAAATTAGAAAAGCATTTATAGACTTCTTTATTAATAAAGGCCACAAGTATGTTCATTCTTCCTCAACAATTCCACTAGATGATCCAACATTGCTGTTTGCAAATGCAGGCATGAATCAATTTAAGCCAATATTTTTGGGGTCAGTTGATCCTAACTCGGATATGGCTCAATATGTAAGAGTTGTCAATACTCAAAAATGTATTAGAGCTGGTGGTAAACACAATGATTTAGATGATGTTGGAAAAGATGTATATCATCATACTTTCTTTGAAATGATGGGGAATTGGTCATTTGGTGACTACTTTAAAAAAGAAATATGTTCATGGGCCTGGGAACTTCTTACTCAGGTATATAAACTATCTGGAGATAGACTATATGTCACTTATTTTGGAGGTGATGAATCTTCAGGATTGGACCCGGATTTAGAATGTAAAAATATTTGGTTAAATTTAGGAGTTCCTGAAGCACACATTTTGCCTGGTAGTATGAAAGATAACTTTTGGGAAATGGGTGAAACTGGACCTTGTGGACCTTGTTCTGAATTACATTATGATAGAATTGGTGGAAGAAATGCTGCACATCTAGTTAATATGGATGATCCTGATGTACTTGAAATTTGGAACTTAGTGTTCATTCAATATAATAGAGAATCAGATGGATCATTAAAATTATTACCTAAAAAGCATATTGACTGTGGATTAGGTTTGGAAAGATTAGTCTCTGTTATTCAAGATAAAAGAGCTAATTATGATACAGATTTCTTTATGCCCATCTTTGAGGCTATAGAAAAAGGAACGAAAATAAGACCTTACAGTGGTAAAGTTGGATTAGAAGATGCAGATGGAATCGACATGGCTTACCGTGTGCTTGCTGATCATGCTAGAACTTTGACAATTGCCTTATCAGATGGTGGTTACCCTGATAATACAGGAAGAGGATATGTACTTAGAAGAATTTTGAGAAGGGCTGTTCGTTTCGCGTCAGAGAAACTAAATGCAAAACCAGGCTTTTTTGGATCATTAGTTCACATTGTTGTAAAATTATTGGGCGATGTTTTTCCAGAAATTAAAAAAGATCCGGAGTCTATTATTCAGACTATTAATGAAGAAGAAATCCAATTTTTGAAAACACTTACACGTGGTCGAAATTTACTTAACAGGACAATTGAAAAACTAGGCGACTCGAAAATTATCCCTGGTGATGTGGCATGGCGTATGTATGATACTTATGGTTTCCCGATTGATTTAACACAATTAATGTGTGAAGAAAATGGTTTAGCCATAGATATGGAAGGCTATGAGAGAGCAAAAAAGGAATCTCAACTATCATCTCAAGGGAAAACCGCAGGTCAGGAAGATTTATTGTCTTTGAATATTCATGCTATAAGTCATTTACAAGAAAGTGGTATTCCTGTCACTGATGATTCACCAAAATACAACTATATCGCTTCAACACCTGAGAAAGATGCGGAATATGAGTTTGCTCCATGCTCTGGTACGATTTTAGCTTTACGCAGAAATAAAGAATTTGTAAATGAGGTAACGACGGGCCAAGAATGTGGCATTTTACTAGACAAAACAAATTTCTACGCGGAGCAGGGTGGTCAAATATTTGATGAAGGATATATGGTAAAAATTGACGATGATAGTGTAGAATTCACTGTTAAAAATGTTCAAGTTAAAGGTGGCTACGTGCTTCATATGGGCAAAGTTGAAGGAACTCTTAAAGTTGGAGATTCTGTTACTCTTAACATCGATACAGAAAGACGACGATTAGTTATGAATAATCACACAGGAACACATATCTTAAATGGTGTATTAAGAAAAGTTCTTGGTAATGATTCCGATCAACGTGGATCACTAGTCATGCCAGATCGTCTCAGATTCGATTTCACTAACAAGGGTCCCATGACAGTTAAACAGGTAAAAGACGCTGAAGATGAAATTAAATCGATTATAAGTGCCAATAAACGAGTTTATGCAAAACATACCAGTTTAAGTGAAGCAAAAAAAATTAAAGGGCTTCGTGCAATGTTTGATGAACAATATCCAGACCCAGTTCGCGTGGTTTCCGTGGGTGTGTCAGTAGAAGAGTTAGAAAAAAATCCAGAGGGATCATCTGGGTTAGAGACTTCCGTGGAGTTTTGCGGTGGTTCTCACTTACATCAAACTGGTCACATTGGAGAATACGTCATTGTTAGTGAAGAAGGCATCGCAAAAGGTATTCGAAGAATTGTAGCCTTAACTGGCCCAGAAGCTATTAAAGCTATAAACAAAATGAGCATTCTAGAGAATGAAGTCAATAATATTGCTAATTTTATTAAAGAGCAAGGAGATAATATTAATCAAAAAGAAATAGTCAAGAAAATTGTCGAGCTTACCAATGACGTTTCACAAGCTCAGATATCTTATTGGAAGAAAGAAGAATTGAGAACAATGCTTAAAAATCTTAAAAAACAATTAGATGATAAAGAAAGGGCTGCTAAAGCTATGACTATTAATCTAGTGATTGAAAAGGCTAAGGAAATGTGTTTAGAAGAAAAATGTCCAGAGATAATTATTTCTGAATTGAAAGCTTACAATAACACAAAAGCTTTGGATGGGGCATTGAAGCAAGTGAAACAGTTTAAGCCTAATTCTGCTGCTATGTTTTTGTCTGTTGATGAAGATTCTAATAAAATATTTTGTTTGGCAGCAGTACCTAAAACATTAATTGATAGAGGTTTATTAGCATCAGAATGGGTACAAGCAATTGTACCAATTATAGGTGGTAAAGGAGGAGGAAAATCAGAATCCGCTCAAGCATCAGGAAATAAACCAGAAGCTTTAAATGAAGCTATCAAAATTGCACGCGATTTCGCTTTGTCAAAAATATCTAGTAATTAAATAAAAGTTATTACACACATTAATATTATGCTTGCGTACAATTAAATATTTCTTTCCCTGTTTTAAAAGTTATTAAAAAATAAAAACTTTTATTTCTTAAATGTAACTTTTAATTTCACGTATAACTGATTGTAATTTATTTTGTAATAATTTTTAATAAATATCTTTATTTATATATTTTTTTTATTTATACATCATTGTTAGTGTGAATTCAAAACTATTTATTATTAAATTAATATTATCAATGTAATAGTGTCCCTCTAAAACTATTCCCGTGTCTGCCTTCGACTGTTTGTATTTATAATAAAAATATATAAACGTACAATCTATACTTATATTATAAAGAGGTAAAGTTTGTGATCTTGTGAGTTTGTGACGTTGTAGGGGGTAATCTCTGGATGTACTGAACCGATTTTCAAAATTCTTTTACCAATAGAAAGCCACGTTCTTTCTGAGTGTCATAGGCTATATATTAACCCGAAAAATTAAAAGGCTCTTTCGTGGTAGTCGGATTTGCAAAGTAAGTCTGAGAAAAAACGGTCGAATGAAAACGTTTCTTACGAACGCTGCCTTAAGCCTAGTTCGCATTAAGCTAGTATTTTAGTCTAGTAGCGAGTAATTTAGTAACTAAACGTGTCTGAACACTAAAAATTTAGTCGATTAGTTTAGTAAGTAATTTAAAATTTGTTTCGAAATATGTTGAACACGAATGCTTGTGGAATATTAGGTCCTTGCATTATAAAAACAAGCATATGAAACATTCCGCATACTTAGATTTGGAAAAAATAATGAATATACCCGGATTTGGCGAAAATTATTATTCTTTTTATTATCACACAAATTTCCTCATCCACCTCTTCTAAAATAGCCGTTACGATCAGCTTAATCAGTTTATTTACTTTATTGCGTTGTAGGCTGTTCATCTTGCAAAACACCACTCACTTGTAAACTGTACTCGACCAAAGTGCGAACGATTTTTGGTGAGTAGCGAGTAATTTAGCTACTAAATTACTCGCTACTAGACTAAAATACTAGCTTAATGCAAACTAGGCTTTAACGATGAGAGATATATGATTATATTCTAGAGAAAAGTTGTAGAGCTTAATAATGCCTACAAAAAAGTCCGCGACAGCATATGTCTAACTTTTATATTTAAGTCACAAAAAGTAGTCTTTTATATTAAAAAAATAATTTAAATCGGTAGGTCATGTTTATTGGTCATATTATCAACAATTATGAATTCTTATCAAAATAAGTAAATTTGTCGTCTAAAATGTTTAAAACAAAAGAGTTTTCCCTTTTACTGCATATAATTTGGACAAATGGTTAAAGAGATAATACAACATATTCGTAGGTATGGACGAACCCGAGCGAGCTGTTTGTCTGTTTTCCTGTTTGTACGGGCTAATATCCGAATCTATTGGACCAATTTAAATAAAATTTTGCATGGTGGTACCTTATATCCCCGGGCAACATCTTAGATACTTTTCATCTCGGAAAATTAAAGAGTTCCCGTGGGATAGTTAAAAAACTATAACAACTTATACCTTAGTTTAGTACACAAAAACTACTGATTGAATTTTAATGAAACTTTACAATAATATAGTTCATACATGACAAAAACAAATCAGTTACTTTTCATCCCGGAAAATAAAGAGTTTCCGTGGGATAGTCAAAAAACTATAGTAACTTATACAGCTTAGTGCACAAAAACTATTGATTGGATTTTGATGAAACTTTACAATAATATAGTTCATACATCAGAATAACAAATAGGTAACTTTTTATCCCGGAAAAATGTACTGTTCCCGTGGGATAGATATTTTTGTTTATTTGTAACGTATTATGTACACAAAAAATACACAAAAAATTGTCTGTTTGTGTGTTTTTGTGTGCGCGTTTCACAAGAAAAGTAATGTACCAATTTCAACGAAATTTGGTGAAGTGATAATTTATTACTCGAGTCAACATTTAGGGTACCTTTTGTATGTATGTATGTATGTATTCAGCCCTTTTTAACGTACTACTGCTGGGCACGGGCCTCCCTTCAGTACGAGGGGGATCAAGCCATACTCCACCACGCTGGCCAAGTGCGGGTTGGCGGACTTCACACGTCTTTTGAAAACTTGCTAGGTTCTGTCAGACATGCTTTCCTCACGATGTTTTACTTCACCGTGAAGACAAGTGGTAATTGTGTTAGAAATGATTCGCACATGAAAATATCAGAGGTGCGAGTGCTTCACTCGGTTTCCCAAGCGAGCGCGTTATCACTGGGATACCACTGCCTAGATACCTCTTACTTCAAGAAAATCTTTCTTTCCCACGGGAAAATACATTATCTGGTTTTATCGAGTCCTCCCTAGAAACCTTCCGCAGGCTAAGCCTTCAGACATACATACATCAAAACAATATAATAAAAAATTGTAGATCTTAAAAAGTCCTACAGAAAAGTTGTGAATAGTAGATGTCTACCTCCTAAGTTACACTCGCAATATTTATTCTTATCTATACGTCTCTCTATCACGCAAAAAGTACTCAACCGATTTTAACTAAATTTTGTATAGTGAACTTAGTACTCAGGTCCACATTTAGGATACCTTTTACAACAGGCAAATTATTCCTTCCCGTGAGAAAACACAATAACTGGTTCTATCGAATCGTCCTTAGAAATTTATATGGCTAACGTTGGCTCAACCATATGAGATAGATCAAAACATTGTACAAGAAAATTGTAAGTCTTAAAAAGGTTGATAAGTTCTACATAGTATATGTCTATCTCCTAACGTACACTCACTATAACTATTTTCATTATTATATATTACTGTTTTATTATACGTTATTTATTCCATCTAAATATACATATATGAATAATAAAACTGTAAGGGTCAAATGTCTGTACATAGATGATAGAAAAAATGCTAAAAACCGAGTCAGATCTCTTCTTACATTCCGTAAGGAGAGAAATAGAACAAATGCAGTTTTTTATCCAATTTTTTGTTTCTCTGTCTGTATGGGCTAATCTCCGAAACTATTGAACCGATTTAGATGAAATTTTGCATGGTGGTACCTTATATCCCCGGTCAACATCTAAGATACTTTTCATTCCGGAAAATTAAAGAGTTCCCGTTGGATAGTTAAAAACTATAGTAACTAATACAGCTCAGTACACAACAACTTATGCACCTAATTAAGTAAAATTTTCCATGCTGATACCTTATATTTCAGCTCAAACAACAGATTACTTTTCATCCCGTAAAAATGAACGATTCCCGTAGGATAGATTTGTTTGTGCTTTTCTAGAGGTGAACCCGAGCGAAGCAAGGGTGAGCCGCTAGTATAATATAATTTAACATTTGCTGCGAATCTAGCTACGTGTTAGTAATGTCTCATCTTCTCTTCTTTTTAGTTCGATACGATAGGATCAGGCTTACATACGAGTACATACATACATACAGGTCAAACATTATTAATAAAAGCAAGTTTTTAGTCTGTTAGTCTTCTTACAAAAATTAGCATCAAATTAATTTAAATGCGATTATTTTACTAAATAAAGTACTTTTTACTTACACAATTGCTACTACGTTTAGTCTAAAAATAGACAAAAAAAAACTTAAAAAATATATAAAAACCGACTTCCAGACACTTAAAAGTAAAAACTTAACAAGAGTTTTCATTTACTATAGACACATCAGAAATTCTCGAAGTCGATGGCAGTCAACCTAAAATCAAAACGCCGGAAACAAAGCAAATATATTTTGATATGTATAAATAATATATCACTTTATGTAGTCTTACTTTGTCATATTTACCTATTAGATATTTGTCATAAAACCTAAGAGGAATCCTCAAACTTGAAAATAATATAAACATTGCCATAACGTGAGATTTATCTGAAAAATACATACATATAGGCATGCGAGAGAAAGAGCACGTATAAAAAAATGGTAAAAGGTTAATTTTGGCTTTAGATCTTTTTTATAATCGTATTTTTTATAGTCGTATCACTCGTAAATATCCATAACTCATTTATTTAATCTATATTGAATTAAATATGCAAATATTTTATATGCAAGCCTTCCATTTTCCTGTAATTCACCAATAGATAGCGCTGCAGTACATGAGCATTAAGTAGACTGAAACACGATATAAATGCACTATCGGGTAAAGCTTGTAAAAGTAAAAAAATATTTATCAAAACAAAAGCACAACATGAATAAAGTTTCGACAGCCAGCCTTCGGTCCTTGAAATAAATTTTGTGCTTCAAATCGATACGATGACGGACGTTACGATTGATACAATACGAAAGGTTTCGTGGTAGCAAATTTAATCCTGGTATTCCACGTTACGCTGCACAAAGTCCAAATATTATCAATGTCGATACGAATACTTTTTCACAATTGTTCGTGCTCGCCCAAGTACTATTTATTATCTATTTTTATATAAATTGGGCTGTAGTGGATAATAAAACAATTTTCATTTTTTTTTAATTTTTATTGAACTTTATAGACGAACTTTATAAATATAGTTAAAACAAAATATATCTTATATAAATGACATAATACAGTAATGATATCTACACCCTACACATTATCGTTTAAACAAATATTAAAATTTTTGGTTGGTCTTTTTCGACGGCACCCATTTCATTGAAATAATTCTCTCAGTATGGTGCACTAAAGTGATAATAATTTACATTACTCTACTAGTGTTAAACGGCAAAAATATTTTCATTCCTGACCAAAACCTTCGGTTTCTTCGATAGCGTAGTTCAATTTTTCACATAGTTGTTCATAGCTCTTGTAAGGCGGAAGGTCGAGTCGGTTGAAGCAGGTGTGCGAGCGCGGCAGCCAGGTGTCCTTACCGACCTGTTTTAACAAAATACTCTTAACATTAATTACAATGAAGTGACTCTATTTTAGCTAAAATTACGAAAACGAAAAATCATGTTAAAATTTTATTTAAAAATTTCATCAATCAAATCAACATTTTTGTCGAGACGATTTCTTTTCTTTGTCTGTATATCTCCCGCTGTTGAAAATAACCTTACTGAGGACATAGTGAAAGATTTTATCTATCTCTTTCCTTTCTTTTCATACCAAAGATATAATTAATCTGATTGTGGGTGTCTCATTCAGATAGGCATAAACTTCATTCGTAGTACTTGTATTATTCAATTTCACTCAAATATTATAACTGTCGTCATTAAATTTTTTATGTATTTGTATGTAATTTTGTGTGTATTTTGTCAAATACGAATATTGGTTAATTGCCTCTTACTTGGTTGATTAAATCAATTAATATTGAAAAACAAAGAAAAATGATTGAAATTTTATAGATATCATACATATTAACGCAATAATACCTTTTCTATACAAAATCGTTGAGGCCCATTAGATCCCATAAGTTCAGCAAATCCTCCGACTGGCACTCGACATGTTCCTGTTACAAATTGTAACAACCTCGCTCGTTTTTCATTGTCCATTTGGCGCACAAACTGAAATTTTAATTTAAAATGTAATTTTAGTTTTTCCTGAAGGATAAATAAAATAAAATATGATTAGAAAGTAAAATATAAAAAATAAACTTGCAAAATTATTATTTTGATTTGATGAAACTAACATTTACAATTCGGTGCAAAGTGGTCCAAATGTTTATAATAATTCTCATACGTCAACACCGTCCACTGACATTTTTAATATATAATGTCCTCGTGACCGATTTTGATCACAATCTGAGATTAGTCATCTGCGTAAGAGTTACTACTTCGCGTTAAGCGGCTGGACTGATTTTGATGAAATGTAGATAATACAGATAAATTATGCAAAGCACGAGTAAGTAGCATTAGGAGTAAAAAATAAATTATTAACCATAATATAATACCATAGGGTCTCATCACAAAGAAAAATTAATTCAAATGAATGTCAATAGATGACGTTACATGTATCGATTTGTTATTAATATTAAAGTTGTGTTAAATTAACAAAAGCTAAAAAATTAGATTTCAAAAATGTGTATTATTGTTTTAAAAAAATATCCTAAGTCCAGTGAAATGAAATAAAGCGCTAGTAAATCAAATTTGAGTAATTTTACTGATTATTGAAAGATTAGCAACCAGATGATAGGTTTTTAGTGCATATTCACTGATGACGCTTTTACTTTTCATGAATTATTTATCATGGTTAAAATTACTGTTTTTTTTATTGGAATGCAGGATGAATTTTACAATATTTATCATACGTTAGTTTGCACATATTTATAAAATAAAACAGTTTAACTATTTGCGAATCAATGACGTCTATTAAATTATTATCTATTCAAGCAAACAAAAGTAGCCCGAATTAACGCTGTCCATTTTTTTGTTTGAGATAACGCATCTGTTATAACTATAGTATTACGTGATCTGTGATAATATATGATGTGTTTTATGTAAAAAACATAATAATAACTATCCTAAAAAAACTGAGTGTACATTATTCGTTAACGTAATATAACCCGGACAGTACGGGTGTATGTGTTAGATGCGCATACCTGCCAGAACCAGACGACCTGCTTGCTGGTGCGCGTGTAGTGCCGGTAGATGGTGTTGCGCTGCCAGTCGTCCACGTCCACCTCCTGCATGCCGCACAGCATCAGCTCCAGCTCGCGCTCGTCGAAGTACTTCAGCCATTCCAGAGGCACTACCTGCAATGTTTACGAGCATACAGATGCTTCATATTTCCATACTATTTTATAGTTTCGTTAACTACACAATAAAAGGTTTAAATAATATAATTATTATTTGTATAATAAAAAGTTTTACTTCATAATTATCTATATACTTTTTCTCATAATCTCGGAATTAAAGTGGAAGTTTTCAGTCAAAAAATTCAAAAAATGAAGTCAAAAATTTAACTAGACTTATTGTAAATTTAATATTTTAATCATATAATATTTTTGATCCAAATTAAAATTTAGTATTGAAAACTGTAAAAATTAAGTTTTTGTCAGCCCTTGGTCATGAAAACGCACGAATTTAGCCGAGGGCCATATTCCATAACATTTTTGAAATATTTAAATATCCTAAGTTTATGGAACATAATTTTTTTTTGATATAAAATTGATTAAGCAAAGCTGAAAATATAAGACAGAGATAAAATATGTAAACAACTTATAACAAACTTATTCTAAATAAAACTCTTCGTTTTTTTCGAATTAGATTTTTTCGTTAATTAATTTCGAAAAGGTAGTATCATTTAAAATGTCAAATATTCGCGTAAATCTAAGAAAGTATTATGTTAACTTATTTTAATTTCATCACGCTTCATCTTTTCTTTTAAATACACTTTTAAAAAATATATTAAAAAAAACTAAACAATACGTTTTAATCAATTGCCCAATTAAAAATTTGAATATTATTGAAAATATTATATACATGAAATCTAAATAGTTCTTCATTGTATTCAATGTTCGACTTTTAACCTCCGACATTATCGTGTAATCCTCGCCATTATTATATTTGCAACTCGTATTCGTGGCAAATCAAGTAAGCCCAAAGTTTCCATCATCCTCGCTACTAAATATTTGTGCCCTCGATAAAACTGTTATAATGATGTATCAAAATAATAAATGTATTTCTTATTTGTATTTTGCTACTTGTAACGCCATCTCATGTGCAATGTATACACTATATTGTATTAAGTATATTTTTATGGTAGTATGTCAATTTTATTTAAAAAGAAATTGTATATGTATACTTTAAAAATTAAATCTAGTCTGTTAGCGACATTCACACGACACACGTTTCATTATAAAAACAAACCAAATAGCCCAAACTGAAAAGGTTTAGTGTTTACTATGGATGAGCGCAACCACCACGCTGCATTATCTCCTAATTCTATTACAAACAGATCAGTGCGTGGGCGAACGAGCTTCGTTCGGCGCTTTTTTTTTAGAAAAGATAAAAAATTGCATTTTGTCAGAAATACAATTACATAATATATAGATAAACTTAAAAACAAAACCTTTCAAAATTTGATAAAATACGGGGAAAACGATTTTTCCCAGATATGAGACTTAGCTGGATCGATTTTTCCCCCCTAAACCACTCTGTTGCAAATTTCATCAAAATCTTTAGAGCCGTTTTCGAGAACGTTTAACGATTATAAATATACATACAAATATTGTTTGTTTAATATGTTTATATGAATGGTAACAAATATCATAGCATCCGAATTTCACATATTTACAAAGGTTTATGCTAATGAGTAATATGATACTTAGAAGTCATGACATCGACTTTCGATGTACAATAACATAGTTGAATCATTTACAATTAGGTAATTAAATCGTGTCAATAAAAAATGGAGACTGAGATAGATACCTCATTAAAACCATCAAGAAAAGCGTTTGTTTGCTCTTCAATTCCTCGTGTCATTCTCCATTGCGTAACAAGTTGTAAATACTGCTCTTTATTTGCCTGTAAATAAATTATGACATAAAATTACTAATAAAATAAACCTAATAATTACCTTAATCATTTAAGTATACAAAGATATTAAAGTGAATGGTATTCAAAAAAATCTTTCTTTTAGAGACCTGAAATATTTATATTCAAATTTTTGTTAAATATTTTTCTAAAATATGATTAATAATAATAATCTAAATAATATCATATGTATTTACTTACTTCAGTTACACGTTCTTTATCGCCCGCAGGTTTCAGCTCATGGTGGATCACTTGCCCTAATACTTCAAAATCTACACTATACCACATCTCAAGGCCACATTCGTCGATATTGTTATCTTTTATCCACACCAAAGAGTTATAAAACTCTGGATCGATAGATTCAATATCTTTCATAGTCAGTTTCTTATTTAGCATTCTCTTGTAGAAGGGCATAGTGAAGCCGGAGTAAATAAATCTGCCATGGTACAGGGCCATGGCTATAAATCTTCCTATAAACTTAAAATATAATAAATGATCTGGGTTAACATAACTGGCTGGATTTATTTGTAGGCTGTAGTTATTTTTATTTGCATACTCGAAAAGGCAGTACATGGGGTTGAGCACTTCATGCGACAGAAGGAAAAACCATTCACGACTGACCCCTCCATAGTCTAGACCTTCTTCACCACGAAATATTATATACAATCTTCTTCGCAACTCGTATGCAGGTAGCCTCATTATCTAAAAAATATATTAAATAATAAATTTTTATAGAAGCAACACAAGGAATTGATCGTACTGAAAATTGATAGAGTAGAAAATGAATATCTTATTAAATAAGTAATAAATATTTTTTTGTTTATTCAATTAAAGAGAGTATATGCATTTCTCTTATATTGGGTTTAAATTTTTTGAAATTTTGTCGGCGGATATTATGACATTATTTTTTTATTTAATAACTGGTAACTGCATTAATTTAATAAAAAATGCAATATATGAAGCCTGAAGGCATGCACGGCGTTTAACACTATCTAACTCAAGCCAGTATTTTACGTTAAGTTACACGTATCATAATGTACTTTATTAAAGATAAAAGGTAGACGGAGATGGTAGTAGTAGTGATCTCACTTGGTGGTAGGAGTCCTCGAAGAGCGTCTGGCGCGAGAGCGTGACCTTGATGTGGCTGGGCAGCGCGTTGCTCTGGCACAGGTAGCGGAACTGGCTGAGCTTCCAGCGGAAGGAGCGCTCGTAGGCGCGCGGCACGCCGTAGGCGCCCTGCCCGCGCGGCGCGCCGGGCCGCGGGTCCTGGAACGTGGTGGTGCGCGTGTTGTGGTCCACGAAGTAGCGCGTGCCCTCCTCCGTGAAGCGGATCTCCCAGCCCGGCGGCAGCGCCTCCTCCAGCGCGCTTATCTCTTGCCCCTGTCGAGTGACATCGACGTTATTATTGAACGTATCAAATATACAATTACTCCTTCACGCTGAAATAGCTGATTTGAATGAAATGTAGTACACAGATAGACCTAGACCTAGAGTAACACATAAGCATAAGTACTAGTTACTCAGAGTACTCGAACGAAGCGAGTGTGTTAATCACTAGTTTATTATAAATACTAAATAAATAAATATGTGAGGACATTAACCCACAACACCATCTAGTTCCATAGTAAGCTACGAGGCTTGTGTTATGGATACCAGTTGGTTGATACACTACACATATATAACTTTAAACACATACATATTATAAATATAAGCACCCATGACTGGAGTACAAACATTCGTGTTCACCACACAAATGAATGCCCGCAGCGGGACGTGTCGTCAGATTATATAAGTATTTTATAAGTATCTAATAAACTTTTACAATATAAAATCAATGTCAAATAATGTGAAGCCGAAGTAAGTACCTGAGTGCGCGGGTCCTCCCACTGCGTGGTGCGGTTCTTGTGGTTAACGTAGTAGACGCGGCCGTCGGGCTGCACGCGCCGCTCCCAGCCCGCCGGCAGCGCGCCCAGCGCGTCCTCGCCCGCCGCCGCGCCCGCCGCCGCCCCCGCCGCCGCGCTCGCGCTGCTGTTGCCTGGCAATGAGATACATACATATATATATATATACATATATATATATATACATATATATATACATATATATATACATATATATATATATATATCAATATATAATCTGAATCTCGGAAACGGCTCCAACGATTTTCATGAAATTTAGCACACAGGGGGTTTCGGGGGCGATAAATCGATCTAGATTAGTCTTATATCTGGAAAAACGCGAATTTTCGAATTTTCATGCGATTTTCTTTTGCATTTTCACAATTTTTGCATTGTCACTTCTGGTGAGTGGGCGGCGCCACTGTGCAACTGTCAACATCGTGTCCGTATTTACATCAAGTTTAAATATATTTAAGTGAAAATAATCTAAAGAAAAATGTTTTTTTTTTAAATAAAACCTATGGGCAATATGTAAACATCACCAAGTCTTGATGTGTTGAAGAACAAATGAGCTTTTAAAAATTCACCTACCAAACAAATACAAAAGTGACAAACATAACTTAAAGATACTACCTATCAGTGCAAAACCATCTTTTCTGTGTGTAATGACAATAAAACAAAATAATTTGTGAAGTGAAAGCGTCAAATATTAAAACATAAGTTTATAACCTCAAAAACTAATAGGTACTCGGTATAAAATTGCAATTCAACTAGGTATAATTGGTGCTCTTTTTCAATCAGCTTTTCTACTTTCAACTTCTCACTTAAGATGGAGGACATAAAAAAGTTGCTAATAAACATGCAACAAGAAATAAGACAGCAGAAAACAGAAATTTTAGAAATGAAAGAAGACATTAAAAATACAATCAACAATAATATACTTAAATGAGAAATTTAAACAGTTAGAAATAAAAATTGAAGTTCTTGAGAAAAAAATCCAGGAACAAAGTACCTCAAATAATTTAGAAAGACATATTAGGCGCAAGAACTTGGTTATGTTCAGAGTAGAAGAAGGTGAAAAATCCTATCATGAACTAGAGGAAAAAATAGTCTTAAACTAAACGGAAATAAAAAAGAAGTCTGCCTGTATCTCCAGAAACGCCTTACCTCAATTATAAACAAAAACTAACAAATAAACAACATACAAAGACAACCATACCTGGTAATATTAAAGACTTTATATTACAAAAACCAAAATTAACTTTCAACCACACAAATGGTAACCAGGAACAACTAAAAACAACACAGCAAGATACAGTATATTAAACACCGTAGGAACCTCCTCATCTTTATCCACCAGTACGGCCGGTCACTGTAGGGGAGTTCGACCGTAACCCTCCAAAGAAAAACAGACATACAATGAACAAAGGTATACATATCTTAGCTTAAACTTCTAGAATTAAAAGCAGCATTTCCTACAACAAATCAAAAGAACACAAAGATAAAATTATAAACTTTATAGGCATATCAGAAACAAATTATATATTGAAAACAAAATTTGAAAAGAAACCCTTTGCAATCATACAAGCATAATCTCCAACGGAAAGCTCTATGCAGGACTACTTTGGAGGAGGCTTTTAACCGAGAGGGGTCTATACATGAAAAAGACATTTACTAAATAAATACATTTAATTATGATATTAAATACCTAATTTATAACTATTGTCAGAATTAATGTATGGAAAGAAATTTTATTTATATTTATTATTGTGAAATGTTTAGTATTTACCAATTGAATTATTTAATTTATTGTGATTGTTTATTTATTTATTTGTTAATGATAATTTATATATATACAATATCATTTCAAATAATATGAAGATTTTTAAAATAATTTAATTCCAGATTACAAAATTATTAGTTAAAACATTATAAGTTAATAAATAGTCACTAAATTATATAATTTTATATTTCAGCAATGTGATATAGACATTTTTTTTATTGTACAACTAAAATGGCTCCTTATTTATCTCCTTATTACTCTTAACCAAATAAAATTTTAATGGAATACTTTTATAAAAAGCTGTGCATACTTTTAAATTAAATTTATATACAGATAGGTAAAATTATAATGTTAAATAAATGTTTTCATGTAAATTTAGTTAGTAAGCCTTTATAATAAATAAATGAATAAATAAATAGAGCTTTATTATTATTATGATTTCTTTTGCATTATTTCAATAAATTAATAATTAATAATTCCACGCAAAATATTATGTTCGATAATTTCGCACGCTCAGATAAAAGCATCATGGTCAAGCGGCCAATGCGCAAGTTTGGCAACCACAGGTATCTGGGTTCGTATCCCGGTCGGACACAAAGTTTTTAATTTTGTTTTTTTTGTATTTATTCAAATTCTTAGTTTGTTTTTTTTTGGCCAAAAACTCCGAGCAAAGCTCGGTCGCCCAGGTACTATATATATATAAATATATATATATATATACTAGCGGACCCGACAGACGTTGTCCTGTCTACACGTCTTTAATTTGAAAATTACAAACTTTTTTTAATAAGCTAAAACATTCTGGACCATTTTGATACAAATTATTATTCAAATTGTGAATCTAAACCATTCCCAGATCCCCTTGAATACACACAAAAAATTTCATCAAAATCGGTCCAGTCGTTTGTATGTGACTGAACTCCTCCTAAACGACTGGACCAATTTTGATGAAATTTTTTGTGTGTGTTCGTGGAGATTCGAGAATGGTTTAGATTTACAGTTTGGTCTACTGGAAAATGTTTTTTCAATTAATTTCTTATTTATAAGGAGTTGTTGATTTTGGAATGTTTTACATTAGATCCGGCGGACGGCGCTATCATCGCATTCAATATTATTCTATTTCAATTTTAGTTTGTACCGACAGATGGTGCTACGATTAATTTGAAAAAAAATTTGTTATTCAATTCATGTGCTGATTAAAATATTAAATGTAATTATTTTTTAAAGAGTTTTGAAGTGTGTATAAATAATTTTGTGAATTCAGATGTTTTTTTAATTAATTTTTATTTGTAAGGAGTTGTTGATTTTGGAATGTTTTACATTAGATCCGGCGGACGGCGCTATCATCGCATTCAATATTATTCTATTTCAATTTTAGTTTGTCCCGACAGATGGTGCTACGATTAATTTGAAAAAATTTTTGTTATTCAATTCATGTGCTGATTAAAATATTAAATGTAATTATTTTTTAAAGAGTTTTGAAGTGTGTATAAATAATTTTGTGAATTCAGATGTTTTTTTTAATTAATTTTTATTTGTAAGGAGTTTTTGATTTTGGAATGTTTTACATCAGATTCGACGGATGGCGCTACCATCGCATTCAATATTATTCTATTTTAATTTTAGTTTGTCCCGACAGATAGTGCTACGATCAATTTGAAAAAGTATTTCGTTATTTTGTGTTATAATTGTGTTATTCAAGTGAAGTTGCTAATTAAAATATTTAATGTAATTAGTTTTCGAAGAGTTCTGAAGTGTATATAAATAACTTATACATTTTGTAAATTTAGTGCGGAATCGAAGTGAGTATATTTTTTATAAATTATCTTTTTTAATTTACACGTGCGTTTATTAACAACCAACATAACCTTCAAGTTTATTTGTGTAGTTAGAGGATTGAATTTTTTTAATAGTCTAATTTATATTAATGTATTACTAATTATAGCAGAACACATCATTCGCAAAAAAAAAACAGTGTTTTATAATGCCTAAATACACATAATAAACACAATAAAATGAATACAATTACAAAAAGAAATAAAATAAAAATATTTAAATTAAACTTAACAATTACATTAAGAAAATACTGTAAAACTTATAAAACTTATAAAATACACTTTTCACATTTTTTTATAAATTGTGAGAGCCCATCACAACCAATGTCCAAAGATGTCATGCGCTTTACGCAGTTGTTGTATGATCGTGTGATACGTGATAACGGAGCATCACCACCTAACTTACATACAGTATATTATGTGTTACGCCAGGTCATAGTCTGTCTATATACCAAATTTTATTCACAACCGTTCAGCCGTTTATGCGTGAAGAAGCAACAAGAAGCGGGAAGAACCATACACGCATATATTACTTCTATAGAGATTATCTCAAAAGTTATTTTGGATAGAATTACTTGAAATTTGGTATTAATGCTCTTTAATACAATTAAATAAATACATGTTTTAGCATTTTTCGAAACTCATCCCATAAGAGGGTAAAATAGACGATGAAAGTTTGTATGAAACCTACTTTTTTGGTTTTTATGTAGTTTTAGCGCGAGCGAAGCCGCGGGTTCTGCTAGTATATATATATATATATATATATACAGTGTGTTAAAAAAACCCTGTCCGATCCGTGAAGGTATTATTAGGTATCGCGATTCGATTCTATTTATGTAAAAAAAAACAGATTCCAAGTAAAAAAAAATTACCCCGCTTAAAAATTTAAAATATTTCATACATTGTGAAACTTACATAGCAATACTGGTGACGTCATAAGGTCATGAACGCAGTTGACCTCAAAGTTCAAACTACGCTTATCAATTTGTATTTTGTAAGTAGGTAGTATGTTATTCGATGAGGACGCCAATGCGATGGCTGTGATGGAGATGTTGTTCCATGTGACGGCCTCTACTAGTGATACAGGCTTGACAGCGTCGCAAAAGGTTATCACGGATTATGGGCGTAAGGATTTAGCGTCGACCACACATATTCATTCCGGCTGTTAAAGACGCCTGTTCTATGAAAAGAACATTCATTGGTGAAAATAACCCTTTTTAAAAATTCAGCGTCCTCTTCAATTTTCCTTAAAATCCATGCACAATATTCCACTCTGGGTTCATAATCACTGGGTAGTAAAGCTTGGACAGGACGGTAGTGGAAAGGATGCTGGCCATCTTCTTTTAACACTTCCCACACCTGAACGTGGTAAGCGCCCAGTTGTCGTGCCACAGAACGAGTACTTCGGGTGGGGTCCTCATTGAATAACACAAGCACTTGCTCTTCAATATCCATGTCGATACGCGGTGTCCTTGTATCAGCATGATGCGTTTCGTAGCCGTGAACACTGCTCGTGGTGTACATACGATTGTGAAGACGTTGAACCGCACGCTCTGACGGCACCATGGTACCCCGCGGAACTGCGAAACGCACTTCATAGTCTCTATGAGCCTCTGCATAATTGCAGTCACTCCTCCCCAAACACATTATCATATTACAGTACTCTTCATTCGTATACGACATAGTAAAAACTCAATTTCTCCAACACGTGCACTCGGATGCAATGTTTCGCGAAACTGACATAATTTTAAGTGAAATAAATAATAAAGCAAACAAATAGTGATCGTAAGTATGTAATTCAAGGTCGGGATAGCCTCTACACGTGCCGAGCGGTACCTTTGACAACGGGCGGCGCATCACCTGTCGGCACACATCAAAGATGCCGCCGCCACATGATTATAATACCGCCGAAATTAGTGTTGTACATTTATAAAATTTCCTAGAATTGTGGGGAAATTAGCAAAATAAATGAACTTTTTAAATTTCATTAATATGTTTACTATCATGAATATTTTATATTTCTTATTTTATTTGGTCATGTGATTGGGATACCTATACACTGGTTTCCGATCTGACAGGGTTTTTTTAACACACTGTATATAGACTTATATAGGCAATATAGGATTTAAATAAAATAAATGTATTTAGCTCAAAACTTTTTGCCTGTAAGACTTGTCCCAAGTAAATGAGCATGTCACAATTGTCGGTATTGAAGGGTATACCCATATAGTAAGTACTATTCCGCAGCTCGTAGTTATATTAATGTATTAGGGGCCATTCAGGATGATTTCGACGAATTTTGACCCCCCTTACCCCCACGTAAGGGTGCATAAGAATTCTCGAACCCTCTCCCTCTTCTTACATATGATTCAATCTCGTTTTTCTGACACGTTTTTAGAAAAGGATCAGTTACACTAAAATACTAAAACTCACAGTTTGGCCTAAATCAAAGATTTTTTTTATTTTTTAGAAGATAATTTAGGTTATACTCTATCATTGCCATCATACATAATATAAATGATAATAAAAACTTTAAAAAATAAAATAAAAACCGAATCAGAAAAAGCAATAAAAAGTAAAAATTAATTATTTTTTTGTTAAAAAATTTTTATTTTACCCTTTTTAGTGTAGACACAGTAGTAGCAAAGTAAGAAGAAAGTATTTTAATAAAATATTCGCTTAAACCGTTGAAGTTACTTTCATGCCAATTTTTACACAAAGACTTACAAACTAAAATTCGCTTTTATTAGTAACACTAAACATTCTGGCTCTAAAATCCGATTCTAAAGTGTTAGGCTTGTCAAATCAAACAAAATAAGCCCAAACTCAAAGTATCTACTATTAGCCGTTGAAGAGTTCCACCTATCCACCTTCTGGCCTTACCATCAGATCAGGTAAACGATACTGAACCACTGCATTAACAATGGAAATAGAAACACTCGTAAAGTTTCAAGTCAAAATGACAATTAAAAGTAGGTTAACTTCATCATTAGCTATTTTTCCACCCTTAGGGGTGGTATTTTTTTTTTTGTAAATTAAATGGGACCAATCTGGAACTTTCAACCTGGACTGTCCAACAAAACAAAAATTGTCCAAATCGATTAATAAATGACTAAGTTCTGAGGTAACAAACATAAAAAAAAACATACATTCGAATTGACAACCTCCTCCTTTTTGAGGAAGTCGGTTGAAAATGGACACAATTGTATTTGAGATTTTAAAATTTTAATAAACAATAAAAATTTGTAAAATAAGTTGAAATTCGAATTGTACATTATGAAATGAAGAAAACCATTCAGCTATCGAAATAGAAATAGATTTTTAATAATAAATTTTGACTTGTAAAATATTACATAAGACTGGGTCCCCTTCCGTCCCAGGTAAGGGCATGTATAGATTAACCCCCCCTCCCACTGGGGACCCCTACGTAATTAATAAATGGCCCCTTACTATATTTTTATAAATTATGATCTAAGTGTTACTCTAATAATGTATAAGCTATATTAATGTAAAGTTTCATTAAAACTCGTTCAGTAGTTTACGCGAGAAAAAGTAAGAAACATAAATTCATAAATATATAATAAGATATCAAGGTATATAAGCCATGGACAGGGACGACATACTCAAGACACATGATTTCGATTCCTTCCAGAACCGGATTTAGTGGACGGATTGACCCGAAAAAGCGTTTCTAATCTATCGTATCGTAATCTATCAGTGTTTTTATGAATCTATTCGAAGCCGTCAGGGTATTGAACTAATCAAGTACCTATTTATTTTATTATTTGGTATACCTACTACTCTCCTATTCAATTCATTTAACCCTTAACGCCGCCGATATACGAAGATTGTGAAGGTTTGTTTATTTATAAATTACTTTTTAAAATTTTACGCCGAATCCTTTTTTATTATAGATTTCCTTCGTTATAAAAGTTAAATATTTGAACTGTATCATATATCTGGGACCTATGGTAAACAATTGCAGAGCTAATTATCTTACATGTCATTGCTTAATCCCTCCACGACCGCGGACACGCCGGCGTGTCAGTTAACAATAGATTTCTTAGAATTTTAATTAATTTCTTAGAAATTTACGTGGAGGTGATAATATTATTTTTCTAAACAGTAGACATATTTCCATAAATAATACTTTCTTGTACATAGTTGTGACATGTTTTCTAAAAATTTATTAATTCTAAAAGAATTTACTGATTATTTTGTTATGACTTATAGAATGTATTACCAGTACATTAGTATAATTAAATATATTAATTCTTATTATATTGTATTTTTTTTATTATCAATGTCACATATGAAACAAGAATTAGAACAACTTGTGTTTAATCTAAAATAAAAGATATACTCAGTCATTGACAATCTACAAATTAAGTTCAATGATAATAAACTAAGATAAGTACCAAATATTTATAAGCCAGGAAGCATTCATATCACTAATGAGTGTTGTGCTGATAATCGTAGATATTCAAAATTTACCCACGAATTTTAATTACTTTTTACAGCAGTCAGCAACAAATATTAAAGATAAATAGAAAAATTAAACGAAAACAAATTTTAATATACTATTTAGTCTATATATTTGCAATACATAGAAAAAAACTATGTAGTTATTGTAAACGTATATGGAAGGAACTTTCAATTAAAAAGGCGCAAGGCTAATTAGGTGGCTTGAAATAGAGGATGAACAATACCTAACAATCTGAGATTTTCTTTAAAGGTAAATTCAATAAAAAAAAGCCCTTTAACCAGTCAGGAACTCGAGGCTAAGATCTTTATGCACAGCAATAGTGAGTTACTAAACCAAGGAATTACTAGTTAGTCTCCGCACTATATACTGTACAATTTATTGGATAAAGTTGCTTGCTCTAAACGACTTCTTAATGCTCAGACTAAACTCTGAACTCTGAACCTAAAGGGCTAAAAAGTCTGTATTAATAATTTGACGCCACTCTCGATGACGCTCAGTTTGGTGGTCGCGGGTTCGAATCCCGCTCGAGGCATTCATTTGTGTGAGCACGAATGTTTGTACTCCAGTCATGTTTTATTATTTATAATGAGCTAACCGTAAAAAAGATTTTTATCTGCACAAATTCAAGCTGCAATTCATGTTAAAATTTGATAGAAAAATATCTTATGTAAACCGCTAGACAATTTCGTAGACAAAAAATAGATGTGACATACATGTAACTGAGGGGCGAATTTTTTATGAGTCTACAAAGCGTGTGGAGTATCTCTAAAGGTCTTAAAATCTATCTTAGGTCTTAAAATTCAAATAAATGTTTCCTAACTTTTAAAGTATGGGGTGAAATTTATTGAAAGGAAAATTAAGATAATAGAGCTTCCTAAACATTTTCAACGAACATTATTTTGATGAAGACACGTTGAGTACCTTTCGAGATATGGAATGTTTTCTTCCGTTTAACGCCATCGCTTTTAATATTTACTTTTATGTGACACTTGACAGTTGGGAAACTATTTTACAGGTTAGCGTTGGTTGGAAACGTGTATAACTGTATCTGCCCACGACATGGCACAATAGAGCTTTAACATCAAACCCGCCATGAAAATTGTACGAGTACAGTGTAGCTCACCGGCAGGTTCGTGTTCGACGGCGGCGGAGGCGGAGGCGGAGGCGGAGGCGGCGGTGGCGGTGGCGGCGAGGGCGTGCGGCGGCAGCGCGGGGTGCGTGTGGTGCGGCGGGTGCGGCGGCTGCGGCGGCGGGTACAGGAAGCGCTGGTTGCCCTGCGCCACCACGTGGCGGCGCTCGCCGCGCCAGTGCTGGAAGCGCGCCAGGCGCTCCGTGTCGGGCCGCTGCCACGTGGTGGTGCGCGAGTTGTGGTCCACGTAGTACACGCGCCCGCGCGCGTCGCGCCGCACCTCCCAGCCCGGCGGCAGCGGCTGCGGCCGCTCCCACGACGTCGACCGCGTGTTGTGGTCCACGTAATACCTGCGGGTTTATATACATCATGTCAGTATGTAAGTATTGCATTTTTACTAGGAAACCTTTTTGTACAGAATTCTAAAAATCAATAAGACTTTATTTCTTTTAATCGAAATTAAATATCCATACTTATAACGTAAATACATAAGCCATATAACGTATAAGCCGACGAAATAGGAGCGGAATGAATGACAATAATTAAAGGAAATGATGTACCTATCCGTACGTAGTGTAAATAAGTTAAAACAAACAAATAATATTTAATTTTTATTGCAATCATATTTAAGCCTATGACTTTACTCTATTATTCATATATTTTTATACATATACCTGTTGGCTGTTTATTACATACGCTTTCAGAATCAGTTTTACTTTATTTCAATTAGGTACATAATATGTAGAAAATATAAGAACTGCCGGTATTCGAGGCTTAACGAATTTCAAAGTATAGTATGGGACAAAGACGACTTCATGTTGTTTGTTTCAAGTAATAATAAAATAAGGTAATTATAGTAGGTTAAGAAAGGTTTAGGCATTTCCCATAATCGATTCGAAAACTAATAAAGTTAAATAGCAATGAGTAATGACATTTTATCAAAATGCACAGCACTGTCGTCATTATTTTTTTGCAAGGTCAAATAATTTGGAAGGCAGCAACAACTACGCTCGAATGTTTGGGAGCATTCGCACGCTCTGCCGCGATGACCACTTACATATTTAAATATTGGCTTATAGTACATAGTGGTAGGAATGAAAGATTTTATATAAAGGAAATCATAAAAGTATATATATAATATAATTTGTGCAATGTGCATACGTACACCATGGGGTCACAATCACATACAAAGAAAAATTAGTTAAATAAATAAATATACATGGCATTATGTCGAAGTATCGATTTGTTATTAAGTTCGTGTAAACGAAAGATAAAAAATAGACCCCAAAAAGGTATAAAATAGTTTTAAATTTTTTTTTTGCTAAATGAACGAAAACGAATTTATGCGCTCGTAAACATTTTTTTTAATGTGTTTGTAGTACAGCATATTCACAGATGTCGCTTTTACTTTTTTCGATTTGTTTATCACAATAAAGAACTAAAAAGACACTGAAAAATGTTTAATAAAATACAGAATCAATTTTGAAATTGTCAACTCATTTTAGTTTTCACATATTTATAAATGAAACAGTTCGACAATTTGCGGATTAACAACATCTATTTAGCTATTCAAACAAAAATAGTATTATGTGATCAGTGCCTATACTTATTATTATATCTATTCTTATTTTCATGTGTAAATGTATATAACTAAAATATTATAATGTTAATGGTTACATCATTTTGTATACTCACTTTCTGCCATACACATCAAATCGCATAGCCCAGCCTGGCGGCAGGGGCTCCTCCGCGGCCCCGGCGGCTGGGGTTACGCCGGCGGCAGTGGCAGGCGAGGGCGAAGCACCCGGCAGGAGCGCGGCCGCCGGGGGATCCTCCTGGCGCGATGGGCCCGCGCCCCCGTCCACTGCGGCCACGCTCACTGTACCGTTGCTCAGCGGCGGCGGCCCCGGCGGTGGCTATATCGCCATAAATACATATTCAATTGTAACTAAATCTCTTATTGCGCAATATACTTGCAACTTCAATCACTAGCAAGTAAATTAAAAAGTTGATATTATGATGGAGGAAAAAGTATTTTACTTGAAGTAAACAAAAACACAATTATGCATCCAAAAAGAAAATGAACAGTTTGTTGGTACTGATAGATTAATTATTGTTTCTACTTTGTTTAAAAATTGTGTAAATTGTAACATTTCAAATATTAACATTCTTTCACTAGAATGGGACACACGGTGAATGAAATCATTATTTAAAATACAACCACATATCATATAAACATAAAGCATACATGACCTTGCTCAGTAATCTAAAAAAAGTATACATATAATACTATAATTAAATAATAAAAAAAATCTGGTATTAACATCCCACTTATAGGCAAAGGCCTCTCATCAATATGAGGAGAAGGCCATCAGTACCTCACAATGTTATCCTTCACCATATGAGCAAGAGATGCAAACCCAAGTTTGAACCCACTTCATGTGGCTTACAATTGAGTGCCATTGGTAACAATGGGATACCACTGTTAGAAAAAAGTAGATGGGTGAGAAAATGAGTTAGAAGAATACATTAACAAAAGAACTTTGGACATTTGGGAAAGAGCAACTTTGCCAAATATTAGTAATAAATAAATGAATAACTTTTGAAGTACATCATTATGACATGTGTTTTTTTTGTAAATAATTAACTACTTACCCTTAATTCTCGTGGATGCACCATAGACCGTAACCGAATTCTGGCTCTAACACCTTCATTAAGAGGACTCCGAGAATTTGTTGATTCACCAAGAACTTCATGAGACTGATTAAGAATAGCTGGATCTATTCTTAAACCATCCAATAACAACACTAATTCTGCTGATTTGACTTCTGTGTTGGAATTGGAAGAATTATCCTGTGACACTGTTTTCATCATATCTACAATAAAAAAAGTATTTAATGCACATATAAAGAAAGATGGAAAATGTTATTTTACAGCCATTTCTACATACCTAAATTTAATTCCACATTTTCACATTTTCCATTAAAAAATAAAAGTATTTTTAACAAGTTCACTCTTTTTTCTCCAATAATATTGTCTTTTCTAAAGCTATGGTGGTCAGCCAGACGGAACAACAGTTGCGATAATGGAGTTACTAAAACTGTAAATTCTTCTTTCCATTTTGGATGAAGTGTATTTTTAATAACTTCAGTTCTCCTTGAAATCTTGTCATCTATTATAACTTGTAAATATGGATTTGGCTTAAAAAGTCCAGAGTTTCGAATGCTGGCAGATTCAACTGAAATTTATAACTATGTTACAAAAGTATATATTTACATTTTTGTCCATGTGATATATTTTGTCAACTGAAAAACATATATATAAAAGAAAAAATTATAACGAGAAATAATAAACAAATAATACTATAATAACAGAGCAAAATGTCAACTTTTTTAAAGATACAATTGTTTCCTAATGTTTTTAGTTCATATTTTTTACTACAATGTATAAAAAAACTTATTTACATTATTTTACAAAATAATAAAGCAGAATTATACCTGTCAAACTCAGCTGATGATATGTTGATAGAGAAATTGGAGCAGTTAGTGTTGAAATGCTTTCAGTCATAGTGATATAATTATTTCATGTTCTGTTTTTACTAAAGTTTTTCATATTATTAATCAAACAATTTATCTAGAAACAAAAGTAATATTTTATCTTTACAAAACAATCATCCAAAAACTTAAAAGAATAAATAACATTTTGTACTGCAGAAATTATTTACCATGCGTAATATTTATTCTTATCTTGTGATAAGCAATTCACTGTAAGTATATTAAATGACTCGTAAGTCACTATTATATAAAGTATATGAATAGAGAAATGATAACTTTACATTTATTATATTTAATAGCAGCAATGAAACATTAAATAGGTAGGTAATTATTATAATATGACACATTGTTGTAGTGATTGTCAAACATTTTATGAGTTATCCATAATGAAACAATTTTAAAAAAAATTTAATAAACTTTCGACAGACAAAAAAGTTTGATATGAAAAATAAATTTTATATTAATATGTCAATAGATAAAAAAAAACAATAAAAATGTTGTTTAAAGGAATCAAAATATGAGAAAACCACGATTTAGATAAATATTATTATCGTCGGATCTTAAAATGTAAGTATTCGGAAATGTAGAATTTCTTGTCTGTATAGTTAAATAGTTTATATTATGTATGTAATTAAATTAGAAAGTACCAATTTATAATCATGCCGAATCCATCGTATTCTTCAGATTAGGTCATTATCGTTCTTCCTTATCACACTGAAGTCTGAAGCCTGAAAGGAAATGGACTTAACATTACTTGTCACACACAATGGTCAAATATATCAACACATTTTCTTTCGCCTACAAAATCATCATGGAGAGAGTTCTTTTAAATTTTACTACGTCACACTAAATATTTAATAATATTATTCTTTTGTAAACAAAAATAATCGTGAGATTGATTAGTCACAAGTTAGTAATTACCACAGACACTTTTAAAGAACTCGCTAGCACCAACAAAACAGACTAATTTGGACTGTAAAGGACACATAACAGAGTACGAATCTAAAACAGATACAAAATTGTTACATTCTATATTATAAACTTTTTATTTCACTGTAACTGATCAATAACATTTTAAATATATTTTGTAAATATTATTATTATATTATTTATTTACAAAGTATGCTATCATGTATCCCTTTTCACGTTACTAGTTGCTCATATTCTTAATATTTTATATATTTTTAGTTAAACGTGTGTTGTCTGCTTTTTTCATGCTTTTCTATATGAATAACTGGGCGACCGAGTTTCACTCGGAGTTTTTGGCCGAAAAAACATTTAAAAAACAAACTAAATTTTTTTATAAATACAAAAAAAAAGTAAAATCTTTGTATCCGACCGGGATAATAATAATAATAATAATAAAAACTCTTTATTGCACACACGACATAGGAAGAAATATAAAAAAAAGAAGAATACAGTAGTAGCAAAATGCACAAGAGGCGGCCTTATCGCTAAAACAGCGATTTCTTCCAGGCAACCTTTAGGTGTAGGATATAGCAAAGTGTGAAGTGGAAGGGTGTGAACAAATAACAGAGAAAAGAAAAATAAAAATGATAAATACATATATATATACATATGATATTTTAAGTACGTATATAAAATATATAAATTAGGTATACGTAACTAATATAAATAATATGATAATAAGTAATAAATAAATAAAATAACTATATTATATATATATAAATATATATATATATATATACATACATGAAAGGCAAGAAATATTTTAATACAAATAAGGATACTAGCTATACATATATCAGTACATATAATTTAAGAATAAATTTCAGCATAAATAATAATGCAGCAATCCGAAGGAATTAAAATGTATAAAAGTGTTCTTTTAGACGTTTTTTAAAAATCAGAAGAGATTTCGCATCCCTAACGTTACGGGGAAGGGAGTTCCAAAGACGACAGGCCGTAACACTAAAGGAGTTGCCATAAAAGGTAGAGGAGTGGGAAGGAATTTTAAGGATTAAATTTTGGGCAGAACGCAGAAGGCGAGAATGGGAATCTCCAAGGAATTCAAAACGTTCTTTAAGGTAATTTGGAGTGGACGGATCGAACAGAATACAGTAAAGAAGATAAAGTATATGATTATTTCTGTGAAGACAAAAAGGGAGCCACTTGAGCTTTTTACGAAGATTAGAGACATGGTCATATTTACGTAAACCAAATATAAACCGAATACAAAAATTTTGGAGTCTCTCAAGTTTATTTAATTGCTCCTCTTTAATATCAAGGTAACTGATATCAGCATAGTCAAGAATTGGTAATAGGAGCGATTGTGCTAACGCAATTTTGGTGGAGATTGGAAGAAAGTTATGCAAACGTCGAAGCGATGCTACCGAATTAAACCCAGACACCTGTCGTTGTCAAACTTACGCCTTGGCCACATGACCACGATGCTTATCTAGCGTGCGAATTAGCGACCATATTTTGCGCAGCATAATGCGAAACAAAACCTCGAAAACATTTGCCCAGAGTTTTTACAAGCGTTTGCCCAGATATAAGCTTTTTTGATCCCTGTCCCCCCTTGTCACTCTCAGCAAGACGCCCCCATGATGCGAACGTATTTTATGAACGGCCCCTTGGAGCCGTTTCCGAGATATAATATATTAAATATTTATTTAAATAAGGATTAATTCAACATATCATGATGTCAATTTTCAATGTTTTTGTAGTAATTTTTCTTTATGGTTTTGTCTACTATAGCTTACGCGCCACACGCCAGTAAAGCTCCCATTCAGCATGACTTTTTCTGAAATCTTCAACAATCATCGTCATATTTTAGCCAATTTACACTAAACTATAATGAATTATACACTTAAACCTTCCTCATAAATTATAACTTGCGGTAGTTTTTGAGTTTATCACGTTCAGACACACAAACAGATGCAGTGGAGGTCTTTGTTTTATCCATGCTTAATATTATAAATGTGAAAGTGTGTTTGTTTATATGTTTGCCCTTCTTACAAGTCTTTCGACACAGTGACGGATATATGTGATTTTTTGTGTGGAGATAGTTGAAGGCCTAAAGAGTGACATAGGCTACTTTTTACTGCGGTCCCATCTTTTTGGGAACGAACCCGAGTTAAGCGAAGGTGAATTGCTAGTAATATATAAAAGATAAAAACTGCCTACAATGAACGGTCTGTAACTATTTTGTTAATTTTGGAATTATTTTATAATAAATATGACATCTAGTTGTGAACGGCTTATTGCCATAACTGGTAACATTTCTGAGCTTGTGCTGGTAGCCAGTGTAGCCAACTTAAGGGCTATCCCCCCAAATTTAGGGAAAAAATGGCACCGGGGATTCTTAGGGGGCAAAAATATTTAGTTTTTTTTAGGGGTGTATAAAATTTTGGTTTAAGACTCTTAAGAATTATATCCCTTTTTTTAATATTTTCCAAGTTATCTATGGAATTTATTATTTTTAAATGGTTACATTTAATTATTATAATAATAACCATAAATAAGATTTTTACACTACTTGTAATCATTTGAAATAAAAAAAACATATATTTAAAAATAAAAAAAAATACATAAAAATAAAAAAAAATACAAAGACCTATATTTTTCAAATTGTTATTTAGAGGTTTTTAGGGGTTTTAGGTATTCAAGTGTTGGCACTTGGCAGCACTGGTTGTCATGTCAATATTCAATCATAATATTAATTATTAGTCAATACAAGGTCAATAAATTACAAAAAGAGAAAGATTTATTAGTTAATTATTGTTAAAAGATCAATTTTTGTTCAATATATCATCAATATTTTTTGTTGTCTACATATACTAAACAGAAAATATACAACCACCAAACTATTTAAGGTATATTAATACATCCATGATTGTAATCATTCGCGAAAAATATTAATTATAGTATACTATATTATTATGCTTGAATTATAAATAACCACTTAATCATTATTGCTTGTAGATTAGAAATGAGTCCTGTGGAAAGTGTACCAGTTGCAATATTAAATCATATTGATGATTACATAGAATTACTTTATGATGATATTCCCGAGAAAATAAAAGGATCAGCGCTCATATTGCAACTTGCAAGAAACCCAGACAACTTAATTGAATTGGCTAGAAATGGTAAGATTGTTAAAAATATAACATGACAACAACAAGAATTTTCATAGCAGTCATATGATAAAGTTACCAACTGTTCGCAACTGTTTACTATAATGAAATAATATAGCACTATCAGTTAGATTTTTGTTGTCTAACTATAAATATTAAAAGAATATTTTATAAAAATTACAATTTTTATTTATTAATAAATTATTATAAAATATATGTTTTAATAATATCTCTACAACTAGTCACCCTCTCACAATACTTAAAATTTATTGGGGCCTATTGAAGTTCTTGTTTTCTACTAGTACTCTTAATATATCATTTTAGACTTAAGTCATCACAAATGTGTTGTACATCATCTTTGAGTTGCTTAAACAATCTAAAACTTATATACTTTGTACATAGTTATATAATTCTTTAGCGGGTATGAATGGTTAAAATTATTTTGGTTAATGTGTATTTATCTATATAATCCTATATAATAGTATCCTACTCCTACAAATATTATAATTGTGAAAGTTTGTGAGGATGGATGTATGTTTGTTACTCTTTCACACTAGAACGACTGAACAGATCCCGATAAAATTTGGCATAGAGATAGATTTAAGTCTGGAATAGCACATAAGTTACTTTTTATCTTGAAATAAATTATGGTTCCTGTGGGATTTGTTTTTGTCTAGATGTGAACTCGAAGTGAAGCAAGTGAGTCACTAGTATTATATAAAATGTAGGCCTTTACCGAGTATTATATTTATTTCAATTGTTATTTATTTAGAGAATCTTCTGATTTAATATCAAAATACAAATTATCATATGTTTTTGATAAATTATTCATAAATTAAATAATATTTTATAGATAATTTTTTAAGATATTTTATTGTCATTTTACAGAAGCTCTATTAAGTGCTCTTTCAAGAGTTTTAAGAGAAGAATGGAAAAGAAGTATTGAGCTTAGTACAAATATTGTATACACATTTTTCTGTTTTTCAACATATATCGAGTTTCACTCTGTAATTATACAGTACAAAATTGGTTCTCTTTGCATGGATGTCATTGATTATGAACTGAAGCGTTATGACCAGTGGAAAGAAAAAGTTGAAGGAAAAAAGCAAGTATTGACACCTGAAAAAGTAAGTTAATATTAGTAGTAAAAGTAAGTTATTATAACATCTTATTGCATACCTATATGGTATATATGTATATTAGTCCCTCCACGACCGCGGACACGCCGGCGATACAGTTCACAATAGATTTCTTAGAAATTTAATTAATTTGTTAGAAATTTACCTGGAGGTATTTTTTTACAAAAACATATATTTATTTATCTATACTAATATTATAAAGAGGTAAAGTTTGTGAGTTTGTGACGTTATTACGGGTAATCTCTGGATCTACTGAACCGATTTAGATGAAATTCGGTAAGAAGATATTTTGAGACCCTGGGAGGGACATAGGTTACTTTTTATCCCGGAAATCAACCCTTAAGGGGGTGAAAATGGGGATGAAAATTTGCATGGGGGATCAAGTTAGGAATGAAACCGAGCGAAGCACACCCTTGCTTCGGTCGGTTTGTCGCTAGTAAAATATAATACTGGTAGGTATGCAAATTACATTTTATCACTCGGAATAAATGTCTGCTAAAACAAATAGGAATTCATTTATGAACTTATGAATTTTGCTCCTTAGTCTATACATACATATAATAAAATTCTAACTGGGCCGAATCTGTACATTAAATATTTTCTGGAAAATCTTATTAAAATAGACATTATTATCGATACAGAGGCCGAATCTATAGTTTTTAGAATTTTAGTCTGTCTGTCTATCGTTACCGCGTCACGGAAAAACCACTAGAGGGATTTTGATGAAATTTGGTATGGTGATAGCTGGTTATCCGGGTCAACACATAGGATTCTTTTTACTACGTGAAAATATCTCTGAGAAATCTATACTAAACGTTAAACCCGAGCGGAGCGAGGGTGAGTCGCTAGTACTGAAATAAAAGTACATATTCTACTATTCAGTTAGAAATTTTTAAACTTTGAATTATTGCTGAGTGACAAAGTGTCACACTTTCTAAATTGTTTTATAACTATAATAATATATCTCACAGACTTATTCCCCCTTTGATAAATTAAATTTATTTTGACAATGTGTGCTATGGTGGGATTAGCCATGTGTTTAAGTAAAAGAGCTCTCACAATAACAGCTATAATACCTTTCCTTTTATTTATAATATTGAATAGAAAAGTAATTTACAGAATGAGTTACCTAAAAGTCGCATACCAGAGCCAAAAAGAAGGCCAAAGTCGGGGACATGGGCCGTAGCTGATGTTAATATACAAAAAACTCGCTCTATTGTATCCAGTTATCATGAGGATTTGTGTAATGCTTCAGACGATGTGTTATCTAAAAATGATGAGGAACAAATGAAAAGAAAATTAAAAACATTGTCAAAACGGCAAGAACAGTTGTTGAGGGTCGCTTTCTATATGCTTTTAAATATAGCAGATAATATCAAAGTTGAAGAAAAAATGCACAAAAAAGACATAGTTGGGTTATTAATTGGTGCCATGGAAAGACACTCCAATATTGACCTTCTTATACTAATTGTATCTTTTTTACAAAAACTGTCAATTTTTGTTGAAAATAAGAATGCTATGGCATCTAAGGGAATCATTGAGAAACTAGCTCCTTTGCTAGATTCGCCCAATGCAGATTTAGTAAATGTTACATTAAAATTATTATTTAATTTGACATTTGACACTAAATTACGAAATAAAATGGTCAAATTAAATCTTCTGCCAAAGTTTATTAAGTTTACAAGTAAGTCATAAATTGTTTTCGTGCATAATAATTCCTTGACGCAAATTCATGAATTTTAATAACACATAGCAAAATTTTGCAGGTGATGATAAGCATATAAATTTAGCAATGAAAATTCTTTACCACCTCAGCATGGATGATCGTGTAAAATTAATGTTCACTCAATCAGATTGTGTAAAATTGGTAAGACGTTATTGGTTTGTAAATTGTATTGTGTACTTCTAGACCTTTCTTAATTATGATATAAATAACTAAACGATTTGCGACGTAATTTATGCCATGTAGTTGTTATTCTGGTAAAACATACTCATAGAAAGGGTACTTGGAAGCAAATAGGCGCACAGGCGTCGAGTTGCGTAAACAAGTTCGAATTTGCCATTTTTACCAAACGGTACTTGGAAAATCGGAAAGCCAGAGTTGTCAGGTAGGTACAGTTCAATAAATTAAAATTTTTGGTAATTTCCGCGTACGCTGTCTATAAGTGCTTTTTGGGTCCAAACTTTTTTCTCCGCCTCCGAAAAATATTAACGAGGTGTCATTCGATTCGGAATAGTGCGTAGGTGATTTTTGAAAAAAATCAAGAGCCGCTTGCAAAAATTGCAAAAGTTATTAACAATTAACTGAAAAAAAGGATTTTTGTTTTTTGGAAATAACTCAAAAATTTCCCAAATAAAATTCTACCTCCCCGAACTCTGGAACCAATATTTATAATTTTCCCAGAGGGTTGAAAATACGGCCGAAAAGGGGGACTCTGGCCTGCGTAAGACCCACCAACTTTGGACCTTTAATGAATAAATAGTGTTTAATATAAAATTAAAATTATTAAATAAGTATAAAAAAATATCAGACATCTACTGGATAGGTGAATGAACAATAATTTGCGGTATAAAAAATGTTTATCGCGATTTTTCTATAAATATGAATAAAGTGTGCGTCCCGCAGCTGACGGACCTGCTGCTGCTGACGGTGGGCGGCGCGGCGGGCGCGGAGGGCGCGGACGTGCTGCTGGCGCTGTGCGTGAACGTGGCGTGGTGCGCGCGCGCGGCGCAGCAAATGGCGGCGGAAGGCCGCCTGCGCGAGCTGCTAGCGCGCGCCTTCCGCCTCAAGCACACCATGCTCATGAAGCTCGTGCGCAACCTCTCTGAGCATTCCCAGAATATGCCGCTCTTTGTGGTCAGTCTTGACACACATTCACATTTCACATTCACATTCACATTTCACATTCACATTCACATTCACATTCACATTTCACATTCACATTTCACATTTCACATTTCACATTCACATTTCACATTCACATTTGACATTTCACATTCACATTCACATTTCACATTCACATTTCACATTTCACATTTCACATTCACATTTCACATTCACATTCACATTTCACATTCACATTTCACACATCACACACAACTTTACCGTACATTATATTAATAATTATTATCCTTGCGATATGCCCTCGCTTCGCTCGGGTGCGTCCCTGGGGGCCTAGCGTTACTTCAGGTCTTTGTCTATCTGTAATCAAATTTTATCAAAATCCATAAAGCCGTTTCAGCGTCAAGGAGTCACTAAAATTCACTCATATATAAAAAAAATCACATTTATTATAATAGTCTGATTAAATATTATGATAAATACAGTATACACTGCTTACTTGTCTGTATTCTTTATAGTCTTTCTTTATAGTACATGAATAACTAAATATTAGTGAATGACAGTGAAAAGTTAGTGCCTTCAGGAGTTAGCACCAATATTTCACAGCCAATATAGACTGTTGGCCTAGATACTCAACCAAACGACGACAAAGTCGCCTATATCTATCTCAACAAAAAAGTATACAAAAAAACCGTCGATGCTTTATAGTGAAAACGAAGAAACAACCAATAAACGAACTTACGTACTTACTACTTATTTATGATACCTATTAGTTAAAATCACATGATAGGTAGCTAGTGAAAAGTGAAAGTGGTCACTTTAGTCTCTCCCGTGACCATGATTGCATAAAGGATCCGAAACGTCAAGAACCTAAAACCAAAATAAATCCGTAAAAAATCCGAAAAGATAGTTTTATTTAAAATTACAAATATTCGCGTCAATCTAAGGCAGTGGTAGCCCAGTGGTAACGCGCTCGCTTGAGATACCGAGTGAAGCGGGTTCAAATACCGGGTGTCGCACCTCTGATATCTTCACGTGCGAATCTTTTCCAACATAATTACCACTTGTTTTCACGGTGAAGGAAAACATCTTAAGGAATCCTGCATGTCTGAAAAAGAAGGGCTGAATACATACATATTCACTACCTTTAAGATAAATAATTTCAATATTTTATTTTATCTGTAGGAATTTGTGGGTGACATAGCCGGCGCCGTCACTAGCGAGGAGGCACCGGAGGAGTTCGTCATCGAGTGCATGGGAACACTAAGCAACATCCTGAACGTGAACAACAACATCGATATATACGCCGTAGCCGAAAGATACAATTTAATACCTTGCTTGTTAAAAATATTGGACCCAGGTACGCATTCTATTATCCGTTACACATAATTCGTTGGCTCACTATTACAAGGTTCTATGTTACAAGTTTAGTATTTATTTAGTTATTAATGCTACAAGGTTCTATGTGTCATTAGCTACAGTTTTGCAAAACAAACCACTAGATAGCGGCACTATAACTACAAAATATTCAATTTTACATAGTTCTATGTTGTCTTTTTTTACGATAACAAAATAACGAAGTTCTATGTAAAAATTACTAAACTTCATTAAAATTAAAATAGAACCTTGTAATAGTAAGCCAACGAATTTATTATGTATAATGTATACTGCACTAATCATTTTATATTTATATGTTTATGGTATGTTAATATGTATATGAATTATCCATATAATTACAATTGGTTTCCAAAAAGCGTCTCAAATTATTTACTGATGATGTTTATTGAGCCCACAAAAAGTGTATATTTTCGACGCTTAAAAGTATTACTTCAAAAACTAGTAATTTAAAAAGTACAATTTAAATATGCCGCCGAAACACTATTTTGCGCAACATGTTATAGTAAAGTGCCTTAAATAAACAATTTTTGTTATTAGAATTAATGTTTTTATTATTTTAATTATTGATTATTGCCTAATAAAGAACATGTACAAATAGTGTTTAGTGTCATGTGCACAAATACATGAAAGTAGGAACGGCACTGTTGTCTGTCAATACTCATCGACGGACATATTGTTTGCTAGACTGTTAACTATCTCTGTGACGTCATTGTACATTCAGCCAATACAGATGATTTTCGATCTTGTGATAACAAGGAAAAATAAATTAAGTTTTTAGGAGTATTTATGCAAATTTAATAAAATATTTGATTTTTCTAATTACAAATTAAAATATTTGTTTATTCTAATTATAAATTTTACAAAAACAAAAATATTTTTACTGTACCTTCTAAACCGTAATAGTCCAGTATTAGCCAATATAAAGGTTCGCCATATAAATCCTGGCAGGGTCGCCATATAAAGGTTCGATTTGGGGAGCGAAATAGAACGACTTGTTGGCTCAAAATACAGTTTATTTCTTCTTTAATATATTAGATACAATCGTTCGTATAGGTACTAAAATCTAGGATAGTTATGAGATCATTATAATACATAGGTTACATATAGAATACACCACACAAAAGAAAGCGCGTGATGGAGGGGTAGATGTGGAGGAGGGGTGTAGGACGCGGCGCTTACTCATTTAAACTTGACCAGATGCTAGGACTATTACTAGTTTAGTTTAGTTTATTATTAGTTTAGGTGTAATAAAATTAGTATATAGTAAGGTGTAATAAAATTATTTTTATTTTTGTATGAAAATAAAAAAAATAAGATTTTTTTTACAAATATTATTGAGATATAAATAGTATATTCTCAAAAGGTGTCGAGTAAATTAAAAATGAGCGTGTATATCTGTGAACAGAGTCGGAGCGGTCGGCGGAGGTGGTGCTGGAGGCGGTGGTGCTGGCGGGCGCGCTGGGAGCGGAAGCGCGCGCGGCGGCGGCGCTGGCGGCGGCGGGCGGCGCGCTGGTGGCGGCGCTGCGCCGGCGCCAGGCCGACGACGACCACGTGCTGCAGACCGTCTACACCTTCCGCCAGCTGCTCGCGCACCCGCGCGCCGCCGCGCGCCTTGTCGCAGACACCGGTACGCGACACACACACACACACACACACACACACACACACACACACACACACACACACACACACACACACACACACTACACATATAGTTAACGCTTAGTGACAAATTCATGTTAACAAGAAACAAAAAAAAAGTAAATGATAGAATAAGCGATCAACAGGGAACCATAGGTGCACAATACCTAACAAATATATCTTCAAAAAGTGGCATCGTAAGCGACGTTAAATCAAATTAAAGAACAAAACCTAAGTTTTGGTTAACTGAACACTAATGCGGACTTACATCACATAAAGTTATTTTTTAAACAAAACAGTGTGAACTTCCGTGTCAGACAAAATTAAATTTACATGGAGTAAAATCGTTGTTAGGTATATATTTGTTTTATTTCCTAAGAAAAATTGATCGATTGATAATATTGCCGCAAAAAATCGTATAAAATCATTAGAAATTTGTATTAAACCTGTTATAACGGCTTTCACCACTAAATATTTAAAAAAAAATATTTCAACCGTAGCACAGCGAGGATACGTCTTTTTACCACAGCGTCACACACACACTATAATATATACACACACGCTATATATATTATAGCTGTTGCTAGCGTGTGTGACGTGATTATTAATCGTGACTTAACGCCCAGTCAAATCAGGAACAAGGCATTTTGCCATTAACACTACTTACCTGTAGTGTTATTCTATAAAATTACTAGCGACCCACCCTCGCTCCGCACAGGTACGTTACGTTTTCACTTTAGTATAGAATTCCTAATGAGATATTTTCCTGCAGTAATGCCTCGGCCGTACACATCGTGATAACGTGAATATTCGTGTTATCGCGATATATGTAGCCAAATATTCGTGGATACTTTGGCAGTTTGGGCGAAGTCGAAGAGCATATCGCTTCGCTGTCGGTAAAGGGTTATATATCGCGTGGAACTTCGCTTGCACGGCCGCCGCCCGCCGCCCACACTGTCACTTCATTCGGCCCACAGACATGGTGCGCAGCGGACGTGTAGTAGACAGTAGTGGAGAGTAAAATAGGAAAGATGTCTGCCACAAGAGAAAGTCTCATATACAATGCTTGGGTTCGCTACCATAAAATAAAGAGTGACCGCGGCGTCCATTTTGTTTTTTTGTTTATTTATAGTGATAAATTTTACAGCGAAGCAATGTGGCCACGCACATTCGCCGTAGGATGAAGGCAAAGTATCGTCCGAACACCTTCGAGATGACTGGTCGTACCATAAAAAGTATCCTATATGTTGACCCAGATAATCAGCTATCATCATACCAAATTTCATCAAAATCCAGTGGTTTTCTCATGATGCGTTCCCAGACAGACAAACAGACAATAAATCAAAAAACTATAGATTCAGCATCTGTATCTATAATAATGACTATGTATTTCAATAAGATTTCCCAAAAAATATTTAATATTCAGATTTGACTCAGTTAGAATTTTATTGTATGTTTAGATGAAACGCCAATCGTTTGTGTCTGGCAGCTAAGACACACTGAAAAGCAGTTACACAAATGTTTATGTATTATATTAAACTCTGATATATACTTTTTGTCTTCTAATAAATGGCTTTCTAATTTGTACAGAAGCTCCAGCATACCTCATTGATCTCATGCAAGATAAAAATGTTGAAATAAGAAAAATGTGCGACTCGTGCCTTGATATCATTTCTCAAATGCAGAATGAATGGGCTGCACGTATAAAGGTAAGGTGTTCGCTACTTATACCTAAAGCTTATATACACATAATTATTAAATTAAAAAAGTCCTATTCTCAGACCTACTGAATATACACACAAAATTTCATAAGAATCGGTTACGCAGTCTCGGATGAATTTTGTTACAAACACGAGAATTTTATAATATATTAGATATATTTCTATATTAGAAAACAATTTACAACCTATTTATGGTGCATTCCTAAGCGGTACTTTTGATGTATCTAGATGTAGCTGGTTAAAAAATACTGCTTGACTATATCCCATTACCCATATTTGGCAGTCAATTTAACGAGAATTATTATAATTTGAATACTATAATTGCCAAAATTTTATGGCTATGTTTGTTACTTCTTCTCGCTGAAACGGACTGGAAGGATTTAGATAAGATTTTGTATACAGGTAGACTATGACCTGGAGTAACACGTGGGCTATAATTAATAGGTACTAAAGTACGCACACGAACGAAGCTAGTGTAAGTCACTAATGTATTGTTATATTTTACAACTCTAGACAAACAAATACAAATCTATCCCACGAGAACCGTACATTTTTCCGGGATAAAAAGTAGCCTATTTGTTATTCTGGTGTACGAAATATATTATTGTAAAGTTTCATTAAAATCCAATGAGTAATTGTTGTGTACTAAGCTCTATGAATTACTATAGTTTTTTAACTATCCCACGGGAAGTCTTTAATTTTCCGAGATGAAAAGTATCTAAAATGTTGACCAAGATATAAGGTACCACCATGCAAAATTTCATTTAAATCGGTCCAATAGTTTCGGAGATTAGCCCGTACAAACAGACAAAGAGAAACAAAATATAAAAAAAAACTGGATTTGTTCTATGTCTCTTCTTACATCCCCCTGACTCGGTTTGTAGCATATTTTTTTTCTATGTACAGACATTCGACCTCTACAGTTTTATTATATGTATAGATATTGAACTTGTAACATATTGGTAAAAATTGTACCGTTATCTGAACAAATAAATAAGTGAATGATAAATGGCTAGCTGGAGAGGTTCCGGTGCCACAACGGGCAGTGGCTGTCGGTGGTGGAGACGCTGGGCGCGGAGGGCGGCGCGGGCGACGCGGCCGACGACCTGCCGCCCTACCTGTCCGCCGAGTACCTCACCTCGCACCGACTCACTACCTCCGGTATATTCTTATTTATTTATTTTTTCATTGCTTCCTAGTATCGCCTACAATTTCTTTCTACTTTTTATGGCCATTTATTATGTCAGTACAACGTTGCTTTAGTTGATTTAGGAGCAATTTTTCTACAGACCTACTTTTGCGCAATTGTACATAATAATTAGGTAGTAATACCTTATATTTTTCAGATTCTCAAATATCTCTTAACGATGATTCAGACAGCTTCTCTGGTGAAGCTGACTTCAATCGAGCCAATAGCAGGTACATAAAAACCATGTGCTTAAAGTATTAGTGCATTCTCTTAATATTACTAAAGTAACAAAGCTGAGAACAATATTTAAAAATAATTACTTGTAAACTTATATAAATTTTAGTAATATGTTTTGGTTATAGGAATACTCAAGATGGACAAAGCGATGAATTATTGGGATTGTCAGACTCATTAGAAAAGACTTTAGATGACGACGCACAATTTTCGAAAAATATGAAAATTTTTGCTTAATTTATATTTTTGCACTTCACTATGATAATACTCGATTTTGCTTAACCCTGCAATTATTAATTCTAGTCTTTCAAACAAATGTAATACATAATTTTAAAATAGTGGCTATAAACAATATCTATCGACAGTATTATTACTTAATGAAGTTCCTTATTTAATCAAAACCCATACCTTGGCTTCATATAGACAAAAGGTTTTAATAAAAAAAATATAATATAACAATTTATGTACGCAGCTTAAAATTAATTTTAGAGTCATCGTATTTATAAACTATCAAAATTTATGTATTCAAAGTTAACTATATTATGTATTTTTTAATTTTGTAAATTGACTAAAATGTTTAACATGTAATACATATTAAATAATATTATGTGCAATCATTAGGTATTATAAAAGTTTCATGTGCGTTATAAAAATATTTAAAAGTGCAAATATATATTTATTGCTCAAATATTGTTACTGTTTTATTTTGAAATAAGTATTGATTTATATCTATTCTTTTGCCCATATAAACTTTATTACCCCCTGTTAGGGGTGAATTTCGAAAAAAAAAATTATCTTAATTCTTCGATCAACAATACTACTCGATATCGGGTCGACATAAGAAATCCGTCTGTGTAAATATAAGCTCACTTGCAAAGTGAGCGTATATTTCGATCAGTTCTATTGAAACACTGGCAACGTAAACACGTTCACAATGTCGCATGTGTATTTAAAATTTCAAAAATAACGCGCGAAGAAGAAATTTTTCCGACAGAATGTCTTATTTTCGGTAAATACATGTAGATTAAATCAATATTTTAAGATTTTACCTATGAAATAATATAAACTTGAAATTTTGAACAATTTTAAATCCCTTAAGAACGTTGGCCCAGGTCGGCCAATACATGCGCAAATTCAAAGAAGCAAACAGAAACAAAACAACGATTTAGCTCGCAAAGCAACAACGGGAAAAAGTGCCTTATGGATTTTAATATATGGTTGATTTTACAATAAAGATGATAAAACTAACGAAATGATCGGCAATGTATGAGCATAATTTGGAGGTTTGTGACTTTATTACAAGGTGCTATGGTATTGATTAGGTTGAAAATAAAACTATTATAAGACTTTGTCTTGGTCCGTTAGTATACAAACGTAGCTGTATAAGTACATTTCGCGCGGACAGAATTTAGCTTTGATTTCATATGTCACTCGTTATCTAGTAGTATTGTTGATCGAAGTCTTAATTAAAGCTAAACACCACTTTCTGTGTATTTAATATTCAGAATAACAGAGTTTCATACAATTTTTAATCACCTATTTTACCCACTTAGGGAATCAATTTCCAAAAATCCTTTTTTATTGAATGCCTACATCATATAAGGAATACGTCCTCCAAATTTCAAGTTTTACGACCAAAGGTTTAGGCTGTATGTTGAATCCATCATGGATTTATCAGTCAGGACCACCACAGGATGCACTTCTCCTTCTCAATTCTTCCTTCAGCTGGCATAACTTCCAGGTACACTACATTGCACAGGTAAGATGCGAACACAATAGAAACAAAAAACCAGGTATAAAAGAGATATCACATTATATTGCATAAATAATCTCAGACTAAAATCTGAATGTAAATGGGCCATACGTGTGGCGCCCTCCTTTCGAGTTTCGAGAAATAATCCCCATTTCTTTTCACAGTCCGCTTTTCGTAAAATGTTGGTTGAGAGGCGCTCTTAATGGATTTGTGGTCTGTAGAGCAATAGCAAAACCAACAATACCATCCCTATACCTTTTCTATTTTCTATAAAGTTTGACATCATGGATGACAAATAAAATTTGTGATTCCCAATGAGGGTTGATGTCGGGTTCAGGCAGGCAGCCGGTGGTAAAACTTTTCCAAATCTTATCAGTGGTACGTAAGATTGTACTGCGCCGACCCTAAGTGATTAAGATACGGGATATAAAGGGTTACATACTCTATGATATGGGATGGCCAAGGAGAAGAGATGATGATGGTCTGTGGAGACTGGTGTAGAGTATATTGATTAATGCTACATATTATTTGTCATCCATGCTACATATAAAATAAGGAGACTGGAGATGACAAGCGACAGCTGACGCTGATGTTGTCTGTCAAATGTCAATGATTACAATTTTTTTTAATTAGATTGAATTTAAATTTATACTGAACAATATATGAACTTATTTAAAACTATGTAATGTGTTTAAATAGATCGCGACACGCGTAACGAATGCTATTTTTTACTTAATAAACTTAAGAATAATAATTGATAGGTATTCTTTTTTTTATAAAATTAGGTAACGTAGGTAAAGTTTATTTGAATATTTATTCGTACATATTTAAATTGATCGGGTAATAATAAAACTTTTGAAGTTTTAAAAGAAACTAGTTTACGCGGACGTGTAAGTGAGCGGTAGGTGATATTATTAGTTTATAAAGTCAACCAGTTGCCGGATTCCTTTCACTTTTGAGCATTTTATAATTTTTTCGTTGATAACGTATCTATAACAAAGTTCCTTTCATGTCTGTCAATAACAGAGTGCAAAAGTCCAATATCGAGATCGAAGTAAGTTTTAATACACTTTCTCATTTCCCTACTATAGCTTTAGTTTGGCCATATGCTTGGTATAACACACTTATCAAAATTTAATGAACAATATTGCTAACTTATAAAATTTTTGATGATAACATATTAAATTATTTTATCTTTGCAGGATCTTAAGATGCTCCGAGCCTTACGACTGGTGAGCTTATTGATCAATATACCCTTATTGAATATTTATGTTATTAAATACTAAATATAATGTTTTTTTTTGTAGTGTCAAACTAAGGCATTCTTTTTAGAGCCCTATGTGAGTTCTATTCAGTTAAAAAATAACTATGCTTCAGCTCAACCACTAGGCAAAGTGCAAAATTTGCCAAAACTTCCAGTGCCAAAACTCCATGATACCTTAAGCAAATACCTAAAAACTGTAAAACCATTTTTAAATGATGAAGAATTTGCTGCTACTACATCAATTGTTAAAGAATTTGAAGGTGGTATTGGGCAGAAATTACAGGTAACTTTTTTAAGATTTTTTAGGATTATATTACAGTCATTTATATAATAATTAACAAAGAGGAAAATATATTATTAATTTATAATATTGCTAATTTCCTCATATTCTTTATCCTTACTGGAATAATGACTTTGTCTATGAAATACAATAATATGCATTTAAATAAACACTAGTGGGTCACCCTCACTTTGCTCTGGTTTGTCCTTAGTGAAAAACAAATTATCCCAAAGGAACTGTGCATTTTTTCGCGATAAAAAGTAGCCTATGTGCTATTCCAGTTTATAATTTGTATCTGTGCCAAATTTCATCTAGATTCATTCAGCCGTTTGGCGTGATTGAGTAACAAACTTCCATCCATCCAATTTTTCGCATTTATATAGGAGTAAGATTTTAGCATTTTCTATTGTTCATATCAAAATAAGAGAGTTTATATTTCAGAGCTTATTGGAAAAAAGAGCTGAAAATCATCAGAACTGGCTTGAAGAGTGGTGGCTAAATACTGCTTACTTAGAGTACAGAGATCCTGTTGTAATATTTTCAAGCCCTGGTTTAGTTTTACCTTTCCGTAAATTCAACAACCAACAAGAGCAACTAAAATATGCTGCAAAAACGATACTTGCTGCTTTAGACTACAAATCACTTATAGACAAGTGAGTATTATAAAGTCTACTACTATGTTAATTTTTATTTACAATTGAAACCACTACTTGATATCTATTTTTATTATATTCTTTTGTTTTCATAGTGGCCATTAACTAGGATGATAAGGTAAAAAATAGGCTTTGCATAGACTTAGTATTGTTTTCCTTGCTGCAAGTAATTTTTTCATTCAGTCATTTCTAGATAAAATATATAAATAGAATATTTACTTTTCCAAATAGATTTGTTATCTTTTTAGTGACAAAATTCCAGTTGAAATGATGGGAAAAAATCCTTTGGATATGTCACAATATAAAAAGGTATTCGGAACTTGTCGTATACCAATGGAAAAACGAGATAAACTATCATTTAATGACAGCAAACATATGACAGTTATGCATAACAACCATGTAAGATCATTTTCTTTTAGTAAGTTACCTTATTTTTTTATTTAAATGAATCAATTTTAATATTTTTTTATTAAAGCATAATAACCAGAGTGTTAGAATTAAGAAGCTGTCTATTGTGTAATTATAGTGTTAAATAAATCACTATGACAATGTTAAAAAAACTATAATGCTTGGGACATTAGAATTATATATGTATGTTTTTCCAGATATTCCATTTAGACCTTTGGGGTGATGATGGTAAACGGTTGAATGTAGATCAAATAGCTCAAGCATTAAAAAAAATAGTAGATATGTCATCAAGCCCAACAGAAGAAGCTATTGGTGTTCTAACATCTGAGCACAGAGACAACTGGGCAAAAGCTTATCAACTGCTTATCAAAGGTAATATATTGATAGCATAATATTATGATGTGGATTGTGAATAGAGATAAGACATTTAATAATATTTATTTGCAGTTAATCCTATTATAATTATTTATTTTATTGGGTGTGGTGCCGAGGTCGGCCCTAGCTACGTCGACCAGTTATGGTCCATTGTAGCTCAAATACTCAGTTAATCCTATACTAGAAACACGAAAAGATAAAGAGATATTCCCAACACCTAATTCTTTGATTTGAAACTGTATAATAATACAAATGCGGTGATCTAATGGTGAAGTCAGGAGCAGGATGATTGAGTTATTTTGTTAAGAAATGGCATAATAATTATTTTTAGATTCTGAATAACAATCATACTAAATTTGAAATATATGTGTATATAGTTTTGAAATAATATCTAGATGAATTAATTGGAGTAATATTATAAATGGTTTTTTTTTATTTGCGTGTGTCTCAACACAAAGATATAACAAACATACTCATGTGTATGTTTGTTATTCCTTCACATTGAAATAGCTGGACGAATTTGGACGACATTTAGTACACACTTAAGAATATGACCTTTTTTTAATGTTGGGAAATACATTTATGCATACCACCTGCATACATATAGGTTGTTGTGTGGGACTCGACGGCTGGAGAAGGCAGTTCTACCCACTAATTTTTGTTGAGATAGTCTATGACCTGGAGTAAAATATATACATATATGTACATTTATATATGTAGGTATACGCTATTAAGCATCTAAGAGCACGTCTATAACAATTATATGAAGTCAGAAATTTTTTAATAAAAAATAAATCTCAGACGGAAATCGCAGCACGAGTTGGACTCCTTCTAGAGAGGGACCGATGTATTATGGCGGATGATAGGTGTCGGCGACGGAAAACCTATCTTCGAGTAACGTGTGTATTAATATAGGGACAATGTCATTTTAGCGTATTATGAATAATTGTTGTAAATATGAAATCTCATTCTTATTAGATTTATTACGTTAAAATAAGTTCTAATTAGTGTAATAAGGTTAGTTTAGAGTATTTTTTGCTTATTTGAATCATATAAGACTATTTAACATTAATTTGAAAGGAATAGGTACGTAAGTAAAATGTTAGTATATAATTACGTAACTTGAAAATGAGATTTTTTGTTTCTTGCAATAGCATAATAGTTTATGTTTTAAATAATAGATTTTATTATAAAACTTATAATAAAACAAGAATTAGGTCGATAGGACTATCCGTTCAAAAGTTATAAGGGAAAATGTATAGTAAAAATGTAGCAACCTAGAAATTTAGATATTTTTGTTTTAAGACTTTTTTAATTAATTATTATATATTGAATATTATGTTTTAATATTGTATAATAGTATGTAAGGCATGTAAATAAATAAATATGTGTAAGGTGTTTTACTGAAAACATAAAATAAAAGGACTCTCAAGGTTTCGGTTTAGGGAAATTTTATTCGAAAAACGAGCTCAAAGTACGCGGCTCTCTGTAAGGTATTAACGGGCCAAATAAAAGGCGAGCCATTTCTCGATTCGAGTCAGTCGCAAGACAGCCACCGAAGAGGCAACAACTAAAAGGAAAAGGAAGAACCGAAACCAAGAGAGAAAAAAGGAAAAATTGTGTTTTATTTCATCGCCTCTAAGTATAGTCCTCCTGTCAACGAAGAAACCCTAGTGGATCGGGACCCAAGCTACGCATTCAGGGGTGCGTGGTGGCGTACATTACCAGCGAACGGACATACTGCCGTGTACGCCAAGAACGTCTGGGAGATTGTCCCAGGTCGACCTCCGGGTACTAGACATACCCTGGTTCTGGTCGTCCGAAACAGTTGGTCCTTCGAGCCGGATCCCTGCTAGAAGAAGTTCAGAAGAAACAGAAGATTGCGTTCAAGATGCCGGTAACCAGGTCGCAGAAGGATGCCCCCTCACGTCCCGGGTCCCGTCCTTCAGATAGGGACGCGACAGATGGAACGTCGGGATCAGAAGGGGTCACGTCAGCGTCCGGCGTCATCGGGAACTGCAACTACATCGAACACTTCTTCGGGTACCACGACCACGGAGGGCACCACAGTGACGGAGACTACGGTTACGACTGCAACTACGGCGGCGTCTATGGAAGGCAACAAAGAAGATGCTGCACAGAGGATGACCAGGAAGAGCCAAGAAGATGTACCTGGAAAGGATGTTCAAGGCTCCTCCAAGACCCTGAAACCGATGGGGGTCAGTCCGTCGCGCCAGGTCCACAAAGACCACGAGTTCCTCGGCCAGAAGACGCGAGCTAGAAGCAAAGGAAGAGTTGGCACGCCTGGAGTTGAAGCAAGCACAGGCTGAAACTAAGCTAGCCCGTGTCAGATTGGAGATGGCACAGTGTGAAGAAGAGGACTTCGTGGATGAAGACCTGGAAGACAGAACAGCACAGGTGCAGAACTGGATCGAGACGTCTGTGCTGGAGGATGGCAACAAAGTTCAACCAGAGATGCGAGGTCCACACCCCTTGGAAGAGCCACAGAAGATGAAGCCTGAAGAGAACTCCTCAACGAGAGGAGCTACGATTGAAATTCAAGCACTGACGGCAGCATTGAAGGAAGCTCTTACCACGCGAGGACCAGCAGGACAGCCAACCTACATTCACGAGTTACCCTACTTCCGACGGCAACAGCAGCGAGTGGATGGCCTTCAAGGTTGTCTATGAAGATACAGCACCGATGTTCAACAACGTCCAGAATATGGCTCGGCTAAGAAGAGCACTGAAGGGCAACGCAAGAGAAGCTATCAAGAGTCTGCTGTACTCCGAAGCCTCTCCGATGGAAGTGATTCAAGCCCTCAGAAAGAAGATATGGAAGACCAGATGCACTGGTGCTGGCAGAGTTGGACAAGGTCAAAACGTTGCCGAAGATTTCTGAAAACCCAAGGGACATATGCCTCTTCGCGAGCCAGATCAGCAACAGCGTAGCGGCAATAAAAGGATTGAAGAAACCACAGTACCTGCATTCACCTGAGATGGTGAAACAAATTATTGAGAAGATGCCTACGATACTCAAGTTCCGATGGTACGACTTCATTGAAACAACAGAAGGCGAGTTCTCCGACCTAACACTGGTGTCCAAGTTCCTGAACAGAGAAGCAGACAAGTGTGGAGCCTATGCATCAACAGAAGAGAAGAGCGGGTTCAGACGGACTCATCGACAAGCAACGCATTCAACTAAGGAAAAGGACTTCAAAGAAAAGGTTTCAAGATCAGAGAAGACTTGCCCCATGTGTGAGGGTGAACACTTCCTCGTCGGGTGTCAGAAGTTCCTGAAGGCGTCTGTGCAAGATCGATGGGCAATAGTGAAGAAAAGCCGCGTTTGCTTCAAGTGTTTACAAGGGACACATCGGAAGGAGAGCTGCAAGAAGCCGTCGTGCAAGGAATGCAAGAGGTGGCATCATCATCTGCTGCACGTCGAGACAGAGAAAAGTTCCTCGGAAGAACAGAAGAACAAACCACAAGAAGTGGCGAGCATCATGGCATCGGTGAATGCGGTCAACAACGCAAGGGCATACCTGAAGATAATTCCGATAGAAATCTTCGGGTCAAAAGGATCAAAGAAGATATTGGCCCTCATGGATGAAGGGTCAACAGTGTCGCTGCTAGACCAGAAGGTAGCAGAAGAAATCGGCGCTCAAGGAAGAAAGGAGGAACTGGTCATCGAGACTGTTGGAGGCAGGCTGATAAGGAAGGAAGACTCTCAGATGCTGGACCTTACGGTGAAGGGGATTCATCAGAAGACCAAGAAGACCTTGAGAAGAGTCCGGACCATCGAAGAGTTGAAGCTTGCACCGCAGTTCCTAGAAAAGAAAAGGATAGAAGAGTGTCAACACTTGAAGAAGATTGCTGACTCTCTATATTATAAGGGGGAGTCACCACAGCTGCTCATCGGTCAAGACAACTGGAGCTAATCGTGACTCAAGAAGTAAGAAGAGGGAAACCAGGACAACCAGTCGCTTCAAGAACAGGACTTGGATGGGTGCTCCACGGGTCAGACACTGGAGGCACGAAAGTGGTGCACTTCTTAAACACGTGTCTACATGTCAGCACGCCAGAAGAAGAGATGCATCAAGCCATCAAGGATCACTTCGCAATCGAAGCACTTGGAGTACTACCAAGAAGACCCACTACGGATTCAGAAGGAAGAGCACTCACCATCCTAGAGAAGACCTGCAGAAGACTAGAAGATGGTCGATTTGAAGCTGGACTTCTATGGAAAAATGAAGATGAACAGATGCCTGAAAGCTACACGTCTGCCAAGAACCGATTGTTCAACATTGAAAAGAAGATAGACAAAGACCCTCAGCTGAAGGCAGAATACAATAAGCAGATCCAGCATCTAATCGACAGCAAGTATGCAGAAGAAGCACCTGGTGGACAAGAAGATTCAAAGAAGACATGGTACCTCCCTCATTTCTCCGTGGTACATCCATTGAAGAAGAAAATAAGGATCGTCTTCGACGCTGCAGCCAAGTCTAAAGGGAGAAGCCTCAACGACGCTTTACTACCGGGACCAGACCTACTGCAATCGCTCTTCGGGGTATTACTGAGGTTCCGGCAAGGCCCGTTTGCAGTGGCAGCCGACATAAAGGAAATGTTCCTGCAAGTTCGCATCCGGCCAGAAGATAGAAACAGCTTGAAGTTCCTGTGGCGAGGGGATCGTCGTGACGTAGCACCGAAGGAGTACAGAATGACATCAGTCATCTTCGGCGCGACATCATCTCCTAGCACAGCGATCTACGTGAAGAACCGGAACGCGGCGGACTACAAGAAGCAGTACCCAGAGGCAGCAAAGGCAATCGAGCTGAACCATTACATGGATGACTACCTGCACAGCTTCCATTCAGAAGAGGACTTCAAGAGAATTACAGCGCAGGTGGACTTCATTCACAAAAAGGCGGGCTTCGAACTCCGAGGATGGGCGTCAAACCACTCCGACCTGCTGCAAGACGTGAAGACTGAGTCAGTTGAGAAGACAGAGGTGGACCTTGGTGAGAAGGAAGAGAAGACACTGGGACTACGCTGGTTTACAGAAAGGGACTCCATAGGCTTTAGGGCGAACCTTCGGAACACGCCAGATGAAGTGGCACAAGGACTCAAGGTACCTACGAAGAGAGAAGTCACCAGCGCCGTGATGTCGACCTTCGATCCACTAGGGCTAGCATCACCAATTCTCATCCAAGGCAAAAGGCTGCTCCAGAACATATGGCGAAGTGGCGTCGGTTGGGATGAAGAGATAGAAGAAAAGGAGTACGAGTCATGGAAGACTTACCTGGAGAAGATGAAGCTGCTCCAAGACCTTCAGATCCCGAGATGTCTGGCACCACGTCGCACCGAGGGGGAGCTGCACACGTTCACGGATGCAAGCGAAATGGCGTATGCAGCTACGGTATATTGGAGAACTGAAAATCAAAATGGGACTTATGACGTCAGCTTAGTAGCAGCAAAAGTAAGAGTCGCTCCGTTGAAGCCGGTGTCAATCCCGAGACTCGAGCTGCAAGCGGCCCTCCTAGGAAGCAGATTGGCACACTCGGTCGAGGAAGAAATGGATCTGAAAATAGAAAAGAAGACGTTTTGGACAGACTCCAGTATCGTGCTATCATGGATCAAGACGGACCCGAGAACCTTCAAGACATTCGTGGCTCATCGCTTGGCGGAGATAGAAGATCTCACAAAACCACAGGACTGGAGATGGGTACCGACGGCGCAGAACCCTGCAGATGATGCAACACGTGACGTACCAGAACACTTCGACTGCCAACACCGATGGTACACCGGACCAGGGTTTCTAAGAAGAGATGAAGTTCACTGGCCTGCGGCAAGAACATTCAAGAAAGAAACCACTGGCGAAGAAAAGGCAGCGGACATCGTAGCGACTGCAGGCAGCTCCTATCCATCACCAGATCCCGAAAAGTTCTCGTCGTGGAAAAGACTTTGGCGAGCTACAGCAAGAGTACTGCAGTTCATACAACTCTGCAGAAGAAAGGAAAAAGGTCCACGCCAGCAAAGAAGATCCTACCTGGAAAACTACAAAAAAGGAATGAGAAAATTGTTGAGAAGCGACATCTGTCTTCAAAAACGTCAGAAAGGAAATACATACCATTGGAAACAAGTCTACTAGAGCAAGCTGAAACGCTGTTGTTAAGAAGAAGTCAAGAGAAATGCTTCAAAGAGGACATCAGGTGCCTACAGCAAGGAAAACAATTAGAGGGCAGCAGCAAGTTGAAAAGGCTCGACGTAGTGCTAGAAGAAGGTCTCCTGCGACTGAAAGGAAGAATCGACGCGATACGAGGTGTTACCAGAGACTACAAACGACCCATCGTACTCGACAGCAAGGACAAGACAACACTTCTCATCATAGAAGAATTTCACTGCCGCTTCAATCACGGGAATCACGCGACCGTAATGAACGAAGTAAGACAACGCTTCTGGGTGCTAGGACTGAGGTCAGCGATTAAGACCATTCAACATCAATGCCAGTGGGGCAAAACAAGAAAGGCAAGACCTCAAGAACTACCAGTGGGCAACTTACCTGCTGAGAGGCTGATGCACGGAAACCCTCCATTTACGTGCACGGGAATAGATTACTTCGGCCCTATGACGATCACCGTAGCAAGACGCCATGAGAAGAGATGGGGTGCTCTATTCACATGCTTAACAACACGAGCTGTACACATTGAGCTCACTCCTTCACTCTCCACTGACAGCATGATCATGGCACTACGACGATTCGCCGCGAGAAGGGGAATGCCAAAGATAATCTACACCGACAATGGCACTAACTTCGTTGGCGCCAACAAAGAACTCAAAGAAGCACTAGACACCATGAAGCAAGAAGACTTTATCTCGGAAGCGGAGAAGATCGGCGTGCAGTGGAAGTTCATACCTCCTGGTGCACCAAACATGGGAGGTGCATGGGAGCGTCTGGTGCGATCCATTAAAACCGCACTGGACGCCACGCTCAACGAAAGGCAACCACGAGAGGAGGTACTTCATACCCTCCTGTTAGAGGCCGAGCACATAGTCAACTCTCGGCCCCTCACCCACCTCTCCGAGAACCCTGAAGAAGAAGCACTTACACCGAACCACTTTCTCATCGGGCGATCATGTGGCGCAGCAAGAATCGGCAGCTTCGAGGACAACGAGCTTGTGGGCAGACACACCTGGAAGGCTACGCAGCGACTTGCCGATCACTTCTGGCAACGTTGGCTGAGAGAGTATTTGCCCACTCTACTACCAAGGAAAACCAAAGGAAGAGTCAGCGCCACAGATTTGCAAGCGGAGACATCGTACTGATCGTCGATCACAGCCTACCAAGATGCATCTGGCCACGCGGAAGAATCCTGCATGTGTATCCTGGACCAGACGGGCGGACCAGAGTCGTCGACGTCGAGACCAGAGGAGGTGTTCTACGGAGGCCCCAGTTCGAGAGTGGTGCTGTTGGTGCCGGGAGCGTCGCCGAGTCCAGGAGTTTGGTGCAAAGCACGAGGGGGAGAATGTCGGCGACGGAAAAACCTATCTTCGAGTAACGTGTGTATTAATATAGGGACCAATGTCATTTTAGCGTATTATGAATAATTGTTGTAAATATGAAATCTCATTCTTATTAGATTTATTACGTTAAAATAAGTTCTAATTAGTGTAATAAGGTTAGTTTAGAGTATTTTTTGCTTATTTGAATCATATAAGACTATTTAACATTAATTTGAAAGGAATAGGTACGTAAGTAAAATGTTAGCATATAATTACGTAACTTGAAAATGAGATTTTTTGTTTCTTGCAATAGCATAATAGTTTATGTTTTAAATAATAGATTTTATTATAAAACTTATAATAAAACAAGAATTAGGTCGATAGGGACTATCCGTTCAAAAGTTATAAGGGAAAATGTATATGTAAAAATGTAGCAACCTAGAAATTTAGATATTTTTGTTTTAAGACTTTTTTAATTAATTATATATATATTGAATATTATGTTTTAATATTGTATAATAGTATGTAAGGCATGTAAATAAATAAATATGTGTAAGGTGTTTTACTGAAAACATAAAATAAAAGGACTCTCAAGGTTTCGGTTTAGGGAAATTTTATTCGAAAAACGAGCTCAAAGTACGCGGCTCTCTGTAAGGTATTAACGGGCCAAATAAAAGGCGAGCCATTTCTCGATTCGAGTCAGTCGCAAGACAGCCACCGAAGAGGCAACAACTAAAAGGAAAAGGAAGAACCGAAAACCAAGAGAGAAAAAAGGAAAATTGTGTTTTATTTCATCGCCTCTAAGTATAGTCTCCTGTCAACGAAGAAACCCTAGTGGATCGGGACCCAAGCTACGCATTCAGGGGTGCGTGGTGGCGTACATTACCAGCGAACGGACATACTGCCGTGTACGCCAAGAACGTCTGGGAGATTGTCCCAGGTCGACCTCCGGGTACTAGACATACCCTGGTTCTGGTCGTCCGAAACAATAGGGAGCAGTGGAAGAAGATTAGGGAGGCGTTTGACCTGCAGAGTGCGCCTGTTGTGTTCCTTGTTTGCTTATAATAATAAAAAAAAATATTGTCGATAGATTCAGTGAACAAAGCGTCTTTATCGGACGTGGAGAGGAGCGTGGGCGTGCTGTGCCTGGACGGCGCGGCGGGGCTGCGCGGCGACGACGCGGCGCGCCGCACGCTCGCCGCCGCGCAGACCATACACGGCGGCGGCTCCGCCAGCAACGGCGCCAACCGCTGGTTCGACAAGACTATACAGGTCAGATATGCCTACTCACTGCTGGAAAACATGTTATTACTTTGGTTTTTAAGTACAACTAGTGATTTACTCTTTGTTTTGGTGCGTCTTATTAATTATTGCTTTATTTTAATTAAGTAGCGCATGCCCATGAAGCAACTCAACGGCTAGATTTTTTCCATTGCCACTTTTTCTTACGATTTCAGACAATAAACACATTTTATTGAAGTAAAAAATGGTACTCGACGCCTGACGGTAATATGTAGTAACATCCTAATAGTGACAAATTTCTCGAAATCAAATCAGTTGTTTCAGAGATTACATTCAAACTTACAAACTTTACTTTTTTATAATATTAGTAGGCTAGCACACAGATCTTAACTAGTCAGTAGTCACCAGTCACCAGTCGAATCACATTAAAATTTCTCTCAAATCCGTGGAGCCGTTACTGTGTGAAGAAGTAACAAGTGATCTTACATAATATCGTGCTGAGACGACTGACGGTTTTAAGTTTAGTATTTACCAGCTTATTAATTAAACTGCAGTATAAATACAAAAAATTATAAACTAATTGTTATCTACATAATACATTAAAACATGTATAATATAGTTTATCGTTGGAGCCGACGGCATCACTGGACTGACTTATGAGCACTCCCCAGCTGAGGGACAGCCTATAGCTGTTCTCACTGACTTCATCATTAAATACGTGTAAGCTTATACTTCATTGTAATACATACATCAAATATAAAACCTCAGTGTATGAAATAATATAGATAGAGTGTCGTAGAACTAAATATGATGTCAAACATGTTTTTAAATCTTATATATATAAAAGAAAGTCGTGTTAGTTACACTATTTATAATTCAAGAACGGCTGAACCGATTTGGCTGAAACTTGGTGGGGAGGTAGCTTAGAACCAGGAGACGGACTTTTTAGCCCGTTCGACTGCGTTCCCGTTTACAAGACTCAAGAACGGCTGGACCAATTTTTATGATATTTGAATTTTTGGATTTCTCTCATTCCGGAATAGGTTAATACCTAAGTATTAAAACGTCAGAAAAATTAACGAAAAAAATATATTTATATGGCTAATAACACTGGCTAATAACTATTTATATCTATTTAAAACGTACCTAGCGACGAACCCGAGCGAAGCGAGGGTGAGCAGCTAGTAATATATTATAAATAATGTTATAAATTAGTTACTTATACATCATATTTTTAAATTACAAACTCATTGATTACAGATAACGACATAGCATATATTTTATCAAAATTAAGTGACAAAGAACTTATAGAATTACTTAATACTCAACCTAAAAGAGAAATTTATGACTTAAGCGATGTTGTTCAAGTAGCACTAGGGCACAGTAAACCTTTAAAAAATGTTAAAATTGATCCAGAAGAAAACGATGCCACGTTTCAAATATCTTTAGAAAATACAAACGATACACCGGCAATGTTTAAATTAGAACACAAAGAAATAATACCACAAAAGCAAAAATCGTCCGCCAATTTTGTTGCTTTAAAGAAACTCCATAACCTTTTATATAATCGACCACGTTATGTATCTAACGGTGAAAATCTAAATGATCAAAAAAAAGAAATTTTGTTTGATATTCTTGTAGCTCAACTAAAAATGTTATGTTGTAAAACCTCTTCTAAAAACCTACATACCACAATGAAAGGTCCACAATTCAAATTCCTGAATAATTTCCTGCCGAAAAAGACTCAGGATAAACTACAACCTACAGATAAAAGTCAAAATAATAATGAATTTATGTTTCTTATTATGAATGAAGAAATAAAGAGTAAAGACAACGATGATCTGATTTTAGTAGACCCTGAAACTCTTGGGATAAATAGCAGTGTTTTACTATTAGGACCTTTGACGACTCCATTAACTGATGCTCAAATAAAAATAGTAGTGAGTGTTAAACAAAAATAAATTTAAGTACTGTACAATGTAAAAAAATCACATTTTACATTTTTTTTTATTTTCAGATGAATCGTATATCTGGTGAATTAATGAAGCCTGAATATATATCCTTCTTACAAAAGCTTTCGAATGGAACATTAAATGAAAACAACACTAGCGTCTTGAAAAATTTTATAACCGGACCGAATACGAGAAGATATATTAAAGCTCATAGATGTAATCACCAATCGAAATTGTCAAAAATATATGGCGGACCGAAATGGTTAATTTGCACCGGCTATTTAAACATAAATACTCCAAGTCTATATGATTAATGGTCATAATAATATAAGAACTAAAATATTATTTAAATACTGTGAAAAAAAATATATCGTTATAACCATGGAAGAAAAAAATTCTCTTCCCATGCATAATTTATTACGTTGACATATATGTAGATAGTTGTTTTACCATAATATATGTTACGTTTAATTGAAATTAAATATAATACAATATTAATTTCATTGACAGCATAAATAAACTTGCATTTCATATAATTTTTAAGTTAAATTTCCAGCCGCATGCGTGTAAATAACGTGCCCCCAGTTGTATGATTATATTAAAAACGAAAAAGAGATCGTTTCAAAAGTTAAATTGACCTCAAAATATGTCTGGGCGAAATAATAAACTAATGTTAATTTAAATTAAAAATTTTTACTGTAGATACTATACGACTTCGATCAACAATACGACTAGATAACGTGTCACATACAAAATCAAAGCTAAATTCTATCCGCGCGAATATGTACTTATACAGTTACATTTGTATACTAATGAACCAAGACAAAGTCTTATAATAGTTTTATTTTCAACCTAATCAACACCATAGCACCTTGTTATAAAGTCACAAATCTTCAAATTATCATCATACACTTACGATCATTTCGTAAGTTTTATAATATTTATTGTAAAATCAACTTTATATTAAAAACATAAAGTACTTTTTCCCTTCGTAGCTTTGTGAGCTAAATCGTTGTTTTGTTTCGATTTGCCTCTTTGAATTTTGCCAAACGTTCTTAGCGGATTTAAAATTTTACAAAATTTCATTTTTATATTGTTTCGTAGGTTAAATCTTAAAATATTAACTTAATCTACCTACATGTACTTAACGAAAAGAAGACACTCCGTCCGAAAAATTTCTTCTTCGCGCATTATTTTTGCAACTTTTAAATACACATTGCGGCATTGTGGACGTGTTAACGCATGCAGTGTTTCAATAGAACCATAGAGTATATTGCTACATATATAAAAATAGAACTAATCGAACTGAGTGGGTGGGTAGTCGCGTGCGACACACGTCAAGTCATCTCCGTTACTAAAATCGTTTTAATTTAATTAAAGTAGTAATTTCCATCAAAAATCATGATATTTACAATTTTAAATACTTAATATATTTATACATATATTTTTTTAAAAAAACTTACATAAAAAAGAACTGTTAAAGTGCAAAGACAAAGGGTATAAACGCGAAAGACGAAGGTGTAATCTAGTGTTCTTGCAACATAAATATAAATACAAAATAACTGTGGAACTATAATAAAATCAATATTTAAAAAATAGTGAAGTAGTGATAAATAAAACTCAGTGTTACAATAATGTGTTAATGACCTCTGCAACTACGACAATGACCCTATGTAGAGCTCACCTAAGCGAGGATATGATACAAGAAATTTGCAAGTTGCGTTAAGTCTATTGTTGGTCTAGTGCCTTAAAGATAGCTACCAGCGCGGCGATTCTGAGATCGAACCCCGGTTCCGACGTAGTACAATTTTATAAATTATTTTAATATTTATTTTCTGTGAATATTAAACAATATTATTAAGCAGTATGAATGAATTAACGAAGACAAAAACTAATAAGATGAAATTCGAATGTTGCAACCGTCAACAGAACTCAAACGAATTTATAATATGCTCGCAATGTTTGAAGAAATATCACTATGCATGTATAGCAACGACTACTACTTTACAATACAAAGAAGTTACTAATGACTTTAAAGCGAACTGGCTGTGTCCTGAATGCAATCGTCCCAGAGCCGGCTTAGATAACTCAAACACTCCTGTTCGAGCAGCAGCCACTCTTGCCAACGATAAACACGACTCCTCTTTGAATGTGACAGTTAGAAATAAACAGAAATTTACTAAGGCATCTGACACCGACTCCTCGTTAACATCCGCCGATGTTCGACAAATCATTATAGTCCAAGAGCTAGTGAACCCTGGGAGTAACGGTCTCCCTGTAAGGTTAGAAATTTGTCTATTTACGATTTATGGCATGCTAAGAGCAATAGCCATGACCTGGCAGGCGTCAGCCCTGCACGTCATCAGCCCCTTTATTTTTTGAACTGTTTAGTAAATTGAGTTTAAAACTTGTTTCTGTAAATTTGAAAATTTAAGAGGATAAAGTTTATTTATTGTACATCTTAAAAAAAAATTGACAGGCGATTACAATAAGCAGAAGTATATGACAGATCAATTAGAAAACCCACAGTTGATGAGGTAAAATAAACTTTATCCTGTATACTTAAAATTTTTATATGTTTTCAAGTAAACGTCTCAGAGTAAATGTGTACAATGCCAGGCGGTTTTGAACAGCATAAGACCTTGACAGGCGAGGGGACAGCTGCTAAGGGCGTGCGAGTGAGAGATGTTGCGTGAATACCTATAGTGCGAGTGAGTCCGTCCTTTTCAAGAAGAGGTAAAAAAAACCATTCCAAATATTGCAGAAATCGAGTGTATATCAGAAGGCATTCAAAGAATTAGGAAACGCAGAAATAGTACAGAAGAAAGAAAAAAAAATCGATACTAGAGAAATTTGTATGCCAAATGTATGGTTTGAAATGTTCAAAATTAAATAATGCACGTTATGAAAAGTTCCTTGCTACGTACAACACAAATAATCCTAAAGTGTTTATGAAAAAGTAGTAAGCTATGATTCATCAAATTTACCACCCTGTCAACGTGAACTACATCAACAATTATTGAGAACTGCCTACATCTCTATATCTATACTTATTATAAAAATAAGTCCCCCGGCCGCGTCTTTCTGTCCTCCTGTCTGTCCTCCTGTCTGTCTGTACGCGATAAACTCGAAAACTACTGAACGGATTTTTATACGGTTTTCAACAATAGAAAGAGTAATTCTTGAGGAAGGTTTAGGTATATAATTTATTATGCTTTTATGTAAATTAGCTGAAATACGGCGACAAATGTTGAAGAGGTCGCAAAAAATCTCGCCAAATGGGAACTTTCCACGCGAACGCCGCGTAAACTAGCAAAGATACAGTTAAGTAATGTACTAGAGAATTCAAAATCTATAAAAATGCTACAAAAAAGTCCGCGATAGCATATCTCTATCTCTTACGGTTGACTTACAATAACCACTTTTATGTTAACATTTTTAATTAAAAACATTACGTTATTTTCAAAGTTATTTTCTTTAGTTCGGTATTAATCCTTATCCAAATGAATATTTTAGTTAGCTTAGTCATTTAATGCAGATTAAAATTGCTCTTTACACTAAATCAATCAGATGAATAGTTTTTGAGATATCGTTGTTAGAAGTAATTAGTAGCGAAACATTTTTAATGCTTGGCGAGCATTGAGATGCCTACGGCGAGTCCATCCCCTCTGCCCCGCATCGCTCGACCGCCTGCTCAAGCTATATAAACCGGGCGATGTAGCGCGCGATCCTAGGATACTTTTTACCGCGGGAAAATATCTTATTTCTGAGGAAAAATACAAAAACTGCAATGTAAGAGTATACTAATATGTAACACCTAAGAATTTAGTTTTTGGTCATCTGAACGCGGGCGGAGCCGCGGGCAATGCTAGTATTATATAAAAGAAGGTCGTGTTAGTTACACTATTTATAACTCCAGAACGGCTGAACCGATTTGGCTGAAAATTGGCGGGGTGGTAGCTTAGAACCCAGAGACGGACATAGGATACTTTTTATCCCGTTCGACCGCGTTCCAATTTTTATGATATTTTAATTTTTGGATTTCTCTTAGTCCGGAATAGGTAAGTATAAAAACATCAGAATAATTAACGAAAAAAAAATAAAATTTATGTGGCTTACGCTGGCTAATAACTTTTTATATCTATTTAAAACGTACCTAGCGACGAACCCGAACGAAGCGAGGGTGAGCCGCTAGTCTTTATATATATAAAAGAAAGTCGTGTTAGTTACACTATATATTACTGAAGAACGGCTGAACCGATTTGGCTGAAAATTGGTGGGGAGGTAGCTTAGAACCAGGAGACGGACATAGGATACTTTTTATCCCGTTCGACCGCGTTCCCGTCTGACGTGACATAAAACTCAAGAATGGGTGGAACAATTTTTATGATATTTGAATTTTTGGATTTCTCTTAGTCTGAAATAGGTTAATAAGTATTAAAACACCAGAAAAATCACGAAAAAAAATTAAGATTTATATGATTAACGCTGGCTAATAACTATTTATATCTATTTAAATCCTAGCGACGAACCCGAGCGAAGCGAGGGTGAGCCGCTAGTTACAAATATATGGCGAAATTGTAATTTAAAAGAACCAACAATTCTTACACCTGAAAATAACGGTTGGAACTTAATTGATAGTCGTTACAATTTTAATTGGTTTGAGGGGAATACGGTTCCATCTTCTATATACGACATACTTTTACAAGGACCTGCTGATACTGCCACAGCACAATCGACTGAAACTGAGGAATGCATTTTAGGTAACATACAACTATTTTATTCCGTAACATTTAATATGCAGTCCTACGTAATTGAGCTTGATATTTAATTCTTAACAACCTTATTGATTCATTCAAATATTTTTTTACTATTTTCAGATGAGGAAAACATTGTTGAAGAATCAGATGATGATGAAAACAGTGATAGCGAAATTTCGGATTATGCTGAAGAAAATTAATGTTAAAAATAATGTAGATTGCATAAAACCCAATAAAATACATTGCATATTTTACTGTATGCGTTCATGTAACATTTCTTATTTGCACGCCCTTAGCAGCTCCCTGTCCCCTCGCCTGTCAAGGTCTTATGCTGTGCAAAACCGCCTGGCATTGTACATATTTACTCTGAGACGTTTACTTGAAAACATATAAAAATTTTAAGTATACAGGATAAAGTTTATTTTACCTCATCAACTGTGGGTTTTCTAATTGATCTGTCATATACTTCTGCTTATTGTAATCGCCTGTCAATTTTTTTTTAAGATGTACAATAAATAAACTTTATCCTATTAAATTTTCAAATTTACAGAAACAAGTTTTAAAACTCAATTTACTAAACAGTTCAAAAAATAAAGGGGCTGATGACGTGCAGGGCTGACGCCTGCCAGGTCATGGCTATTGCTCTTAGCATGCCATAAATCGTAAATAGACAAATTTCTAACCTTACAGGGAGACCGTTACTCCCAGGGTTCACTAGCTCTCCAGCTATTAGGGAAGAGTTAAACACAATTTTCGGTGCATTTCAATCAAAAATCTATCTCATTTATATATTTCTGGACCCATTTAAAGAATCTCCGTAAAACCAAGAGTGCATATCCACCCGTGATGACATGCAATGGAACTAAAGCTACAACAGTTGACTCTATATGCGATCTCTTTGCGAAACACTTTTCATCCGTATACGAGAATGATAACACAATTACTAGTGAGTTCAGAAATGTAGGTACGGCCATTAATACATCTAGTGATATTGACACTTTCGAATTGACACGAGACTTGATTTATAAAAAATTAAAGAGACTTGACTTAAATAAGGGGGTGGGACCAGGTAACATACCACCTTTATTTTTATCCAAGTGCGCGTACCAACTCTCCTTGCCATTACTCCTTATTTTCAATCGATCTTTAAAAGATGGCCTGTTTCCTGACAAATGGAAAATAAGTAGAATTGTTCCAGTACACAAGTCTGGCAGAAAAGACATGGTGAGTAACTATCGACCCATCTCAATCATATCTTCAATGGCAAAAGTATTTGAATCCCTCGTCTATGCACATATTTATAATCATATTAACAGTACTTTACATAAAGAACAGCATGGTTTTATGTCTCAACGTTCGACCAACACAAATTTATTGCTGCACGTTTCTTTTATATCTGACAACATCGATCAGGGCAATCAAGTAGATGTCGTTTATGCAGACTTCTCGAAAGCATTTGACAAGGTTAACCACAGATTACTTTTAAAAAAACTTTCTGCATACGGGATATCAAACAAGCTCCTGGCATGGTGCGAAACGTATCTTATTGGCAGATCTTCCACCGTGGTAATAGATGGTCACCAATCGCAAACGTTTTGCAATTTTTCAAGTGTCCCTCAAGGATCCAATCTCGGTCCATTGTTTTTTATTATTTTTATTGACGACATCATCAATATTTTCAAATATAGCACCGCAAGCCTATTTGCCGATGATTTAAAACTATTGCGTGTCGTTAAAGGAATGGATGACCAGTACTTACTTCAAGAAGATATACATAGATTGACTGAATGGTGCAAAATGAACAGAATGTACCTTAACATTGAAAAATGTCATCATATTAAGTTTACGCGTAAGAAGAATATTACACTGTCTAAATATTACATTGACCAACATGAATTAACTGAATTAATACAAATACGAGATCTGGGTGTGGTTATGGATAGTCACATTACTTTTGGTCCTCATATTGACCATTGTCTCGATTTGTCCAATAAGTCTCTTGGTTTTATTATGAGGTCCTCAAAAACCTTTAAGAATCCAATAACAACTTTAAAGTTATTCAATACTCTTGTTCGCAGTCGACTTGAATACTGTTCTCTCATATGGTCACCTTACAAGAAAAGCCACACCACTAGACTGGAATCTGTGCAAAAGCGTTTGTTGCGGCAACTATCATATAGATATAAATTAAAATTAAATAGCTATGATGAAAGACTTAAACATTTTAATATTAATAGTCTTAAAAATAGGAGAGAAATGTTAGCAATGACTTTTCTCTATAAAGTCCTAAATAATGAAGTTGACTGTTCCGATATTTTTAATAAATTTGCATTCCACGTCCCACCTAAAATACCCCGACATCCGTGCAGCTTGTTAGAAGTAGGTGTCTACAGAACTCACTTGGGAAAGAATTCCCCTGTGCCAAGAATGTCGAGATTATACAATAATATCACAAAAAAAATCTTAAGCGTAGACATATGCCATGACAGACTACCTCAATTTAAGCGCAAAGTTATCGAATATTTATCAGAATTGTAACCCTTCGACTTATCGCCAATCGTTACTACGATAAATTATGTATATATATTTTTTTATTACTTTGTTTTGAGCGTTGCTATTAATTCTAATCCCAAATTGAATTTACTTGTTTTATTGGACTAACTATTTAAATATTATTAACTTATTTTATTCTAATTATATTATGTCTAATTAAGTAATTGTTTATATTTAAATTGTCATGTATTAATTTTATAATTTAATTTTCAACTTTATTCATTAACGTATTATTATGATTTAATTTTAAATTTCCATTTTATAATTAAATGTTATTGACGTGATTTTAAAAAAAAAAGAGCATGCTGTGATAACCTATTACTAAAAGAACATTAATTAAATTGTTAACACATGAATATTATGCCGATTTTAATGTATCTTTTGTTGGTTGTCCTTTAATAAATAAATAAATAAATATACGCTCACTTTGCAAGTGAGCTTATATTTACCGAGACGAATAAACGGATTTCTTACGCCGACACGATAACTAGTAGTATTGCTGATCGAAGCTCTACGATTACTTCGAATAAAAACTTTTATTTTGATTTATTCTATACTTTTGATACGCACTACGATTGAGATAAGAGGGTAGCTGTCAACAAAATATATTCGTGCTTTGATGTAGGTAGTTGAAACAAAGCGTTTAGGCGTAAAATATGTTAACGCGTATTGGGATTTGGGTATCAAAAAAAAAACGTCACATATTGGTATTTGGACTTTATGGCAACCCTATATCTAATACCTTTAAATGAGCAATTCTTGTTTATTTCTTTGGGGGGGTTTGGGGGCGGACATTTGATCGTATTATTGCACGCAAAATATATGATCACTAATTTCGCATACTTGGGCTTAAGCATCGTGGTCAAGCGGAAAGGACGCAAGTTCCCGGTGGGATATAAAGTTTTTATTTTTGTTTTTTTTTGTATTTATACAAGTTATTAGTTTAAAAAAAAAGAAAGTTATACTTTTGGCTAAAAAAATTCTGAGCAAAGGTCGGTCGCCCAAGTACTACTATATACAAAGTGAAGTGCATTCATTGAAAAAAGACCTTCCTACTCAATCAATTCATTGCCAATTA